GGATCGTGCCAGGACTGTCCGAGCTGCAACAATGTGGAGTCAATGTATGGAACGAAGATGTCGGGGAAGACTTGTAGAATGTTCTGCACCCTGGGACTACCTGGGTGGCTCAGCAGTTTAGCTCCTGCCTTTGGCCCAGGGTGTGATCCTGGAGACCTGGGATCGAGTCCTGCGTCTGGCTCCCTGCATGGAGCCTGCTTCTCTCTCTCTCTCATGAATAAATAAAATCTTTAAAACAAATGTTTTTAAAAAAAAGAATACTCTGCACCCTGAGTTCTATAAAGGAATAGACACGTGGCTGAACACATGTTCTACATCCTCACCTACTCTCTGGTTAGGTAAGGCTCATCAGCATCTGGCGACCTAAGAGAAGACTCCAGAGAAAGTGTTTTCAGCTGAGCCAGGGAGAGAAGCCTTCGGGTGGAGGGAGATTCTTTTTAAGGAAAAGTCCAGTTTGGTGGAGAGACAGCAATGGGGCTTCCCAGGAAGGCAGCACCGCAGGAGGGGAGTGCACCTGCCCCCCGTGTGCAGTGATTGCTAGGAAGCGGGTCTCTAAGGACTTCAGGAATCTCTTACACACCTTACAGCCCTCTCACCTGGGCGGGACCCTGGCGCCAGACCAGGTGTAGTTATTAGCATTTCACAGCGGCAGGAAACACGGAGGGCTGGGAATTCAGAAGCTGTAAATCACGTGAGGTCATGCAGGGGACAAGCCCGGATTTGCACTTAGCACCTGACCCTTGGTCTGCTGTCCCCATGACGCGGGAGAGGGGACTGTCCTGGCAGTCTGGATGCCACCTCAGAGATACTGAAGGGGATGTTGGCTCAGCAGTTTTACCAGAGACCAAGGTCACAGTGACATCACCAGAGAGGTTTGCTTTGCGACCCCATACAGGTTCGAGCTGGCAAGTAGTCCCAGGGAGCCAAGCATAGACGGCCTTGATGCCCAGCGTCATTGCGCCCCCTCGAAGCCCAGGATGCTGGTTTATGTGGCAGCAGCAGCAGTCTGGCCTCTTGGTTTAGGGAGTGGAAAAAGCTAACAAGAGGTTGCCTGGGACCAGGGACAGCAGCCTGGGGGTGGTCACGCCCCCAGATCCTCTGCAGAGTGGTCACAGCTTGCTGCATTCCTTAACAGTGACCATAGGTCCTATGAAGTGGCCTTCCTACACACTCTCTTCGGGTGCCCAGCTGTCACCTGCTCTCCTCACCTGTGGCCAAGGTGAGGACCCCCTGTCTCGTGCTGCCCTACCCCTTACAAGCTCTCCTGCACCCTCACCACATCTTTGTCAACCATCCCCTTATTACACGGTTCCAACCTGTACCCTCCGCATCCTGTGGGGACCCTGACTGGTAGTCGAGTAGGGATCTAGGTTTCTTTTGCCTTGTTTCACAGGATTACCCTCCTCTACGTAGTGATACCTGACCTGCCACATCCTGGCCCACTTGAAGGGGAAAAAGACAAACGGGGAGTGTATTAGAGCTCTCTTGCTGCTACAACCAATTACTATAAACACAGTAGGTTAAAAGGACACATCTTACAGTTCTGTAGGTTAGAGGTCCCACGCGGGTCTCACTTGGCCAAAATCAAGGTGTTGCACAGCTGTGCTCTTTTCTGGAAGCAGTAAAAAAGAATCCCTTTCCTTGCTTTTCCCAGCTTCTGGATCCATCTTGAAAGCCAGGAACATCAGGCCACGTCCTTCTCATGCCTATATCTTGCTGATCCTCTCTCTGGTGCCTTCTCTTCCACCTTTAAGGACTCTTCCGATTACTTTGGACCCACCCAGATAATTCAGGCTAATTGCCCCATTTCCAGGTCAGCTGATTTCAACCCTAATTCCATCTGCAGCCTTAAGTTCCCTTCATCATGTAACATGACGCAGTCCCAGGCTATGGAGATTAGGCCTTTTGAAGGCCATTAGCCTGCCTGCCCACCATGGAGGTTGAACAGCTTCCTTTTATGGTTGTGTCCTTGAAGCTGCACACAACACTCTCACTGACATCCCTGCGGCCAGATTCAGTCACTCGGCCCCAGTGGACCGCAAGGGACGTTGAGCAATACAGTGTCTCTCCCTGGGCAGCCGTGTGCCCGTTTAGAAGGTGGAGGAGTTCTAGTCCCAGAAGGAAGAAGGACACCGGACAGCAGTTCTTTTGGTTTCCCCTCATTTTCCACCTTGGTGCTTTGGGCCCTTAACTGCTGGGCCTGAGCTGCCCGTCACCTGAGATTGGTTTCTAATTTAGGAGGAGATGGAATGGCTTCCTTAACAGACCACACCAGCTGCCTCATGGTGATGTTTCCTGATCTTCATTAATGGTTTGCTGATGAGACTAGCTGGTTTGCAAATGTTTCTGCCTGACCTCTGGTCACAGGGCTGCCCCACGTTTCCTGGCCACCCCAGTGTGTGTGACCGACCCAGTGCGCTGTCCGCTATCTTGCTCTCCCACCTTCAGAGTCATGGATCCCTATTATTGAGTCTTGCTGTCTCCGTCTCTGTAAGCCTGGCCCCTGCTCTCCTCCGTCTCAACCTTGGCTCTCTACCTCCTCCCCTTCACCCCACTCCTGCTCTGACACATGGAGTCTAGACTCAGTCTAGACTGCTCTATGCTGGCCCCTCACATGCCTCAAGAGACTTCCCAGTGCTTGGGTAGATGTCATGTTCACTCAACTCAAGTTTAGGAAACTATTTGAATAGTTGTAACAGAAGCAAAGAAAATGTATTCCCGTTGATGCAAGGCAGAGCCATGCGTTCTTCCGTGAAAACTGATGGAGCCTTCTTGATGCAAAGTACGTGGATCTATAACCAAGAGAGAGTGAAAACCTGACACTGTTCATAATTCTATCCAAATGCCTCATGGGCAAGACTTTACTCCCTGTACCTGACTTTGGGCTCCGATCTCTAAGGAAGTACGTTTTTACTAGATGACTTGACAGTTGCCCCGTTGAGTTGGAGTACATATGAATACCCAGCTGTTTCAGACTCCTCAGGCTTACAGAGAGGGAGGGTGGGAATTATCATTCTGATTGGGGTAACTGATCTCAACTCTTAATGAGAAATAGACCTTTTGTCACACAGTGGCAGCAGGGAGGGTGATGACTGCAGTCCAGACAGTCCTGTCCTGCCAAGTCCAAGGGCAAAACGTAATACAAGAGCACTCTGCCCCTATACTCGCAGGACCTTCCAAGACAGCATCCTCAGGAAAGAAGATCTGGGTCCATTTCCTTGATAAAGAGATGCTTGCTGAAGGCAGAGGGGAGATGGAATGAGTAAAGGGAAGGTGGGATGATGGAATCAATCCCAAGGCAACCTTATGAGGAGTTAACAGAAATGAAATCTGCAGTCTCCATCTGTGTTTCTCGTGTGATGCTTTGCGTGTACTCGCAGTTTTTATTATAAAATATAAAAATACATTTTATTCCCTTTTAAGTTCCCTTCTTTACCCCACTGCTCTACACTTGATGTGTGTTCGTGGTAAACTTCATCATCTTGATCATAAGTTGCAGTACATCAGAGACCAAATTTTAACAGAAAAGGAAGCAAGCCCAGCTGGATGCACTCAGCGAGTGACGGGACTTTGGGTTGGTTCCCTTGAAGACAGGGTGGATGTGCTCTCAGAGGGCTGCGTGGATGCAACATTGTTTTTGTTTTAGAATCAAACGTGGGATGAAGAATGTATCATGTTATGAGGAAAAGGTGGGCTATGATGGGCATTTGTAATTTTTTGATGCTTCACATCAAAATACTTCCCACCTTGGAAGATTCCAAAGATAGATGGAGGCAAAACTCCCTCCCACGACCAAAGCTGAGGGGGCAGATGTTCTGTTTTCTCTCCGGCAGCCAGCGCACATGAAGACGCTCAGGCAGTTGGATATCTTTCCCAGGGATTTTGAGTCATGGGCAAGCTGCAAGACCGTTGAGAGTTAATCAGATGGTACAGAGTGTCCAGTGTTAGCCTCTCACCTGAGTGCCCCTGAGGTGTGATCTTGAATATATTCCCAGATGTATAATTGCCCTTGGTTACATTTTTCCCTGTCATGTCTTCAAAGTTACGTGCTATTAGATTACCTTTAAATAAATTCCTCTCAGGATGCCCAGGTGGCTCAGCAGGTGAGCGTTTGCTTTTGGCTCAGGTTGTGATCCCGGGGGTCCTGGGATCGAGTCCCACATCAGGCTCCTTACAGGGGAGCCTGCTTCTCCCTCTGCCTGTGTCTCTGCCTCTCTGCCTGTGTATCTCATGAATACATAAATAAAATCCATAAAAAAAGAAATTCCTTTCTTGCATAATAAGCTCTTGTTAGTTTTCCACATTTGCATCCAAGAATCAGACTGGTAAAATCATAATATTTCATTGGTTTTTTATTGTTATTTGCATTCTTTGCATTTTTAATATCAGAAGCGCCACAACGAATTATTCACGAAGCTTTTCTCCCCCCGTATTTAAGATTATTTTCTTAATATACAGGTTCAGCTGGGTCTTAGATCTCGTGACACATTTTCAGATGCCTTTGCAATATGTAATGGATACTGTTTCACCAAATCTTTGCCTTGGTCACATCTTGAACAACAGATGCAGCAAGTAATAGAAGTTAGCAATGATTTATCTGAGGAAGAAGATTTTTCATGTATGTACATTTTTTAAAAGATAACCAAAGCTTATCATTTTAAACACCAAAGTTTAGAAGGCATACCACTTTTTAATGACAGTCTTTCCAAAGTGCATCATATCCTTCCTGACCTCCTCACACTGGAATCCCAGGTGGCCGGGAGGAGATGACGGGTTGATCTCGTCCTTGGCCTTGATTCCCTTGGTTACTGTGCTTTCCTTAGGGCTGGGGCATTTTTCTGCCCCACCCTTGGTCAGTAGGAGGACAGAATCTCCTCCTTCTTTAACCCTTTGCGCACTCTCTGGCTGTTACTTGTTTTTTTTTTTTTTTTGATTTAAATTTATTTATGATAGTCACAGAGAGAGAGAGAGAGAGAGAGAGAGAGAGAGAGAGAGGCAGAGACACGGGCAGAGGGAGAAGCAGGCTCCATGCACCGGGAGCCCGACGTGGGATTCGATCCCGGGTCTCCAGGACCGCGCCCTGGGCCAAAGGCAGGCGCCAAACCGCTGCGCCACCCAGGGATCCCTCTGGCTGTTACTTGTATAGTCTCCAACCACTGAAAAGGAAGAACAGTTGAGGGTTCCTATTGCAAACAGATAACGATGCTTGTCAAGTTAAGTCTATCGTCTGTCCAAGCATGGAAGTCAGTATCCTGATGGGAAGCCTGGAGTATCTTCCACCCTCTACACGGGAGAACACAACTTAGATTTTGTGATCGCCTATTTTCCAACTATGGTTCAGTTTGTGTGACATTTGTTGGTAGAAGTTTCCAGACATCAAAGTGCTGGGTAGATAGAGCATTGCAATCATACATTTCAAAAGAAATTTCTGGTGGGCTTTCCAGTAGAAAAAATTTCATTTCATTCTTCAGGATCTCCAGGGAAACTGCAATTCTCCTAAATAATATATGTTTTATGTATAATCCTAAAGCCCCTTCATTGAATTTTTAAACCCATTAAAAAAAGATTTTATTTATTTATTCATGAGAGACACACAGAGAGAGGCAGAGACATAGGCAGAGGGAGAAGCAGGCTCCATGCAGGGATGGGAGCCTGATGTGGGACTCGATCCCAGGACCCCGGGATCATGACCTGAGCCAAAGGCAGATGCTCAACCACCCACTGAGCCACCCAGACGACCCTAAACCCATTTTTTTTAATGAGTTAGTCCTTACGGGAAATGGCTCCAGCTGCTTTCCTCTTTTATATATCAATGTTGGCATCTATTATTTCTTATTCAAACACGTGGGGCCAAATCCCTTAAAATAATCCCTCTGAAGTATTGCTTTCACAAACAGAAGCAGTGTGCTCAGTTAATACATCCAGAAAAGGTTAATGTGAAATCATAGACTTATTTCAAAATGAGACAATTTCACACTAAACAATAACGAAAGGATTGCTGGTCTTTCAAAAATCAGTAGCAGATTTTACAGCAAAACTGCTTACAGACAAATTATGAAAAGTAGCTCAACATTTCTCTCTTTGAATATTGTTCCAGTGCCATTTGGGGCAAACAGAATTTTGATTGGGAGAATGAATAGAGAGGGAAGTGGGTGTAAAAACAAGTTGCATTTTGAATTGTATGCATTTTATTCAGAATAATCGTTTTATAGATAAAGCATATCCAAATAAAAAGAAAACACGGGACAATCTCGCCCACGGGACACGGTCCAGATTTATTCCATTCTAGTGCTAGAAACATTGATGTATTTGTGGCTTAATTTGCTTGCATTTATTTTTATTTTGTTTTATTGTGGTAAGAACATTGAATATAGATCTACCTTCCAAACACACTCTTAAGTATGCAATGCATTGTTGACCTTACACAATGTATAGCAGAACCCTGGAATTTATTTTACTTCACCAGAATTTTATGCCCATTGATTAGTAACCCATTGCCCCCCTGCCCCCCTCCCCTGGCAACTTATTTCACACTTAGGCTCACTTGACTGAAGTGATGATTAATGAATAGAATGCTTATTTATTTTGTACTTGTCACACGTAATAAATTATTTTTATGTGTTGGGAGGGAAAGGAAGGCAAGAAGAAAGGTTTCTGAAGCCAGAAACCGTGTCTCTACTTCCTCCTTTCTATTCCACGTGGAACAGCATTTGCTTGGCCCAGCTCAAATCCAGGGCAAGGAGCGGGGCTCCCGGAGGCAGAGGAGGCGGGGCTGACCATTGCCCTTTCCCCAGTTCAGCTCTGCTCCTGAAGCTTCTTTGTCAGATGCCAGAAAAGAAGGCACAGGTGACTTTGCACGTCACCTCTGCCTAACTGTAGCAAGTAGCATATTTATTTCCCTGCTCAGTGATCTCATTTTTAATGGCAACAACTTGATCTTCCAACTGTTTCAGTTGGTCAGCTTTTTCTTGTCTACTCAGCTGCAGATCTTGGATCTTCTTTTCTAAATCTGAAATAAGAAAATGAAGTAAAGGATAGACTCGGTTTTGGTGGATTCATCCTGGATACCCACCTTACGTGAAACACAGGGTTTTCTGTGCCTCTTAAAGGCATATTTAGTTTTGCATTTTGATTCAACAGACAAAAAATTAATTTTCACAAGACTCTTCAAAGTTTTCACACAAATCTGGGCAATGTGATGTTTTTGCCTAAAAAAATTGTATATCTAATGGCATTTATCAACATTAGTCTAAAGTTAGTTGGAATTTGTTAGAAATGAAAAGATGGATGACGAGCCTTGATTGGACTTGGTGAATATTTCCACAGGTTTGCTTGTGCTGTTTTAACTTTGCTTTTTAACATGTGCTCATCACTTTAGGGGTTCTCAGTCTTTCAATAAAAAAAAAGACTTCATTCTGCTCTGCTGATATTCAAGCCCCTGAAGAGTAAAAGCAACATGATGCCTTTCACTGTTAGCCATCCATCCATCCATATCCATTCTTCATACAACAAATACCTGGGAATTAGAGTAAACCCTAGCAAGGAGCCCATAAAGTCGTGGATGGAAGAGGTAGAGAGGGTGACAGTTAATGGTGTGAAGTCGCCTTAGAAAAAGAAACTGCCCTTAGGCAGAAGTGGAACTTCTTAAAGAAAGGAGGTAAATGTCCCACGTCACCTGGACAGGTCGCACCTGGACAATCCGAGGGAATTGACAAAGCTACCCTGTAGCATATGTTTAGAGGAAGAAGCCAGATTGCTGAAGAAATGTGAAACTGTCCCATGAACAAAAGACGAATTAACTGATGATGTTTTATATAGAGAAAGAAGATTCAGGGCATGTCCTGTAGTTATTTTCAAGCATTTGAGGGCTATGAAAGCAGAGGACATGTGTTTTTTGTCATCCTGAGGAAATAGAATGAAACCAGCAGGAGCAAGCTCCATGAAGGAAGACTTTGTCTGGAGATAAAGAACTTTCTAGCAGTCACAGCTGTTCAAAGAGAGAGCTGCTATGGGAGGTGGTGAGCATTCTGTCTCTAGGAACTTAAATATAGGTCCATTTGGGATTCAAAGGGAGATTCAGCACTGGCAGCGTTATTTGTACTAAAAGGATGAAAAGACCCCTGCGTTTCTACCACCGAAGTTAATGAGACTGTGCTGGTTACTCGTCCTTGGCCTGACCACATCCATTCTCCATCCCGCTCTGTCCTGGAAAGCTAGCCTCAGTGGATGACATCATCTGGCTCCCTGGATCTCTGGAGCGCATCCACACACTTGGCCACCAGACAGTTCTGAGAAGTGATGGGCGGGGCGGAGGGTGCACAGCTGTCCCTGTGGATCACAGGGCTCTGCAGTTTACCTCTCCACCTCTCCTCTCAGCCTGCAAGATGGGCCCCTGTCTTTGGCTCCAGCATTCAGAGAGCGACTTCAGAGCACTGGTCCTCCCGCTCTCCCTGTTCCTTGGGGCCCACGGGTGCTGATGGCTCCTCACTGCTGCGGATCGCACAGGACCTCCACACCCTTAGCGGATTCTCTGAATTCCTGGGTCTTTTGAAGAGGTCCTCCCACTCAGGAGCAGAGGGTATCTCCCCTTCCCCTCAAACCAGGTCCAGCTTTGCAGGTGGTTTTGACCAACAGAAAGTAGGAGAAATCAAGGCACAGGACCTCAAGGGCCTTACAGCTTCTGTGCTCGTTGTCATGGAACCCTGACACAAGCATGCTGTCAAGTGGCCTGGGATGAAAGGCCCTGTCCTGTGGAAAGGAGTCCCTAATCTCAGGCAAGCCCGGCCCCAGGCAGACCAGCCAGCTGAGCCCTCAGCTGAGAGCCCAGACCTTGCAGAACCACCCAGGCAACCCCCAGAAAAACAACACATGGTTGTTTTAAGCCCTTGAAGTTGGGGAGTGCTTTGTCATGCAGGGAATAGGTAACCCAGCCAACTCTCCTTACAAATATGTGATCCACAATTAGATTCAAGTGTGCTTCCTGTTTCTTGCTGGGACCCTGATGGGCATGAAGTTCTATGGGGGGACCCTGACTGTGGGCTGGGGCCCATTCTCTACTCTCTCTACCTTGACCCTACCAATGGAAGCAAAGGCTCCTCTCTGGGACTCCCTGGGCACTTCTTCCTAACAGGTGGAACTAGAGCATAGTCCCTGTGGCTCAGACCTTTCTCGAGTGGCAAAGTCAGGAAGGTGGCCAAACCAAGGCCTTTTTTTTTAGATTTTATTTACTTATTCATGAGAGACACAGAGAGAGGCAGAGACATAGGTAGAGGGAGAAGCAGGCTCCCTGCAGGGAGCCCGATGCAGGACTCGATCCAGGACCCTGGGATCACGCCCGGAGCTGAAGGCAGATGCTCTGACCACTGAGCCACCCGGGTGCCCCTCAAACCAAGGTCTTATTCTCCTACATTGTTGAACTGTGAAGACAGCTTTAAGAAGAACTCAAAAAGTGGAGTGCGTTATTTTAGACCTCTCTGAGAAGGCCCCTAACTTCTCTTCCAACCTAATTTCAAAAACTGTGAATGTTCTAGTCTATGGGACTAAGTGAAAACAATTTGGGTCTCAACATAAAGCACAAAACGGAAATAGTCTCCCCGGGCTTTGCTCCTACAGTTAGGACCAACAGACTTTTATGATATGGCCTATGGAGGGTTAAAAAAAATCTGTCTTTTTGAACTTTTCCTAGTAATTCCCTTTTAAAACTGTTAGGAAAATACTGAAAATAACAATTATGTAAATTATATAAATGTAAAAGATGTAAATTATATAAACAGGTATATACATGTAAAAAGCAGTGTTTGCTTCTTCACTCTCCCCCCACCCCAGAGATAACGAATGTTAACAGTTTGGTATGTATTTTTCCTAACTTTGGCTCACACCAGTGTTGCATTTTCATTTTTTTTTTTTACGTCGTGGGGATGATATGAATGGTTCTACTAAGGCCAAAGACTCATTTCATAACAAAGAAACATTATAAGTGAGGAGTCTTGGTTGTTTTAATATCCTGAGAGTTACTTATGTTCCAAATGAGTATGACTAACTTTAAAGTTTTAGAGGCAATAAATGCAACCAGAGGTAAAACTGGACCACTCATCATCTGATACTTCTTGATGATTTAAAGGTAATTAATAAGGGCATGAACTGCCCAGAAAAATCATGAGTACCCATTGTGGGAAAGAAGATTCTAATTAATTTTCTAATTGTGTGTTGTGTATTCTATGTTTACTATACTTGGCATGCATCAAAATCTCCATCTTTGATCAGAATCCTTGTCCAGGGATGCCTGGGTGGCTCAGGTCGTGATCCCGGGGTCCTGGGATCGAGTCCCACATGGGGCTCCCCGCAGGGAGCCTGCTTCTCTCTCTGCCTGCGTCTCTGCTTCTCTCTCTGTGTCTCTCATGAATAAATAAATAAAAATCTTTAAAAACAATCATTGTCCAAACTATGGTTCCTTCTGGAATACTGCCTAGGGATCTATATGAGATGACCAGTGCCTTGGAGTCGAGATCATACTGACTCTAAAACAGTTATTCGCACGGAAGGAGAAAATAAGAAGCATAGGTAAGGACAGGGTTCCTCAAGCTTCTCAACGTCCACACCATTAATATTCTGGGCAAAATATTTGCTCACTGTGGGACTCGAGTGGGACTGTCCTGTGCGGTATAGAATGTTTATTAGCATCCCTGGCCCCCATCCACTTGATGCTGGTTGTACACCCTAGTTGCGACAAGCAGAAATGGCTTCAGACACTTTTGTCTCCAGGGGAGGAGATAAAGTCACCCCTGGTTGAGAACCAGTGGGTTAGGTAAAGGGCATCTCTGGTTGAATGAAGTTTGTTGTGATGCACGCAGAGCGGAGGCTCCCTGAGACCCTCTGAAGTAGAACCATGCAAGTGGCTAGTTATATTGCAGTCTCCAAGGCTCTGACCCAATTCCTACTTCCTCGACTCAGTGGACTCCAAAGTGGTTGGACTGTGCCAATGATAAGTTGGTATAAATGCTACCAGGAAGGTGGAGGATTAGGTTATCGTCCACTTGGTGGAGCGTGTAATAGGATAGATAGAGCTCCCATAGGATCCAGCAATCCCCTTACTGGGTATATAGTGGAAGGAAATGAAATACAGATCTCGAAGAGAATCTGTGTTCCCATGTTCACAACGGACAAGAGATGAAAATAACCTGAGTGCCCGTCGATGGATAAGTGGATAAAGAAAATGTGGGGCGTGTGTAGCTGTGTGCGTATAAAATTCAACCATAAAAAAGAGAAGGAAATCCTCCCATTTGCAAAAACATAGATGAACCTGGAGGACACTATGCCAAGTGACAATAAGCCAGAGAGAGAGAGACAAATACCATATATATGATCTCACTTGTACATGGAATCTTAAAAAAAAAAAAAAACCCATCGAAGCAGAGAGTAGAAGAGTAGAGTGGAGGCCGGCAGGTGGGGGGAAGGGGAAAGGTTGGGAAAAGTTACAGACTTCCAGGTTTAAGAGGAGAAAGTTCAAAAAAAAAAGAGGAGAAAGTTCTGGGGATCAAATGGTCAGTGTGGTCCTGACTCGTTACGGTGTGAGTAGATCCTCAGCATTCCCACCAGGTGATGATCTTAATCGTGGTAATCATTTCACAATGCCGATGTCCATCGAATTTTCACCTCGTACACTTTATTTTTTTCTTTTTTTTTATGTTTTTTTTACATTGTATACTTTAAGTGTACACACTTTCCCCTGTCACCTCTACCTCCATAAAGTGGGAAGAAAAGAAGAGATTACCTGCTATTCTTCTTATCTTGTCCTCTGTATCCTCGGCCAGTTTCCCTGCCACGTCTTTTAGCCGTTCCACTCTTTCCCACGTCGCCTTGGTTAGTCCCATAGCGCTGGTCTTACGTTGAAGAACAGCATATTGGTTTTTCAGCTCTGCAAACTCCTGTAAGACAGCAGCGCTCCCATCACCAGAAAATATTTATAAAGCATGTGGCCATGCATGATAGTTGCCCGATACTGTTCATCAAAGGAGCAAGAGGACACCGTGATCCAGTCAATACGCTTGGGTTAACCCTGGTCCTTCCAACAGGACTTTTATTTGCATTTCTTTTTTCTGGAAAGAATCTCAGCTTTGATTAAAAATAAAATCGCTTTGTTGTAAAATAGCCCTAGCGGTCGTGATTCCGTGTGAAGGCAGTTAGTCATGGGGCACCAGTTGTGTGTCCCAAACTACTTAAGGTGAGAGATGCCATACTGAGGCCATCCTGCCCTTGACAAGTCTTGGGCTCAGCCGGGTGGGACAGCTACCAGGGCAGGACAAAGGGCAGAGTGGACGCTGAAGCTTTAGGTGCAAGGAGCACAAGGATGGGGGGCGGGGGGAGTACAAGTGTTAGTCTGAAGAGCTCCCTCGGCCTGAGAATGCAAATCTCAGGGGTGGGCCTGGGACAGCCTAGGACGTGGAACAGCTGAGTGAAGCCCAGGAAGGGAAATGGGGAGAGGGTGGGTGGGGAGTACCCATCCCAACCTCCCAACCCCTGTTCCATAGAGAATGTGCTCAACTCCCAAGTCCATGGAAATGAACCAGTGCGTTTTAGGAATGAAAAGCAAGAGAGGGCAGCCCCGGTGGCTCAGCGGTTTAGCGCCGCCTTCAGCCCAGGGCCTGATCCTGGAGACCTGGGATCAAGTCCCACGTCAGGCTCTCTGCTTGGAGCCTGTTTCTCCCGCTGCCTGTGTCTCTGACTCTCTCTGTGTGTCTCCCATGAATAAATAAATAAAATATTTAAAAAAAAGAAAGAAAAAAAAAAAGAAAAGCAAGAGAACGGACTCATTGTAAAAACACTCAAACCTTTTTCTTTTGCTACTATATGAACGCAACCAACCAGAGATGCCTGCTAGGAAAATGAGTTGATAGCTTCTTTCAGCAATCCGGATGAACCGGGTATTTTCCTGCAACAGTTTCATGAACTCACCCGGACTTCTGTAACTTGACCTATTCTCTTTGGCAGGTGACTTTCTCTCCTCGTTTTTCATTATAGGGGATGTGCCCCAACTAGCGTCAAGGGTAACCACTCCCAAGATAGACCGTCTAGAAGAAAGGTTTGCCGAGGATACCACTCCATAGTTCCCAGGAGGGATCTACTCTGGTCGGGGAGGAAGCACCCCGTCCCAACTTGGTCAAAGGCCTTCCGTCTTCCCTGGAGACAGCCCTCTGCTCCAGAAGAGACGTTGTGCTCTTGGGGATCCCTAGTAACACAGGCCATGAGCACACTCCAGCATGAACGGGACTGCTGGTAAAGCAGCTCCGTGTGTCTGCCCTTGGAGGGACCGGGGCTGGGGGGTGGGGGTGGCACTTAGTGACCTGCTCCAGGCCCCCGGCCTGGCGTTGGGCCCATGCAGCCTGAGCTGTCACCCGGGTGGCTCGCTCTCCAGTCCTTTGCAACGTGGTCCGCAGCCGGGAAAGCCCATCCTCCAGCTCTGAAGGCTGCTTTGCTAAGTCCAGCACATTCTTCGAGTCCTTGGCTTCCTTTTCAGCCTGTTGTTGATTTAAAGAGCAGAGAGGAGAAAGTGTCTTCATGTAACAAACAACAAGAAGACAAATGACATAATTACCCCTGGGGAAATAAGCTAGGTGCGAGCAGAAAGTAAATCATTCCTTCCATTTTTTTCCCTCTTCCATTAAAAACCACATTGTAATAAAATATTTCAGACCCACACGAGGATGCAAAAGCAAATGTGACACGTACCCATGCGCTCGGCCAGTGAGCTAAGGCTCCCCTCACACGCCCTCACCCTGTGAAGGTAAAACCACTACCCTGAATCGAAGATTTGTCATTCCATGTGCTTCTACATGCTTTTTTGCTATACTCCACAGTATTTCTAACACATGCGGTGTTTTTTTCTTTTCTTTTTTTTTTTCGGTGTTTTTTCCAACTTTGCACAAATATATGCTACTGTGTATTTCTGCAACTTGAATCGTAATTCAAAATTATGCTCCTACAGTTCTTGACTAATTTGCATGGCTGTTTATTCACTTTTAGCAACTTAAAGCATTCCATTGTTTGAACATAGTTTACATTTCTATTCTCCAGCTCATGCAGGTGGCTCCTGCATCCACAGAACAACAATGAACGCCTTATGCTTGTTTCTTATTTCCATGATTCTGTTTGTCACATCTAGAAGTCAGATCTGTCTGGTCAGCCGTTAGCTCTTGTATCTTGTTCTTTGGCCATAGCTTCGTCCCTTCTTTGATTTTTGTGAGCATAATGAACGTTCTGAATTTGTACTCTACATCCAGTAACAGATCCGCAGCCTCTTGCATTCTGATTCTGTCGTTTTACCGTTTCTGATGACTCTTGCTTGAGGCAATTTGTTCTTTTATGGGTTTGGGGAGGCATCTTAGAGGCTTGGTTTTGAGGTGCATTCCTTTGGAGGGGATTTCTGTTTGCCTCTGGCAGGCATCTATCTGCCAGGACCTCCTTAAGTAACATTTTTGGCTTGGGTTGTTGGGGCCACACAGGTGGTGTGACTTCTATCCTCGAACTCAAGTAAGCCAGCTTGCGGTTAGCGATGTTTAGTGAAGAATCTCACAAGTGAGGTGCACCTGCACCTCCCCTCGTGTGTGTGTGTGTGTGTGTGTGTGTGTGTGTGTGTGTGTGTGTAGGAGGAGGAGGAGGAGTTGTTGAACATTTCATTGAGGATTTTGCCTTTCCAGGCAGGGGTCTTAATCTCTCCATTTGTGGGCTTTGTTTTCTGTCTCTTATGCATGGCGAGCATTAAAACCAACAGCTCTCACACACCAGGGATTGGTGGATACCCTTTGCCTGCTGTCAGGTTCCTGTTTTAATGCCTCTCCAGATTCATACTTCCCCCGCCATTGTTGGCCTCTGAAAATTTCTTCCATTTCTTACTAATTCTGCTATGTATTAAAATTTTTAAAAAATATCCTAGCCAACATTTTTGGGCTTTTTTTCTACTAGGAGGGTTCCTTGGGAGCCCTACGTATACCGTATTTTAGAAATTTAAAAAAATTGAAAACCTTCTTGTGCCCTTGGACATATGACGAAGTCTTTTCTAGAGCACAAATCTATAAACTTTCTCTGCAAAGGACCAGATAGTAAAGGTTTTATACTCTGTGGCCCATGAAGTCTCTATTGCAACTACTCAGCTCTGCGCCCCCGTAGTGCAAAAGCAGCCACAGACAACATGTGGCTATATTCTAATAAAGCTTTTATGATTGTGGATTAAAAGAAGTTACTGCACCCATTTGGCCTCTGGGCTATATTTTGCCCTGCCCTGTTCTAGCATCTATGCGTCGAAGGGGAAAACCTGGAGGTCTTCTTTGTTTTTTGTTTCCTTTGCTACCCTATATTTGCAACCTGTTCACATATGGCCCTTTTATTTCCTGGTGCACTGCTTCATGTTCTATCACTTTCTCCTTTTCTTTTCAAAATGCATATATTTAGATCCAGAAAACCTGGCTGAAGAACAGAGACTGAGGCGCTGGCATTCTCTGGGGAAGGGGATGGACTGGAGGATGCAGCCTTGGAGGAAGCCACTTCACACAGCTTGGGACCAGGTCCCGACCCATCCTCCAACTGCCAGACTTCCTCTCTGGGATCCCTTATGTGGGTTAAACCATGGCCTGGCTCCCACCGAGCTCTGGGTGGAATGCTTTCTTTTGGGTAAGAGATCCTTTCAGTCTTAAGATACTCTGATGAGATTTCACACAAAACCTGGCAGTTACAGAAACCTGGCAACAATGAACTTCGTTTCTTTGCCTTGTGAGCTGTGACAAGTCTTTTACTTTCCCTGGAGTTGGAAGGGTTAAACTCCCTCCTCAACTCTACCTTTAATTAGCTGTGTGACCTTAGGCAAGTCACTTAACCTCCTCCAGGCTCAGTTTCCTCCTGTACAGGCCGATAGTAGCACCTGCTTCGTCCCCAGGAGGGGGTCGACAATGATGAAGTGAGGCCCTGAGAGCTCTGGGAACATCAATTAAATGCACAATACCACCGCTGTGTCATTTTATCCTATAATCATCCCATTAGACAGGTCAGGCAAGCATGACATTGGCACACAGAAAAACCAGGCTGTCTCCACATTCAAAATCTTTTTCAGATTAGTTTCAAAGAAGATAAATACCTGCAGTACGTTCTTTTTAATTTTTGTTATCTCCGCAGTCAGCTGCGTGATGGTGGTATTTATCCGTCCTTGGGTGACTTGAACTTGTTGCAATTTATTCAACGTTTTGTCAAGATTTAATAGAACATTTGCTGCTTCTCTAAGGTAGGATATTAACATGTCAGATCAGATAAATATACAATTATTCATTTGTTTCACCTTGGGAGTTCATTTGGCTCCACGAGAAAACTTGGCTGAATTATTTATAAAGTAAATGTAAATTACTCTGAAGCAAGGCAAAGTGCTGAAATCTTTATTTTGAGGAAGAGGTATGTTTAAATCCCAACAACAACGCATATATATGCATATCAAGTAGATACAGATTTCGCCAGATATGGAAATCAATAATACAGGTCTTATTTATTCTTAATTTGTCATAACCAGAGAGGCCTCAGGACCGTCACTGGCGAGCTCTGAACAAAATAACCATCCTCAGCCAATTCCAGTTCCCTCATTTCTCACACTTAAGCAACACTCTCTAAATCCTTACCGGAGTGGGGGTGGGATAGTTAAGAGGCTCCGCAGAGAGCAAAGAGAACCCAAAGCCCTGCGTTTCCAGGCTGTGTTTATTCAGGTTTATGTAAGCTCGGCTGACATTCTAGCTGCCAGGGGCCCAGGCCGAGGTTAAAATCACAAGCATTCCAAGAGATTGTCTATTTTACAGAAATTTGCTCACCTCAAGTCAACATTCACCAGATCCTCAGATCTGCGGGCTCAAAACCACTTTTGGAAGAATGTACCCAGTGAGTGAACTATCAGATAGGCCTTTGCAGGGGCGTAATCAGAAGTGCGTGTGGAGGAGCAAAACCTGCTTCGTTGCAAAACATCCCCTTTCCCATGCAACCCTACCTCTCCTCCTGGTGGCATCTCTCTTTGGCTTTTTAAGAAAGGATCCCTGGGTGGCTCAGCGGTTTAGCGCCTGCCTTTGGCCCAGGGCATGATCCTGGGGCCCTGAGATCGAATCCCACGTCGGGCTCCCTGCGTGGAGCCTGCTTCTCCCTCTGCCTGTGTCTCTGCCTCTCTCTCTCCCTCTCTGTGTGTCTCTCATGAATAAATAAAATATTTAAAAAATATTAAAAAATAATAATAAAAAATAAACAAGTGGCCTATTAAAAAAAAGTGTTGGGTAGCCAGGCGGGGGGGGGGGGGCTCAGTGGTTTAGTGCCACCTTCAGCCCAGGGTGTGATCCTGGAGACCCAGGATCGAGTCCCACATCGGGCTCCCTGCAGAGAGCCTGCTTCTCCCTCTGCCTGTGTCTCTGCCTCTCTCTCTGTGTCTCTCATGAATAAGTAAATAAAATCTTTAAATAAAAGAGGCTGGGGTTTTGTTTTGTTTTTTAAAGAGCCGTTTTAGGTTCACAGCAAAAAGGAGCAGAAGATGTAGAGTTCCCTTATACTCCCTGCCCCCCACCCCTGCAACGCACGGCCTCCCCAGTTATCAACACCCCTGCCAGATGGGATGGTTTGTTAGCGTTGATAAGCCTACATCGACCATCATAAACACCGAAGTCCAGAGTGTACGTTAGGGTTCACTCTTGGTGGTGTTCGTTATGTGAGTTTGGACAAATGTCTAATGACATGCCCATCATTCTAGTATCACACAGAGTATTTTGACGGTTCTAAAATTTCTCTCTGCTCCACCTATTCACTCATCCCTCCACTCAAGCCCTGGCCACTACTGATTTTTTTTTAATTTAATTTATTTATTCATGAGAGACATAGAGAGGCAGAGGCACAGGCAGAGGGAGAAGCAGGCTCCATGCAAGAAGCCTGATGCAGGACTCGATCCCAGGACCCCGGGATCATGCCCTGGGCCGAAGGCAGATGCTCAACCTCTGAGCCACCCAGGTGCCCCCACTACTGACCCTTTTTACCGTCTCCACAGTTACGGCTTTTCTCGAATATCCTATGGCCGAACCATATCATATGTGAGCTTCTCTTTCTATGCTTCTTTCTCTACAGTTATGGGAGGGGTTCAGGAAATTTCCTTTCTCATAACACCCCTCACCATATCTTTGTACTGTATTCTTTTTCCTTTAGATTTTCTTTAGATTTTCAATGTAGCTGCTTTTAGAGTAAATTGGGAGAATACCAAAACATAGAAGAAGGAGAAAGAGAAGGAGAAGAAGGAAAAGGGGAGGAAGAGAAAAGGAGGGGTGGGGAGGAGGAGGAGGAGGCAGCAACACACAAAAAAGAAAGAAATGTATCAGGAAGGGAAAAATCTACCACTAATCCTACCACCTCTTAAGATTTCAGCACATTCTAGCATTTTTGTCCTACAACTTTTTTTCTTTCCGTGACGGAGATCTTCTTCTACTTATAATCTGTCACCTTAACAGATTAGCAGTAACATTATCCTTGAAGAATCTCTGTGTGTTATTAAGAATCCTTCCCCAGCATCATTTTTTCTAATAGAATTTTTAAAGATTTTATTTATTCATTCATGAGAGACAGAGAGAGAAAGAGAGAGAGAGAGAGAGAGGCAGAGACACAGGCAGAGGGAGAAGCAAGCTCCATGCAGGGAGCCCGATGCGGGACTCGATCCCAAGTCTCCAGGATCGCGCCCTGGGCTGAAGGCAGGTGCTCAACCGCTGAGCCACCCAGGCTGCCCCCAGCATCATTTTTTAATAGCTGTGTGATCACCCTGCAGTTACTTACTCTTCCTGGTTAGAAGTAGTACAACGGGAAGGGAGTGGGCCTACAGAGGAGTCTGGAACGCTGCATGCACACAAGTGCGTCAGGACACAGTGCTGGCAGCTAAGGTCTCAGCTGCTGGGCGCCCTGACATGGTGATGTCACCACCATCCAACTGATCCCACAACTCTGACCCCCAGCACCCCCGTGCTCCTAAAAACACCAACCAAGATGCTTCTTCTGGTTTGCTTGGCTAAGTCCACAAGGCCAGAAGGAAGCAAGAGTTCATGAACTCTATGTACCGTATCTATAATTTCACTCCTGTGTCATTCCTGTTCGTTTCTTCTATTCCTCACCATCATATCTTTTTAGTGTAGACTTTTTAAGAAAAAATTCAGGTCCTCAAAATACTATTATGGTAAATTTAGAAAGTACCAGACTTAGGTAAACAAGAAAGGGAAAACACACCAGTATTCCTACCACGTGTTAAGTCTATGCTGGTATATGGCACCGATTGGTCTAAAGAGGGAACAGGCCACTTGAAAGGCGTTCCAAGTCTATAGCAGGTGGGAAATAAGCATCCCAACTCCTTGCCTCGCAATCCCCTGGCTTCCTGAGACCCCTGTAGACAGCTTGCCCCCCCCTTCCTTTGGGACTGAGCTACTGGGGGGTAATTTCATTTGAACATTAAATAGCTTGTCACACAACTATTTTTCAAATGGCCTGTTAGCAGATGGCCTGGGAGAGCAAGGTGAGAATATTCACACTGTACTTACTCGGCTCCCTTTGCCTTTAACAAAAGCTTTGGGGCTCCATCGACCGCTTTGCGCAGCCTGTCCTCATCTGTCCTGTAGTCCTCACAGAGCTGCATCACCTTCTGTATTTTGTCAAGTTCACTGGTTAGATTTTGTGATGTCGTTGGTAGGTGGACGTCAAGTACGCGATCTGCAACCTTCTCTATGTCCTCTGGAGGCACGTTTTCCTCTGAAATTGGAAGGTGGTTTTAGGTCATCGTGCCTCCTGGTTAAACACCGTATCTTGTAAACACAACCACCGCAAAGTCTAGGCAAAAGGTACGTGCACCTGATTCTGTGTCCCTAGAACACCAGGGTTCGATTGTCTACGTCCCGTAGGGTCCTCTTCACCCTCAGTGGTCCCTTCTCTGAAGAACCACCATTCGTGTAGTGCTGACTACATGCTGCACAAACACTTGTTGGAGAGCTGAAAACCTACAGACGTGGGACATTGTCTATGCTCTGCGAAACGTCCTCCTAAGTCCTTACATATGAATTCAAATGCAATTAAAGCGGTTAGACACCTGTCATGAAGATTCCAATATGATGAATGAGACCGTGGGGAAGCACCAGGTTGGGACTCGACAAAACTTGATTCTGATCCTGCGGGACATCAAAAAAGGCTCACAGCTGTCGCTCATCTGTCTAAACGGGCCACTCTATCTGATGCTGCCCCTCCGAGTCCTGTTTTGAGAAGGGAAGGCGACCACCCAGAGTAAAGGGCCGGATGGACAATGTGTCACAAGGAAACTGTTAAATACACCCCTTGCCCTGCTTTCCAGGAAAATAAAATTGGCCTTCCCTGAGAATTGAAGCAGGATCGCTGAAGAAGAATTGAAGAAGAAGATCGTTAGGGTTTGGGGTGATGACACTTGGTGACTCTCTGGCTCCCTACGGAGGTGTAACACTAAATCCTGGGCAGGGAGTTGGAGATCTAATCCTCAAGGAGTTGACCATCCAGGAGGGAATATAAGCCATTCCTTAGGAATACTGATCATATAAGAATAGAAAATGTTAAATAGAAAACCAAATGATAGGGGATCCACAGGGAGAAGAAAATATTTCAGGAAGAACCTCAGAAAGGCACATAAATTGAGCCTGGAGGTCAGCAGAAATTAAACCTGTGGAAATGTGGGGTGAAGGTGGGGGGAAAGGCATTCCAAACTGAGTGAACCCAGGAGCCAAAGGTTGGGTGCAGCAAGAAGCAGCACCCAGATCACTGTTGGCAGGAGAGTGGAGTTTAAATAGTGTGGGGGGGGCGAAGTCCCAAAAGGCGGGGAGCTCAGCTCCTGGAGCTCAGGGGCCTCTAACTGTGAGGCCTAGGAACTCGGAGTTCCTAGGAGGCCGTGGTCACCACAGATGGCTTTTAGCATTTGGTTGACACGCTGTGAGTATATATCCTTTTGGTAATCATCTTCACTTTAGCTGTTTTGTTTAATATAAAAAGAACATTTTATTTCCTGTCATGTTTTTGAAAAAAAAAAAAAAAAAGGAAACAAGTTTTTTTTTTTGTGAGTAAATTAGAAGCATGCTTTACACAGAATGTACTCTACTTGGAAGTTGACTCTTGAAACAAATAGTATTTAATTTTATAAAAAAGTCCTAATAAAAAGTGAATTTAATTGAACCACAGATTTGTCACCAAACATTTATTGGCATTTGTTATGAGATCATAAATTCAAAATTTTTATATGGGACTTTCTTTTTGTTTTTAAAAATTTTATTTATTTATTCATTAGAGACACACAGAGAGAGGCAGAGACATAGGCAGAGGGAGAAACAAGCTTCCCATGGGGAGCCTAATGCTGGCCTCAATCCCAGGACCCTGGGATCATGACCTGAGCCACCCAGGCATCCCTTATACGGGGCTTTCAGGAGAAGTGACACATTACTTTGTTCATGGGAATTCAGGCCACAAAGAAAATATTAGAATATTAGAAAATATTCAGAAGAGCTGAATAGTCTAGCCACCATACAATTTAATAATACCTTTATTTGGGCTTTATGGGAAGGATAGAGGAAAAGAAATTGGTGAGTAAGGGTACTGCTTTCCTGGTGACCAAGGGTCTTGGGGTCCAGACCAGAGACGTTTGTTTTATGGAATAGGATTTTTCCCTATGCCTAGTCTAATATTCGTTGTAATAATCTAGACACAGATTTGCTCTTTTTTATAGATTCCTTTGGATAATTAAGTAAACTTTTTTTTATTAGAGATGTATGAGAAATTAGACTGATAAGGGAATTGGCTCCAAGACCCAGTGAATGAGATGGAAAGCAGTGGACTTTGCCTTCTGAACCATCCCTGGGCCCCAGAAGTGTATCGTGCCATTTTGTGCTACTGGTCTGGCAGTTTGGCTTTGGTTTGGCTTTGGTGCCTGAATCGACCCGTACCTGCAGCTAATGTGTTCCTCAATCCAACCAGTTCCTGCATCTGTGTCTAGCCGATACCAATCCATCCAGCTAACTCACTGAAAATTTGCTTTTGAATACATAAAACATTCAGTAGGCTGATCCCACCCCATTCATTTTTACTGATTATTTTGGTCATTTTTATTGATTATTTGTACTGCCTCATTTTGTTCTTTTTTTTTTCTCATTTTGTTCTTATTTCAAAAATCAGGACTAGTGCTGCTGAAACAATATCTAGAAACATGGTTATGGAAAAAACGGCCACAGGGGTCTCTTACAAATATTAAACAGATTCACAAAGTGGTTGCAAAGATGGTAACAGACATCCCAATTGTCAGCTGATTCATGTGCGAAGCGTTAAGTTACTGAATCTGGAAGATGGTGATGGAGAAGAAAGCCTCTCAAGATTAATTCTGTATAGTGTTGTACCCAGGATGCATTATTTGCAGAGAGTGAGGTTTCAGGTCAATTTCCAGAAGTACTATTTGATTTTTTTTTAATCTCCAAGTCATAATTCTCTATAGTTTAAAATAAACCTCTTAAATAAAATAAAATGAACTTCTCCAAAAATAGAGTACAATGAAGGATAATGTCATAATTACAATCATCATCATCATCATCAAATTGCTCCTTTTAGTCAACCACAGAGAACCAATATGTAACTTGGAAAATAGTCCATAATAATAGCAATAATCGATATTTTAGATATCAACTCACTATAGTATTTGATATAGTAATCAAAATCTGGCATGCCTTGATCTCAGATATACCTTGTCAGCAGAGGAAACCATGGAATACTAACATTAGAGCATATGATAGAATCATCATGTTAGGTTTTTTTTTTTAAACACACACACACACACACACACACACACATAACTTTAAGCACCAAGTTCATTTGTTTGAAATTTTAACTAAATTCTAGCATTTTTTTACTAAATTGATCTCATACAAAGATATAGATAGATAGATAATAGATAGAAAGATACAGAGTTAATATTTGGGGATTATTTTCATTAAAAATTTTTAAATCAAGTGGTACATCACATTTCTGATTTAGGCATTTTGTTTCCACTTAATGTAATTTGGGATTGGTTGTGCTGTTGGAGTATACATTGTAAAAAAGAAAAAAGCAAAGAAAAAGAAACCAAAACTAGTCCTAATAAAGTTTTCTAATTACCTGACAAAAACTTTTTCAGCTTTTTGATTAAAAGACTCATTTTCTCTTTCTCAGATTCACTTTGGTTTTTCATATTCCTCAGTTTCTCGCTTAGTTGTAAGGCATTGTTTTTGGAGACCTCTGCCAGTTTACTTACATTTTTGAGCTGGAATAAGAAAAAAAATAACAATGAGGAAAAACACACAAGTAGGCACATTGTGTGATGTTTAATTACTTAGCTGGACCAAATGAAACTCACTAAAAACAAAATGGGAGTACAGATAATTAAACAAAAGATTCATTTTAAGGGATTCCTTTAAAAGGTGATGATATTATTTGTCTTCATTATCATGCTTTCTTAACGTGAGTTTATCTTGTGGCTCCTGGCTGGCTCAGTCAGTGAAGCATGTGACTCTTGATCCTGGGGTTGTGAGTTCGAGCCCCACATTGGGTGTAGAGATAACTTAAAATATAAAACCTTTAAAAAATAATGTGCATTTATCTTTTCAAACATTATTCACGATCAAAATTATTATTTGAAAACAATATTGACCTAGTGCTAATGACTTTTCCTGATACAAATGTAAAATACAAATTCTGTTTTAATGAGACTTTAGCCTTCTATAGCATCAGCAAATTACTTAGGACTACTTACAGTGGTCATTACACTTAACAAGTTAAGAGCATTTCCTTTTATGTAAGTTAAAATAATTACTCTTCTTGACATCCCTCAAATTCAAGTAATGTTCTTTCTTTGAAAGCTAAAAAGAAAGCATTCCTCCTTTTAATAACGAGTTTGAACTTGGAGCAGCCTACAAAGATAAATTCCAGATGCTTTGTACACTTGGTGGAGGAATGATAGATCTAAAGGCTTGCCCTCTAGAAGTGCAAATTCTTAATTACGCGATTTGAGAAAATTCGTGGGCTTTTCTTGAGATTCCAACAAATTAGAGAAAGAGAAAAAAACCAGAAAGCAATAGGACGATATCACCAACAAGTTGAGCTGTATGGAACAAATTAATTGTGACAGAAGTAGGGCTAATTAGGATCAAACACAATTAGGAAAAGAAAAAAATCTCCCTTTATTTTCCCACAAAAGGAACCAGCTTAATTTGAGCCCTATAGATTTTGTAGAAAAGGATTTAATTGCAGTCATTGGCAAACGATGAAACAAAAAAGAAATATTTACATGATTAAAAATATGTGTCTTCAATTTTTTGAGAGTCGTTCTTTAATTTTCTGGAACTTGGAAGACCTAAAAGTGGTTAGCAGTAGCTAAGAGGGATCTGAAAAGTTCCCGTCCCAAGCTAATAATGTAGCTATGTGAGGTGATGGATGTTGACCAAACTTCTTGTGCTTACCATTTGACGATATAGACAACTATCAAACTATGTGCCCCTAAAACTAGTACAATGTTCTATGTTAATTATATCTATCTCGATTTAAAAAGTCACTAAAATGGTTAGTGGGTAAGAACACATAGAAATAAAGCAAGAATTCTGGAAATAAATACTCTGGACAGGCAAACATAGAGATGAAATCTGTGTCAATTGGTCGATGCTGTATTCAGAAAGAGAGATTGCTAAATTACTTCACTCTTAAAACATCTCTCTGCAATCCATCTTCTGTCACAACTGACTCCTGAGAATTCTCTCACAATCTTTTCTGGCACTCTTCCCCCTTCTAATCAAGAGGAAAACAGCACACCATTTTATCTACATGAAAACCCCCGCCCCCATCCTTCCCAGTTCTTCATTTACCTGCTGATCAAGCCAGATTTTGCTAGAACCTGCGTCAGGGGCTATCTTCTAAAAGTAAAAGCTTAACACGGGCTTATTTAAATGGTGTGATGTTTCTGGTTTTTTGAGACGGGACAGTAAGGTGTGATAGTTAAAAATTATGTAAACAATCAAGGATTGTTTTAAACACCAGGATGCAGGGCCAGGATTTGTTTTTGTTGTGTAAACACTTGTGTTCCCCACATCTAGATAAATGTCTTGCACATAGTGGGCACTCAATGAATATTTGTCAAAAGAAAGAAGAATAATATATAAATGAAAACTACGTGTGCATGTGCATGCAAGCATGCGTGTGAGTGTGTGTGCAGGAGATATGCACACATATCTTTGCTGTGGTTTTCAGCCCATTCCCAAGCTTGGCCCTCTATCCTCCTGTTGACTCAGAGACCGTTTTTTTCAGGAGTTGGTTTTGGGTGCTTACAAACAGGAATGCTGACTGCTGTAATATCTAACATATTATTGGTAAAGAAATTCAGCTCTTTAAGAGATTTTTCTTCTTCATCAAACACTCCATGTGTATTGTCAAAAATGTAGCCAGCTAGGGCACATCGTCACCTTGTAATCCAGAGTAATCCAGTGTATTCACAGAATACCTAATATTGTATTCATCATTTCAAGGTGAATATAGAAGGTATTCACACATACACACACAAAAAAGAACTAAAGAAAATGAGGCAGTTAAAAACTATTCTCATTTATCAATGTGACTGGAAAAAAAAGTGAAAATGCTTAAAGTTATTAGAGACTCAGTTATCAGGTACTTAAATATTAAAACGGCTGTATCTTGTCTAACAACATAGGAAGGAGTACAAGGCATAAGGGTGTCTTCCTGTTAAAATATTTTCTAACATTAAATTTTAAACAATTTTAAATTTAACAGCTTTATTGAGGTATCATTGAAATACAGTAAACTGTACATATTTAAATATGCAATTTGAGATATCCAGACAGTCATACATCTATAAAACTACTAGCCCAGTCAAGATAATGAACATATCCATCACTCTCAGAAGTATCCTCTTGCCCCCTGGTAATCCCTTCCCCTCATCTCTCCCTCCCCATTTCCAGGCACTTACTGATCTACTTTCTGTCACTATAGATTAGTTTGCATTTTCTCGGCATTTATGTAAATGGAACCTTATAATGTGTTGTCCTTTGTTTGGCTTCTCTCACTCAATGTAATTATTTTGAGATTCACCTATTGCATGGATATAGCATAATTTATCTTTTCACCTGTTCATAGAGCTCTGGGTTAAGTTCAATTTTGAGCTTTTACAAGTAAAGCTGTTAGGAGCATTTGTCTCTGAGTCTTTATATGGATGCCTTTTTGTTCTTGGAACTTGAAAGTCACCGGAAGAGAAAAGGAGAAAAAATCTTTGTGATCTTGATTTAAAAGTTTTGGGTTTTTCATTCACATCTATATTCTATCTTGAATTAATTCTATTTTTATGATATGAGTTAAGGAGTAGGAACTGGAGCTCATTTTTTTGCGTGTGGATAACAAATTATTCAAGTACCATTTGTTGAAAAGACAAGAAAAATCAGTCCTCTTTCGTATACGTGTGTTAAAGATCAATTGATTATATATTTTTAAATTTATTTCTAAAATCTCCAATCTGTTTCCTTAATGTCTTTGTCTCTTTTGATGCTAAAGCCACACAGCTCTGATTATTGTAGCTTTGCAATGTCTTAAAGTCATGTAGTATACAACTCCCAACTTTGTTCTTTTTCAAAATTGTTTTGACTAATTCACTTTTTGCATACATTAAATTAAATTTTAACATTAGAATTTGTATATTCCATAGAATTTCAAATATACCCTTGAATTTATAAAAGTTATTGTTTACTTTGAGAAATCTAAAGTTTTCAAACCTTTGAGACTAGGAATCTCACATTTCTATGTAGGGTTTGCTGTGAAAGAAACATCCACATGAGTCTATGTCCTACAAACATATATTTTGAGTTCTTTCTCTTCTCTCTCTCAATACACACATGCACACACCACACACACATATATAAAATTATATATTTACACACATATGTAATATGTATTAGTAGAAAATGTCAATATTCACATGTATTTCTAAATGTACATTTAAATCCACATCTGGGGCAGCCCAGGTGGCTCAACCCGGGCGTGATCCTGGAGACCCAGGATTGAGTCCCACGTCGGGCTCGCTGCATGGAGCCTGCTTCTCCCTCTGCCTGTGTCTCTGTCTCTCTCTCTTTCTATGTCTCTCATGAATAAATAGATAAAAAATCTTAAAAAAAATAAATCCACATCTGTATTTTTAATCCTATGTTTCCCAACATAAGAAAACCTAATGTCTAGAATCTCTCCTTTCGCCTAGAAGCTAAATGGTGGTTTAAAATTTTCAGTTTGCTTTTTTCTTCTTAGTGCTATAGATTTACAAATAAACAAGAGAGACGTACTTACACGGTTCTTCCAACCCTGGACCTGGTCACTCAAATTTTGAATCACAGACTCTGCTTCCTGAGCTTGCTGGAGGGCATTGCTTGAGAGGGTCAGGAAGTCGTGACAGCTGGGGCCTTCACAGGATGAGAGCACACACGGCATGTCCCCTGGTTCTCCACACACCTCACAGGAGAAATGATTTATGTTGAAAAGGCAGAGTTTTTGCTAACACTATCCCGCTTCTCTGAGGCAAAGCACTGCTCTATGCATATGTGTTTCTTCACCAGTGGTTCATGCTTAGCGCACAGATGCAACCCAGTAAATGTGTCTAGATAATTAAATATCTGAATTTTTTGTTGGCAGCGTTGTGTCAGTCAATGCCATTTTTACGCTTAGAGTTTCTGGAGAAAACAGTCAAATGCCTAGCATTTCTTGCATGTTAACTTCATGTTTTTAAAATAAAAATTACCCTTTATTTATAATGAAGCAGTAGGAGTGAATGTCCATAATCTGTACCATCGTGGAAACAGCGAATAATAGGAATAAATATAAGATGATAAAATCAAGCCACAGTCTTACCCTGAATTTTCTTAAACTTTGACTTAGAAAATAAAAAATGCATATATGAATACATTTATTTATATTATTTATATCTTATATAACAGAGCATATCTCTATATATGTTATATATTTACACATTTATAAAGTATAAATAAAAAATAAAATGCAAGGCAGGAAATACAATTGAAGGTGTTTGTATGGAAAGCAGAAACCACAAACACTTCTACTACACCATCGTGAATATTTACCTTTTTGTTCAATATTTGGATATCTGGTACCGTAATCTGCTGTAATTTTTCCAATGATGAGTTTTCTTTTGAGCTTAGCCTATCAAAGATGGTAAGTAAGTCATTCCTGATTTTTTCAGAGTTTTTTATGATAGAAGTGGCTTCATTAATTTTCTTTTCAGCAGATAATGACCTCTGATAATGCTTCTTGATGTTCTCTGAGGAATCTACATGAATGCAAATTGAGGTAAGATTAAGTCTTGTGAGAACCAATGAAATTATATGTTGGTTATCAAGACAATCATTTCCCACTTTGACTAATGTCTTGGTCTCAACGACCAATACAAAATTTCACCCTCCTCTTCCTTGCATACACTTAATGGGGAAGGATTGGATAGAGAGAAACAGAGATCTATGTAATAGATGCGGAGCATTGAGATTTAAGTCCGCAGACATGGGTTTGAGTGTTGGCTTTACCCTTGAGTCTGGCTGTGTCCTTGAGCAAACTGGTTAAATCTCTTAGATTGTGCTTGCTTATCTGTAACATGTGAAGACTAAGTGAAATAAGATGAGAATACATTGTAGGGGCACCTGGGTGGCTCAGTGGTTGAGTGTCTGCCTTCGGCTCAGGTCGTGATCCTGGGGTCCTGGGATCAAATCCCATGTCAGGCTCCCCCATAGGGAGCCTGCTTCTCCCTCTGGCTGTGTCTCTGCCTCTCTCTCTGTGTCTCTCATGAATAAATAAATAAAATCCTTAAAAAAAAAAAACACTGTAAAGTGTTCCACAAATGTATTAATTGGGTATTAATTGGTATTAATGACTACCTATATGAACCCTAAGATGACAAACCAACCAAGGTTACCTAATTATATGGAGCACGAGTTGACACATTTGCTCTGGAAAGGGCCAGAGAATAAATGTGTTAGGCTTGCCGGCCACAGCATGTCTGTCACAACTTCTCAAGTCTGAACCTGTACAGTGAGAGCAGCCACAGGCGATGTCAACAAAGAGGTGAGGGTGTCTCCTAGTGAAACGCCGTTTATAAAAACAGGCTCTGGGTAAAAGTTACCAGTGGACTGTAGTTTGCTGACCTGTGACATTGAGGCTCATGACAATAGGTCACATTTGTGGAGTGCTTTCTATGTGCCTGTACTTCCTGTCAGTTTTCTTTCCAAATCTTCACAAAACATTGAGTTAGCGTTAGCGTGATCACCCCCATTTTACATGTGAGAAAATGAGGCTCTCATGAGGTAAGTTATTTGTCTGAGATCTTGCTGACAGAAGGATAAAGTCAAGATTTGAAACCAGGTGGTTTGATTCTAAAAACTATGTTCCTTTTTTATTTTTTTAAAGATTTTATGTATTTATTCATGAGAGACACACAGAGAGGCAGAGACACAGGCAGAGAGAGAAGCAGGCTCCCCAGGGAGCCCGATGTGGGACTCGATCCTGGGACCCCGGGATCACAACCTGAGCCAAAGGTAGACGCTCAACCACGGAGCCACCCAGGGGCCCTTAGAAACTATGTTCTTGAGCACTTCTCTATATTTTCTGTATTTATAGTAAAATACAGATTCATGAAAGTAATACGGCACGTTTTACTGCAAATGATAGTGTAGCAGGACTTTCAACTGTAACTCCATGTTTTAGGAACCAGAGGCCTAGAGTCCTGATCTTTATTCTCTGCACAACCAAAAGTCAGGCATGAGACCACCACACCTTCCAATTGCTCGGGATGAGTTTCTGCCATTATTTATCTGGCAAATTGTATCTTCATTTGGTGAAGTCCAAGTCAAATGTCACCGACTTCCTGGAGCCTTTCCCGGTGAACCCAGGAAGAATTCTGTTCCCTGTGCTCTGTTCCCCAAGTGGCTTGAAGACGCTGCAATACAGTCTTTTCGTTGTTTGGGGCTGTTTACATGCCCGTGCTCCCCAGTAGCCTGGAGTAATCCAGGGCAAGGACTTGCCATCCACCCCCCCATCTCCCCTGCCCTGCACACTGTCAGGCATCCAGGGGAAGCTCAGTAATTGCTGTTGGGCGGTGGGTGTGGAAGGATTAGCCTGGGAGCAGTGTTCCTTTCTCCTACCTGGCTTGGGTAACCCCTGATGCATTTTCTTTTTCTTTCTTTCTTTCTTTTTTTTTTTTGAGCTATACTGCAATAGAGTATAATGTGATTTTGTTGCATTTATTTATTCTTAAAATTTTTACTTATTTTCTTTAAAGTAGGCTCCACACCCAGAATGGAGTCCAATGAGGGGCTGGAACTCACAACTCTGAGATCAAGATCCAAGCTGAGGATCAAGAGTCAGGTGCTTAACCGACTGAGCCCCCCGGGCGCCCCTAATGTGATTTTATTACAATTAAAAACATTCTAGGAGGGGTCCATAAGCCTCACAAAAGTGCCAGGAGTCCCCAGCAGAAAAAAAGGTAGAGACTGCCTTTATCTGGCATGTTCCACATGCCAGGACCTGGACAGGAGAGCAGGGGGCCTGACTCCAGGGGACCCCGGGAGGGGCTGAGCAGTCATCAGCTGCCACCCAGATGGACACTGTCCTCAGCCTACTCCTCACTCCCTCTCCACCTGCCGCGTGGATTCTTAGACGGCAGTGCGAACCTTCCACGCCCTGAACAATTTTCAAGTGGCAACCTGGCCAGCAAGAATCGAGTGTCCTTTCTCGGAGTGTCACTGCTGGCTCAGCACCCAAATCCGCGACACTTGAGAAGTTGACATAGTCACGTACACATAGTCCCTTCAGTGGGTGTGTTTGCACATCCTGAAGCCTCGGGCACCGTGCACAGGGTGGGGGGCAACTCACGAATGGATTGTGCTCTGGGGGCCACAGCCTTTGGCATCGAGGGACAGTCCAAGCGCATTTTCTCTCTTACCCACGATGCGCGTGTCACGGGCTCGGGCGCGCAGGTGGATTTCTCTCTGAAGACCTTCCAGTAAGAGGTCTGCTTCATCCCTCATGCTTCCCAGCCTTCCTTTCAGATCTGGAAACTCATGCATGGCTTTCAGTTGCACACTTAGCTGCGCGGCGTGTTCCCTGGAGGGGAAACAAGAGCAAGTGTAGCTGAGTTTGTGTTACTTTTGACAGATCAGTGAAAAACCACATCAGCGCAGCCCTGGTGACCAGCGCCCTCCTCATCAGGCCCTCCTTCCCCAGTGGGTGCTTGGCAGCTTATGGTTCTGTTTGGGGTTTCGCTCTTTCTCCTTAGCCCAGATTTCTGGAAGATTTTAGCGCTCACTTAAAATACAATCCGCATACAGGGTCCGTGGAAGAAAGGCCTTGAGTCTTCCAGTCTCAACTACATGGACTCTTTCTGTCCCCCTCCGCTTTGGGTTTCCAAAGACATGTATTCGGACATGGTTCATTTAAATTGATGAGCTCCAAACTATGTTCAGGCTTTCTTTTTTTAGATTTTATTTATTCATTCATGAGAGAGAGAGAGAGAGAGGCAGAGACACAGGCAGAGGGAGAAGCAGGCTCCATGCAGGGAACCCAACGTGGGACTTGATCCCGGGTCTCCAGGATCACACCCTGGGCTGAAGGCAGGCACTTAAACTGCTGAGCCACCCAGGCTGCCCTATTCAGGCTTTCAACGCAGAAGTCCTCACCCAGCCTGGAGTAAAAACCGAGCTCTTTATTGAGAATAAATCCACTTGCAGCAAGGCTCCTTCTAGTGCCACTTGCATCCAGGGTCTTAACTGTTAACTCCCAGGACTGGCAAGGGGGTCTCCTTGTTGGTGAGAGTACCCTGGGGTGTGTTCATGCTCCCGACCTTCTCCCCGATGGTCTGCACCAGGATCTCTGTCCCTCTTCGATTTGCTGGGTTCAGCACCCACGGTGGGTTCAAGTAAATAATTAGTGTATCCCTCGTGATGAGGAAATTGGGTGCAAATCGTGAAGTGTACGGTTGGGGCAAATTGCAGTGTGAATCTCTGGGACTAATTTATTTTGGCAGAAGTGCAGAGCATTAACTGACGCTTCCCAGCATTTTCTGCTCTTACCCTCCCTTTCTAATCTACAGACTTTTCCTTCTGGCGCCAACTGTCAGGACTGTAATTCATCAGGTTAATAATAATAACAATGATGGTGATTAGTGTTATTATAATTGGTACCCTTGAGGCTCTCACAATGTGCCAGACTTGTCTGAGTCATTCTCACAAGAAACCGATGAAATAAGAGACTTGATCCCCCTTTCCGATGAAGAAACAGAAGCTCAGAGAAGTTAAGTCACTTGCCCAAGGCCACACAGCAATAGGTGGCTTCCCTTCATGGAATCTCTACCTGTGACGTCCTGGCTTCCCTGCCCTCCACTCCCCCTTTCATTTGTAGTGTACCCAGTGAACACGAGCTGCATAACTGGACCAGGCCTGGGGAGTACAAGCAGGGGAAGGCTGCCTCTGCCCTCAGGGGGGCCCCCGGAAGCACATATCTTTTTGCTGAGGAGGTCACGGAAGGCATCAGGGAGGAGGTGGTGCTTTGGTGGTTGCCAAGGAGGAACGGGGGCCCAGCAGGTGGAGCGGGACGGGCCAGGCGTGCTGGTTTCTGGCAGAAGAAAGAAGAAGTACTCACTGCTTTCCTCATCACTTCAGGCCTGGCCCTGGGACTCCTGCTTCTCTCGCTCTCCTTCTGCTCTACCCCGAGTCTCGTGGTCTCTGTGTAGAAGGCCCGCTGTGGATTGGCTCATTCTGGCTTCTTTCTGACAGGTCCACTTTGTTCACCGTGTTCTAGAACCACAGACCAGTGGTGTCTGGGCCAAAGCTCATTCTCAGGCATATTTACTTGGCCTGGACGGTGCTTTTTAAAAGCGCTGTTGGATTAACCGGCTCTGTTTTAAGGTGGGGACATTTCCATAAAAATCTGGATGTCTGACATCTCAGCACAAGTGGGAAGGTCTGGGGATATAGGGCCCCATCCTGCAGGGCAACGGTCTTTACAAGGCTACGGCTGGGCCTGTGTTTGGCCTGCATCCTGGCCTGGCCACGAGACTCCTGGGGGCCTGAAGGTGCGTGCTCCTTCCTCTGAACTCTCCGGGTGGGCCGGGTCTTCTTCCTCATGTAACTTTTATTATTTATTTTTTTTATTTTTTAAAGATTTTATTTATCTATTCATGAAAGACACAGGCGAGAGAGGCAGAGACACAGGCAGAGGGAGAAGCAGGCTCCATGTGGGGAGCCCGACGTGGGACTCGATCCCGGGACCTCAGGATCACGCCCTGGGCTGAAGGTGGGCGCTCAGCCACTGAGCCACCCAGGGGCCCCTCTCATGTAACTTTTAAGCTATTACCATGTACTTCTGGGATGAAAATGAATGACCTTATATTGACACTTTTTTTTTTTTTGCTACATAATCACAATCTCTTTGGTTTCTCAGTAGACTATGTGCTCCTGGAAGGGCGGGAACTGTACCCAGTGCATCCTGGCTTTGCCCAGAGCGGTTGGCAAACCTTTTCTGTAAAGGGTCAGATAGTAAATATTTTAGGCCTTGGGGGCCATAGCCTCTGTCACAGCTACTCCACTCTGCCGTTGTCCTAGGAAAGCAGCCACAGAGGACAGGTACACAAGTGCGCGAGGCTGTGTGCCAGCGAAGCTTCATTTACAAAAATAGGTGGCATGTTGGATTTTGCCTGTGGTGTGCTGAGCCCTGGCCCAGAACAACCAACATAATTTCTAGAAATGTTTGATGAATGCTACATAAATATATAGGTGCATATAACATATAATGAAAACAACAATGCATTTTGAGGAAACTCTCATACTTGCCATATGGCTTCATATCAATGTACGGGTTTCCAAACAACTGAAGAATTCAGGAAGATTTAGAAGAAATTTCCCTGACTGATTGAAAAAAAAATTGTATCATAAACGACCCTTTTTCCAATTTTGCATCTTTCAGCTCTGCTGGGGTTGGGCTTTCCACAACCAAGCTCTTAATGACTGCCTTTTTGTTATAATCAATGGCATCTGGAAAGATCCCATGTAATCCTAAGTAGGTAAGAAAGAGACAGACAAATGTGATCGCCAGCCTGGTCGTTAACTGAAAAGTTATTTCCCTAACGTCCACATAGGTACATTTTGAAATTGAAGGCTGCTTTTTAAAGCCCAAAGGATTTAAGGTAAATCAAGGAACTTGCTATCCGTGGCTTGCGCACAAATCTTACCGCGCGGAGTCCTGATAATCCTTGACTATTAAGAATTCCCCAGATGAGAAAACAGGATGTTTCAGAATCCTTTCTATTTCTGACAAGTTCTCTTGGAGGCCTTTGAAGTCGGCCTCGCAGACCAGCACGGTCTCTCTTTTATCTTCCACGTTAGCAGCCAGCCTCATTAACCCTTGCACCGCATCGGAGAGGGCAGAGACGGTGCGGTCCCAGTGATCAAAGCACTGGTGACACCGCGGACAGGCAGGGAACTCCCGGCCGTGACCCCGGGCACAGCGATCGCATCGCGGGCCGCCGACTCCCTCCCGACAGCGGCACATGCCCGTGTCCTGGTCACAGGTGGGCTTCTGGGCACCTTCTCTGCTGCAGTCACATGCTAAAGTGGGAGAGAGAGGAAGCAGAGGAGGTCAGTCACTTGGCCTTTTGCTTGTGACTAGCTCAAGAATAAAGTGCATTGCCCCCATCCCAAGGATGTCCCCGACGCCCATTTCTAAGGTGGACATTTAAAACTGGTATAACAAAAACAAACAAACAAACAAAACAACTAAAACTGGTATAAACAACAAAAAAAACAAAAAAATAAAACTGGTATAACTACATAGACCTGGGGGACACCTGGGGGGCTCAGTGGTTGAGCATCTGCCTTTGGCTCAGGGCGTGACCCCGGGGTCCTGGGATCGAGTCCCACATTGGGTCCCTTGCATGGAGCCTGCTTCTCCCTCTGCCTGTGTCTCTGCCTCTGTGTGTGTGTCTCCCATGAATAAATAAATAAAACTTAAAAAAAATTACAGAGACCTGGGCAATTACATACAGCACTCCTCTATTCATTCCACTAACAAATCAGTTTATGGTCTCCGGGTGGAAAATACTAGGTGTTGTCTTTACAGTGTGAGCGGTCATGTGTGGGCTCCTCTACCTATTTGGGTGACCAACCTGGAGGTAACGGTGGACGACATGCTAGTATCTACTGCTACTGCTCTTGTGGGTGACTCAGGTGTGTTGGTGACCCCCTGAGAATTCTCTCGACCACACTCTCTCAGTAAAACCCAGCCGGGGTGTGCCCACCAATGCTGTTTTCCGTTATATAAGGAGAACCAGTCCATCCTCAAAAAAGAGGGGGAAATCACTCTATCCTATTTACCCAAAGGAGTTGACCATCTACCCAAAAGCCTGCAGATATCATTGCCCAGACTTGGAAAAAAACAAGATGTCCTGCAGCAGGTGAATAGATAAACTGTGGTACAAGGGATCTTTTTCAGGGCCAAGAAGAAATGAGCTATCAAGCCATGAAAAGACACAAAGGAACCTTAATATCACCTAGTGATATTAATCTGAATCAATCTGAAGAGGCTGCGAACTGTAGGAGTCCAACCACCAGACATTCTGGAAAAGGCAAAACTATGGAGACAGTAAAAAAGATGAGTGGTTGGCACGGGCTTGGGGGAGAGAGGTGGTGAGAGGGGAGCAGGAGCAGCACAGAGGATCTTTAGGGCAGTGAAAATATTCCATATGATCCCATCACGGTGGACACGTGTCCTTATACATTTTTCCAAACCCACAGAATGGAAAATACCAAGAGTGAACCATAACTCGAACTGCGGACTTTAGTGGTTATAGTGTGTCCATGTAGGTTCATTGGTTGTAAAAAATGTGCCACTCTCTTGGGGGTGTGGAGATGGGGCTGGGGGGTATGGACATATGGGAAATCTCTGTACCTTCCTCTCAATTTTGCTGTGAACCTAAAACTACTCTAAAAAGAAAAAATATCAAGTCTTTTTAAAAAAATATTTATTTATTCATGAGAGACGGGGTGGGGGGCAGAGACAGAGGCAGAGGGAGAAGCAGGCTCCTCACAGGGAGCCCGATGTGGGACTCGATCCCAGGACCTGGGATCATGCCCTGAGCTGAAGGTAGATGCTCAACCGCTGAGCCACTCAAGTGTCCTAAATCAAGTCCTTTTAAAAAGGAGAACATTAAATTAATTTTGTCTTAGTTAGAAAAACAAAACGAAGCAAAACGACACTCCATGTAATTCAGTCAAGTAGGTTTTTGATTAGGGATTTTGAGTAGGGTGGACAGAGGTGTGGCAGGGACAGCAATTTCCAAAAGGTCAGGGAATCATTAGCTTACGTCAGCGGACTAACTGCAAGGAACAAGCGATTGAAGAATGGATTTTACAACTTGAGTAAAAATTCCGACTGCAAACAAAAACTGGTTCACACACTAGGCTCGTCAACTAGATACCATCTGTCCAGCACATTCTCTGTGGCCTGGGGGCCTCAGCCAGAACTCATTTGCAAAATTTTCTCTATCAAAGATGAAAGCATTTCAGAAAGTGAGATTATCGAAATATCAGAGGGGCACAGAGGAAAGAGACTCAGACAGATTTTCCAGGAGCCAGAATTCCTCCCTGGTTGTTAATGTAACAATTCCACTTAGAAAACTAGGTGGGCCCGGGGAAAATCATTGAGGGTATGGATTTGAATGGGGCAAGGAAACGAAGGCAATTTGTTTTCGCCACCGAAGCCCATTTATAGAGGAATACAAAGGAGGAAAGGGTTACCATGTGTGGCTAGGTAGAGATGACCATGCTAAGCCCGCCACATCTGATATTTCTTTGGATTGACCTCTTTTGGCCGCAGACTTTTGAGATTCAAAAATCCCTCCTTCTAGAACTAACCCAGATTCTAAATCTGTGCAGTCCAATATGGTAGCCACTAACCACATGGGGCTCCTGAGATTTAATGAATTGAACACACAGTCCTTTGCCTCATTTGCACTAGCCACATTGCACGTGCTCACCAGCTCACAGGCCCTGCATCCCAAAGGTGCTGATTGGACCATTTCCATCTCTGCGTCTGTTGGACGGTGCTGCTCTAAATCCCATAATCAATGTTAAGACATGGGGTGAAAGGCACTAGCACACAAACTCCACGAGATTAGGGGCCTTGCCCTATTGGCTCACAACCTAGTGGATCCAATAGGCACATTATGAATATTGTAAAATAAATGAATCAGTGAGTATGTAAAAGACCCAGAGTTATAAGATCCAGGTTGAGGAGGAAACATCCCCTCTGCTGCCTTCCAATGATCCATCTCCCAGCCTGTTCTTCCATCAAGAAGCTGTTTTCGTCAACAAGCTTCTAAATAGCAGAAAACTTGCTGCAAGTCATGACCTCAGAGGTCTGTTCCATCTTAATGACTTTGAGGAATTGTAATCCAGGCTTCAACTTTTAAAAGACTAACATTTAACATAGCCTAAAGTTTAGACAAAAATCTTTTTATAAGGCTATAAAAATATTATTTTCAAAACTAAGATTAGCCATTGTGATTTTTTTTAATCAAATAAAGGAATTTAAAATGTAAAATTCATGCTATGGTTCATAGCTTGCCCATAGACAGCCCTCCCTCATAATTTTAGAATTAGTAATACTTACGAATGCATTGCTCCAGTGGATCACCATAATAATTTTCCTTGCATCCACTGCAGTGTTTCCCATCATAGCCTAATTTACACCGACATTGGCCTGTAAGCTATGAGAACAGTCATGGGTGAGGAATCGACAAGCTTTATGATCTAAAACAAATAATGCATCTTTATATAAAACAGTTTTCCCTCCAGTGGTTTAGAACATACAGCTGTGCAAGGTCACAGGAAGGATGATTCCCACGGCCAGCAACCACCCTTGGCAATATCAAGGCTCAGGAGCTAATGTGTTTTGTCTCAGGGCCTCTGAATATACCGCCTGCTTCCAGCTGTTCGAGGACAGGTGGCCCCAAACTGGGAAATATACGCAGATGTAAATGAAAACAAAACACATAATGGGAAATGGGCCACATTCTTTTCCTCTACAGTTATGGGAGTTCGTGCATAACACAGAGAGGCCAAAGACCCAGACTAACATTCATCAACTAATTTGGCAAATAGTGTTTCCATTATGGAATGCACAATGGACTTTCTCCCAATTGGGCTAGTGTTTTTGCTCAAGAAAACTTTTATTTTTTTTTCCAATTGAGGCTTGGTCATTTAATGATAGTTATTTAACTAGGTTTTGGGGTGAGGGCTGATCCTTTGTGCATCATGCCAACTGGATCCTTGACCAGCTTTTCTGAAAATGGGGGAGGTTCAAAAATTAACAGGAGAAAAATAAAGAAGCAAATCATTATTGTTGCAGTCCGAGGTTATACTTGGCCAAAATGGCTTAAACGACAATTCCATAAGTAGCTTGATTTATAGAATGACTGGATCTACACAGCTGCTACCCATCTTTGGAGTTCCTACTAGCATCTACGCAAATGGAAGGAGTGATGGTGAGTGGGCTGTCCCTGGGGCCTTGCGTACTGCTGGTCATCCTTAACTGTTGGGCAATGTTTTCTTACATGGACGCAGAATCTGCTCCTTTGTGACTTGTACCCACTGTTCTGAGCCCTGTCTTACGGAATTGCACAACACCAGGCAGCCTGTCCCTTCCCTCTGACAGTCCTCCTCCCAACAAGAGATGACTGTTCTCAATTTGCATTTTCTCCTTTTCTTCAGGCCCACCACCCCTAATTTACTCAAGCCTTCACTGCAGAATAGCAATTGTTCTACCTGCCATCCTATCTTCCTTTGGACACATACTAGTTTGTCAATATAATGTTTCAAATGTGGTACTCAGAAAAAAACAACAATGCTCCCACGGCTGTCTGGGCCAGAGGACAATGGAATGATGACTGTCCTGAAATGAGCATGGCATTTCCACTACTCTGTCATACATGGACACTAGGTCTTTGGCAGCCCAGCCCCCACTGTTGGCTCAGTTGAAGCACATAGTGAAAATCCTCAGATATTTTTCACAGGAGCTGGTGCCAGGTTATTACTCTTACCGTGTATGTATGCAATGGATTTTAAAAACCCAATTGCAAAACTTTACTTTTATCCCATGTAACATTTTACATTCTTCTTTCCAGCCCACTGTTCAGCTTGTTAGGATATCTTGTCTCTTGTTCTGCCTTTATCACATTAGCTCACAACTTTGCAACATCTGCAAATTTGTAATATTTGATAAGCATGTTTCTCCAACTCCATCTAAACTGTTGATGAAAATATTGGATGGCACATTTGGATCTCTCTGTAATAATGTACTAGGGATGTCCTACTGGCCGACATAGAGATATTTACCAGTGGTTATTTAAATAGCCTGGAATCTAAATATCCACCTGTCTCTTCAATACCCCAATGAAAGTGTTCCCTGATTTTAAAGAGCAACCTTCCCCAAGTAATCCCCAATGAACCAGACAACCCTTGTCACAAGAGGGCTCTTTGGTTAAACCAATGTCATCTGACTTTTAGCTTCATAGGCTTCCCTTAGTCTCCATTAGCAGACTGTGGTCTTTGTTGAGTCCTGCTACAAATATGCTTCCTACAAGGTCCTCAAGGCATCTAGGTGACTCAGTTAAGTGTCTAACTCTTGATCTCAGCTCAGGTCTTGATCTCAGGGTTGTGAGTTCAAGTCTCATGTTTGGCTCCACACTAGGTATGGAGCTTACTTAGAAGAAGACGAAGAAGAAGATGAAGATGAAGACGAAGACGAAGAAGATGACGAAGAAGAAGTAGGAGGAGGAGGAGGAGGAGGAGGAGGAGGAGGAGCTGCTAAAAGGTTAAAGAAGCATTCAGGCATTCCTCTTGAGTTAGGAAGCCAAGCAGTCATGTGGAGATCTACCATTTTGTTTCATGGTTGGTGGTTGCAAGTGTGAGGAATAGAAGTGTGGTCATCTAGTGTTCAAATATCATTCTCCAGTAAAAGAAACCAGAGCTCCTTTAAAAAAATGGCTGGTTTGGGGCACCAGGATGGCTCAGTTGGTTAAGCATCTGACGTTTGATTTAGACTCAGGTCATGATCTTAGGGTCATGAGATTGAGCCCTGTGTCAGGCTCTACATGCGGAGCCTGCTTAATATTCTTTTTTTTAAATTTTTATTTATTTATGATAGTCACAGAGAGAGAGAGAGAGAGAGAGAGAGAGGCAGAGACACAGGCAGAGGCTAGAAGCAGGCTCCATGCACTGGGAGCCCGATGTGGGATTCGATCCCGGGTCTCCAGGATCGCGCCCTGGGCCAAAGGCAGGCGCCAAACCACTGCGCCACCCAGGGATCCCCCTGCTTAATATTCTCTTTTCCTTTCCCTCTGACCCTCCTCCCTGCTCTCTTTTTCTCTCTCTTGGAAGGAAGGAAGGAAGGAAGGAAGGAAGGAAGGAAGGAAGGAAGGAAGGAATAGAAAGAAAGAAAGAAAGAAAGAAAGAAAGAAAGAAAGAGAGAAAGAAAGAGAGAAAGAAAGAGAGAAAGAAAGAAAGAGGAAGGGAGGGAGGGGCTTTTCCTAGGATGGGGGTAGGAAATATACCAGATGAGCTTAGAGTATCTTCTCATGCAAAAAAGTGCTTAAAAAAATAATAGAGGTATGTCAAAGGGACACAGAAATCCCCTGAAATAGCTCCCAATGACCAAAGCTAAAATAACTTGAACAACAAAATAAAGTAGTATTAGATTGTAAGTTGAAGTATAATATAAATATCCATGACTCTGTATGGATATTAAAAAGTGATTAATAAATGAAGATGTGGGGGACAACAGATAAATCTCCAGTGCAGAAAAATGCTAAATAATTTATGGAGATACTCTGCCCTCAAGGAAGGTGTGTGAAACTCCTCAAGTATAGACTGTGCATAATGACTTTCTTCCAAAGAGCACGGTATGGAAAGGAGGAAAAAGAGTAACTTCACAGTACAGAACCATGACAACCACTAGGTGGTTGAGATTCGTGTCAACAGTGATAAGATGTGTAAATAGCACATCGCGCTGATATGGGAACAGCACTTTTCCTCTGTGGTCTTCTTCCTCAAACTCATAATCCAAGTCCAACCATGGGAAAACCTCAGATAAATTTGAACAGAGGGATATTTCACAAAATCCTCCTCAAAATTGTGTAGGTCATCAAAAATAAGGAAAGTCTGAGAAATGTTACAACGAAAAAGAATCTGAGGAGACAAGATGACCAAATGTAATGTGGTGACCTGGATGGGGTCATGGAATGGCAAGGGGACAGTAGGTAAACAACTAAGGAAATCTGAATAAATTATGGACATTGGTTAATGATAATATATCGATATTGGTTCATTAATTGTGACAAATCTGCCATATTAATGGAAGATGTTAGAAGCTGAGGAAGCTGGGTATGGTGTACATCTTCTCTGTACTATCTTCACAACTTTTCTTTAAATCTATTCTAAAATAAAAAATGTAATAAGGGGGCACCTGTGGGGCTCAGTTGGTTAAGCAGTTGCCTTTGGCTCAGGTGATGATCCCGGAGTCCCGGTGTCGAGCCCCATGCCAAGCTCCCTGCTCTGTAGAGAGTCTGCTTTTCCCTCCCCCTCTGCTCCTCTCCTGCTTGTGCTCTTTCTCTAATAAATAAAATTTTTAAGAAAAAGAAAATTTTCTTTAAAACAATTTATTCAAGGAAAAAGGGCACACTGAGTGTGTGTGTATGTGTGTATGTGTGTATATGAATGCGGGTTGGAGCAGGAGGGTTGGAGAAAAAGAAGAAAAGAGAGAGGAAAACACATTCTGTATATGAGAACTACCTTCACAAGTTGACGTGCATAAGATTTGACCTTTAAATAAGTTGAACGGTGGAGCCGAAATTGGAGGTGAGCCATGCTTATCATTAGTAGTAGTAGTTGGGAAAAGTCCAGCTTCTTAAATTAGCATTTTGATTCCAATTAAACCCTGGTCCCTGTAGGGTGGACTGATTCTAAAATCTCTCAGCATTGTTTTACCCTTCCTTACAATCTCTATTAACGTCAAAAGTGTTTCAAAGAATATGTTTTTTTAAAAAGAGAATATATTTAGTAGGTCCAATACCCTGATCGTGACACGAATAGTTTTTTTTCCATATAGATATCGTTATATTGGTTTTAAAAATTCAATGCTGATTTTATTGACTAAAAATCACATGTGCATTTAAGTAGCACTAACTGTATATTGTACGCTGCATACTTGCTCCTACTGCTCTACCCTGCATTCTTATTCTTACTCAGTGGAGCTGAAATTGGAGGTGAATTATGCTTCTCGTTATTTTGAGTAGTTGGTAGAGACAATTGATGCTGGTCTGATAAGTAAAGAGGACCTCTTATTTTACCTGCACACAAAGCAATTGGTGAGCTATCAGGAATGACAGGTCAATTTTTTGAAAATGGAACTGTGCGTTCTGAAAGTATCCATTGATTTTCATTCTGATTGACCATCAATTCTAATTAATGATCAATTTCTTGGAGCTTCCCTGTGATTATACATCCGAAACAGGAAAGGGAAGTTATCTGTTTCACATATACAAATCCTGTCTTCCCCAGTTGCAGAGAAGCTTGGAGAAAACCAAAGAAGGCCAGACTAGACCTTGAGACTCTCGTGGTCTTTTTTAGTGCTTTTCATTGCTTGGTAAATGCAGACTCCATCCCCATATAAGGCTAATCCTGTCCCCAAACACTAATTGGCAACAGTACATAAAGAAAACATTATTTACAAATTTGGCAACCATGTCTCCCCCTTCCTTCCCACTCTAGTGCCCTGGTAAGTTCAAATATCTTACCTGGTCACAGTGGCCACCGTGAGAGGTCCGGGGGTCACAATCACATGGCTGACACCCCCTGCCAGGGACCAGATTCCAGTATCCGTCTGCACAGCGGTCACAGGTCCGGCCCGTGACGTTGGGCAGACAAGGGCACATGCCAGTGTCAGGGTCACAGAGGCAAGCTCCCAGGCCAGGGGGACACTCAGCCGGATTCACACCAGGAGGATGGCAGGAGCACCCTGGGATCATAGAGCCACTGCTAGAGGTAAATTCAGGGACAACGCTGGCATTCAACAAACCACACGAACAGCCATTCGGATCTGGATGTTTCTCCAAAGGGCTCAAGGCAGAAACACCTTACGATATTGCAGACTTATCACGGAATCTAAGTGGGCTGAACGCATTCAACTCTTTTTGACCTCCCCACCTAGCAATATCCTGCGGTTCTGCTGGCTACATTCCAAGGGCTCACAATTGGGGTGACCAAAAACCTGGCTCTTTCCACATGCTAGTCATGATCTGAAAACAAATGGTTTACTACGTTGACTTGAATCAACTGAAATAGTTAAATATCCCCTAAAAATGAGCAGCTTACTCCTCCTCTTTTTTTATTATTTTAAACCATAGACTCCAACCTTTGCCCTCTGCTACATCAGCACTCCCCCAATGTATACGTTAAAGACACCGGGTGAACTGGTTCCAATGCAGAGCCCTGGAGATTCCACTCAGTGGGTCAGAGGCATAGTTTGGGCATTGGCCTGTTTCTGTCCCAGCCCTGTCCCCAGGTGGCACCATGCCCTGAGGGCCACATTCTGCTGCCATGTTTCCCCCCAGAGCTTGACAGACTTACTCCTGCAGGTCTGATTGAGAGCAGATCCAAAGTGACCTGGTTTGCAGAACTGGCAGTTGGGTCCCTGAGTGTTGTGCAAACACTTAAGGCACTCCCCGGTTAGCGGGCTGCAGGACTCCGGATCTGTCACATCGGTGTTGTTGTTGCACATACACGGCTGGCAAGGGGCTCCCGAAACTCTGGGATTTCCATAGAAGCCCGCAGAGCATTCTCCACACTGCTTACCTGAAAGAAGGGGAGAGGCAAAGGGAATGAGATGAGAAGTGTGTGTGTGTGTGTGTGTGTGTGTGTGTGTGAATGTGTGTATGTGTGTATATGTGTGTGTACACGTGTGTTGGGGGGCAGGGATGGAGACTGCTACCGAGAATAATTAGGCTCATCTAGGGATAATGAGATGTCACACGTTGGGGATGAAGAAGGAAAAATGTTCTGAATTAAAACCTTCACTTTGATGTATTCTCCAGTCAGAGAACACAGCGATGATTCAGAGCTAGGAAGTCCGTGGTGAGGAATGCATTCTAGTTCTTCTCGAAAGAACTACAGAATGGTAGGCACAGGATTCCCGGATCTTTATCCAACTGGGTCACCCAAGTGTGCTCCAGGATCTAACGCTAATCTCAGTTCCTGCTCTCTCTGGGGTCCCTCCACCCTCACCTGGACCTGGAGGTGATCTAGCAGCACCCTGAGATGTAGGTCTAGCAGTGAAGATGGTGACAGTGGTTTTCTTGATGAACGAACCTTGGAGGGAGTTCTTATCAAGCACTGTATGGAGAAACCAACCCTTCGCTCCTCCACTTGCTACCCTGCCAACCACGGGGACCTGTGGTCAATTGGGTGCCCAAACTGTAAGTCTATTCCCCACATCTTGGTTCATCTTTTTAGGAATGTTCTTGTCAGCCAATCATGGTCTCAGTTCTTTTTTTTCTTTTTAAGATTTTATTTATTTATTCATGAAAGACAGAGAGAGAGAGGCAGTGACACAGGCAGAGGGAGAAGCAGGCCCCATGCGGGGAGCCCAATGTGGGACCCGATCCCGGGTCTCCAGGATCCCACCCTGGCAGAAGGCAGGCACTAAACCCCTGAGTCACCCAGGGATTCCCACCCCCCCATGGTTTCAGTTCTTAAACACTGACCAACTAAGCCAGAGGGGACATGGACACAAAAGATATGAGAAGAGGTCAGAATGATGTAGAGACATAGTTGGCAAATAAAAAATTAGCCATGTGCTTTATTATCATGATGGTAATTATCACTGAAGAAAATAGCAGCAGCATATTTTCAAAATATGATTAAATCAAGTAGATTTTATGTTTTGTCCTTGTTGTAATATATATTCATACTCGTGCTTAAACTCTTCAAAATAAAATTTTTGGTAGAGCAACAGACATAAATATTGAATTGACTTACGCGGTGTCTGTAGGATGCCCAAATCAGTGTTTCAAGACATCTGAAAAAATAAGTTATACTGACGAAACATCAGATCAATTGGTTGATTTGATATTGAACTATCGATTGGTTGAAATTATATAAAGGAAGCATGTGATTAAAAGCTTTTACTTTTTAATTGCTTATGTTCTATGTTATAAGACATATATATCGCTTAATCACCTATGTGTCTTACTTAAAATGATGATGATTTTATTTTAAATAAGTCAATTTGGTTTGAACTCATTTGGTCAGTCAGTTTTCCAGAACATTATCTAACACGTATAGTTCAGAGGAATAAGTTTTTCGTTGTCCTTGGTTTCTGAATCATTCAAATCCCTTGTTCAGTAAAGCGGCAATGCACCAGGTTGTGCCTTCTTGCCACTAACTTAGATTCAGTGCCACTCAGTTGTTCAAAGCAGATAAACTATGAACATGGGATCATTTTTTGGAGAGCAGTATGGGAGAGAAGAAAAAAAGGCATCACGAACTAGACTGTGTACCTGTATAACCTTGAAGACAATTGCAGATCACATCTGAGCTCCAAGGATGCTGATAACAGGAGTGGGCAAAATATTGGCTACTCGAGGGAACATCTGGACATGGGCAAGGGCGACAGGACTGTCCCGCAGCAGGATTCCCATAGTAACCATCGATGCATCTGTCAAGACAATTTCTTTGTACCAAACGTCCCTGGGAAAAGCTCACAGTAGCTGGTGTGGATTTGCTGTGCTTGAGGACAGCACAGCTCTCAAAACTCAGTATTTTAGAAGGTGCTCGCTTGCTCTGTGAAGTGCTTCTTTGCCTTACCTTGAACGTCCCAAGGTAGAGTCATTAAACTCAATGTAGTGGCAGTTCATTTACATGTCCTATTTCAGGGACGTAAAAAGCAACGTGCCAGGCAAATAAATGCCTGTTTTTTTATTTAATCAGACATGGTCTGGCTCTTCACAAGATCTTGAAGGACACCAGGAGCGAGGTTCTCTCTACCCCCCCTTCCCCCCGCCCCATCACCCATAGCAAGGCTTCTACACTTAAATACAGCTGAGTCTCTACTCAGTGGTCCTTCAGGGAGTGTTGGGACATTGGAACAAAAGAAATAAAATTCAAGTGCATAGGGATTCCATACCTTTCACAGTTTCTTCCAGTTGTAAAACCCCCACAATTGAAGCATGACCCTGTCTCTGGGTCACAAAGTTCGGCGAACCCATTACAAAGGCAAGGGCGGCAGCTGGGAAATCCGAAGTAGCCTTGCAGGCACCGGTCACAACGGCGGCCGGCCACCTCCCCCTGGCAGGAGCACTGTCCCGTTATTTGGTCACATACAGTGGTCTTTGAGCCTTGAGGGTGGCAGTGACATGCTAGATAAAGAAAGAGACCATGTTGAGAGGAGGGACAGGTATTGTGCTGGGGAAACGAGTTACAGTCCTGCTTTTGGAGTCCTGAGCTCCCCGTGGCATCCCCATCAGGTAAGTCAGGGGAGTCTGAGAATCTGGCCGGCACCGAGCACCAGGTCAACATTTGTTCAACTGATTCACCCAATAAACAGGGTGCGGTGAGCAATCGGGTCTTAAAAGCGTTGTTTATACAGAGGACCTGAGCAATTGTCATGTATTTAGTGCCTTGAACTCCCATTTATCAAGTCAGACTTCAAGGTATAAAATTATAATCTTTATTAAAAAATATAAAGCCCCTTTTCAAGATGGGTGGACTTTTCTTTTTCCTAGGTGAGATCACAGAGGCTCACTCCTTCCTTTTCTAGGGAACTGTTCAACCCTTTGAGCCAGTCTTCCCTATGCAAAGGCCCGAGGCCAATGACATGTTTGCCCCTTTGTGAATCTCTAGCACCTCATTTTCCTTCCTTCCTTCCTTCCTTCCTTCCTTCCTTCCTTCCTTCCTTCCTTCCTTTTCTCTTTCTTCCTTCCTTTCTTTTTTCTTTCTTTCTTTCTTTCTTTCTTTCTTTCTTTCTTTCTTTCTTTCTTCCTTTCTTCCTTCCTTCCTTCGTTCGTTCCTTCCTTCCTTCCTTCCTTCCTTCCTTCCTTCCTTCTTCCTTTTCTCTTTCTCCTTCCTTTCTTTTTTCTTTCTTTCTTTTTCTTTCTTTCTTTCTTTCTTTCTTTCTTTCTTTCTTTCTTCTTTCTTTCTTCCTTTCTTCCTTCCTTCCTTCCTTCCTCCCTCCCTCCCTCCCTTTCTCTTCTTTCTCTTCTTTTCTTCTTTAAAGAGAGGGAAACAAAAGTGATAAAAAAGAGATGTGTGCTGGGTAGAGAGTGACCAGCAAGGTGTGTCGTCTCTCTGAACTCTGACTTAAAACATACATTCCTTCACCTGAAAGAATTAACCTACCTGGAGAGAACCACCCAAGACAGGTTTCAGTGGAGAAGGCTGTTTGCACTACTGGTACACAGCGTGAACACAGAACTGCATACCCTGAACATGACACGAACCTGGATTCCCACATGTAGACGAAGACCCATCTAAGCCTTTATCAACAGGCAGCTTAGAAGATCAGTTCCACGGCTCTTGGCGACCCCAGCATCAGAGAGGTGACAGCGTGGTCCCCCTCCTCGAATTCTCAATCTCGCTGTTCTTTTAGCCTGGCCAGCCCCTGGGCTTCGCTGCCAGGTCACAAAGCTGGGTTGGCGCAGCCGACACCTTTCCCGGTGTCCCTCCCACATCCTCCCTGGACTTGCCATCTCTTTGATTCAGACCACAAACCCCCAGAAGCCTGGGCCATGTCTTTACCATAACTCATGCTTCCTTCACAAATCTGTGTGTCATCCTTGTGCAGGGGCCACGCTGATCTTCTGTGTACCATTCCAATTTTAGTATATATGCTGTTGAAGTGGGCGCCATCACTCATGATTCCTAATGGAGCTCTGTATACAGTTGGTGCCCACTGAACGGATGAATGAAATATGATGGGAATTTTTTTTGCACGTTTTATCTATAGAGACAGACAGCCCGAGTAATGTAGTCCAATTCCCTGGCCCCTCCTCTTTCAAACTCCCACAATGATTTCCCTGTCTTCAAAACTCCAAAACTCCAAGACCATGCGTGTCTTCCCCCATCTATCTTTTGCTACGTACGGTGACAGCCATGATGTCCCAGACCGTAGCTTCCAGTTGAGCACCTGTCACAGCAGCGCCCGGCCACGTGAGGCTTACATTGGCACTGGCCCCCAAGTCGGCTGCAGCTGGGCCCCACCGAGCCCTGGGGGTGACACTTGCAGGCTGTGGGGAGCCAAAGAGGGCAGTTAGAGGCGAAGGAAGTAACAGAGAAGTCCCTGGTCCTGTTGGGAGCTTTAGTTCACTTCTCTTTCACTCGGTATTTCTGTCATCCTGGACTCCTTCATACATTAAATAGGAAAAATATAGGATCTACCCCAGGGAATTATAAGGATTAAAGACAATAAGGCCTCTGAAGTACCTAGAACTGTGTGGCATGTAGTAGGTGCTCAATAAACATTACTGACTAAGCACACCTTGACAATAAACGTTAATGTTACTTAACAAGTTAATGAAAGGCTTAAACTGTTTGAATAATCAGCTGTTCCAATATAATCATTATTATTGATGTTACTCCTTCAATTCCTGATGATCTACGTTGGTGCTGGACTGTTTGATTTCCCTTCTTCCATCACTTTCATGAGGTTGTGGGCATTCTGAAGCCAGCGTCCTGCAATATAACGGGAAACGCGCTTGCCCAGAACTCAGGAAGCCTGGGCTCTCACACTAGCTGTCACTCTACAGCTGGAGGGAGATTTTGCAAACTACCCCTCTACCTGGCACCACTGGGAACATATAACAACATTTGAAGACATTTTTGAATGTCACAACTGGCGGGAACGTGCTACCGGTATCAGGTGTGCAGAGGGGAAGGGAGGCTGCTAAGCTTCCTATAATGCACAGGGCAGCCCCCCATGCCGACCCCTCCACAACAAAGCATTATCCAGCTCCAAATTTCAGAAGTGCTAAGGGTGAGAAACACCACCCTGTGGCTTAGTGAAATGGACAAATCACCTAATGTGTTTGGACTCCAAGAGGCCAAGAGGCTCGCTTATTGAATGAAGGTTTGAGGATGAAAGAAGTTGTTTGGAGTTCATTCTGGCCCTCAATGTCCAGGATTCCAAATTAGTATTTTAGGATCATTGTTCTAGGGCTCTAGTGGCCCAATGTACCAGAAACCTCCTTCTTTATGCACCTACTGTACTGCACATTGGGATTCCAACATCTCAGATGGACTGAGTGCCCAATCACTGGGCAATTGGTATTGACATTGGTTGTTCTGGAGTAGCTGCTACAATAAATGAGATCGACTCACTCACATTCCAAAAAGCTGTGTGTTGGTGGAGCCCATGAGGCCAGTACTCACCTACAGCCCCGTTGTGCAGCTTGGCAGACATGCTGACTATAAGCCTTTCACACACACCGGGGGACACCTGAGGTCCCATCTTTGAGGCGATCTCAACACAGTTGTGCAGCTGATACTCCTCTAAATCCTGCTTGCTGCAGAAATTCTCCAATGAATTGATTTGGGGAATCAGACCAAGCTTTTAAAATAATACAAAAAGAAGACTTAGGTTCATAACTGTCTCCTGTTCAAGATTCTAGTTATATAAACAAGTAGATCTATGAGAAGATCTTAAGATTTTCATTTTATTTAAGAAATCTTAAAAAAAATTTAATATATTTCTAAAATATTTTATTTATTTATTCATGAGAGACACACAGAAAGAGAGAGAGGCAGAGACACAGGCAGAGGGAAAAGCAAGCTCCATGCAGGGAGCCCGACGTGGGACTCGATCCCGGGTCTCCAGGATCACAGCCTGGGCTGAAGGCAGGCGCTGAACCACCCAGGCTGCCCTATTTAAGAAATCTTTAAATATTTACATTTATTGACTTGGGACAAAAAAATAAGACTTTTAAAAATCATTCTTATTATATTTTTAGCTTGCTTGTGAATTTGTCTTAGATTTCAAAGACTTTTAACTAGGCTACTTGTGACAAATTTAGAAAGTACAGCTTAGTGCATTCCATAATATTAACTGTGGAACTCTAATTCCAAAAAACCCTCCTTTTAAAAGTTTTGTCCTTTGCAATTACATATGAACAGTGGTGTCCTACAACAAACTCTCTGCCTCTTGGAGAGTCACAGTGTAGATGAACTTACTAAAGCTCTGAGAAGTCCTGCAACAAAAATACTTTTAAACTCAGCGCTTCCATGCTCGTTTAACCACTTGGTCCCATATTCAAGTAACACTTACTAACATCCCATAAACTCAATATTTCACAGATGCATTTTGTGAATTGCTGGGTTAGGCCATCCAGCTATTAGAGGGACAAACACATTGTTCTAAACTTATTCTCAAAGAAGGATCATCTGTATCACATCTGATACCTATGTGAAGAAAAGCCATACAGTTATATTTCTTGAGGAGATTTTACCGAAGTTATAACCGACAACCATTTAAAATTTTTGAGGTGGGGATCCCTGGATGGCTCAGTGGTTTGGCGCCTGCCTTTGGCCCAGGGCGTGATCCTGGAGTCCCGGGGTTGGGTCCCGCGTCGGGCTCCCTGCATGGAGCCTGCTTCTCCCTCTGCCTCTCTCTCTCTCTCTCTCTCTCTATGTCTATCATAAATGAATAAATAAAAAAATCTTTAAAAAATAAATAAAATCTTTTTGAGGGACTCCTGGGTGGCTCAGCGGTTTGACCTTCTGGCTCAATGGTTCTCAATATGGCAGGTGCCATCCCCTAAGGGGCATTTTGCAAATTCCGAGGGGTGGTTTTGGTTGTCATGGCCATCAGATGAAGTGTGTTGCTGGCTTTTAGTGTGTGCGGGGAGATCAGAAATCCCAGACATTTTGATCAAAAGGAAAATCCCCCTGCATGAGAGACAAATCTTTGTTTATAATTATGTGTTGAAGGACTTACCCTATGTTTTAAAAGCATGTTACACATGTTTGCAGCACACCTGCTTTCATGGCTGTGTCACACTGAGTGATCCTACACGTATGAGCGTGTCCCTGCCTTCTGTGTATTTATGCCAGAGTGTAGACATATAGTGTAGACATATACTGAAGTATATAGTGTTTCTCTATGGGCTACTTTCTTTTGATGTCTCTTCGTATGTGCACATTACCCAGACGTTGTCTGGGGTTACGTGTGCAGGTGGGCTATAATGCCAATGAGCTGCACTTTGAGCCGGTGAAGAGTGTTACAAGATATTTGCAATAAAGAGAGGAGGTCGGGTCAGGTGATGCTGCGAATCACCGCTCGAGCCACACTGAGCTTTTCCGTTCAGTGAGCTGTCATAGCTTCCAGTAACTCTCGGGCCACGTTGCCATCTCCCGTGTAATGCCTGCATTCCTCCCTATAGACAGTAAGCCCCGGCACGTCGGGCAAGGCGCTTGTCTTGTTTACACCCGCGGCCTACTGCAATGTCTAATTTACAGTAACGACTTCATAAATATTTGCTCAATAAAGAAGTATATATACCCGTCTAGAGTCGTCTCTTCAAGTTGACACTAAAAGGACTGCGCTCTCCAAACATGAACTGAGAGTGAAGGGAGAGGCAGAAAGAAGCCGGATTGGCTAGGGTTGGAGATGAGGGCTGCCAACCAGGGATTCATTATCTACAGTCACTGGTCTGAGGCAGTTTAGGGGAAGCCCGTCCTGGCACCCAGCAGATAGGCCAGATGATAAGAGTCCCTGTCAAGCTGTAGGATTTTGTAATGTCATGACTCCCTTCTTCTAGAAACTTCTAAAGACTTTGTTTACCAAGTGTAGTCCATCCCATGGTTTAAAAGAATGGCAGCTTTACATTCGAGCATGGTTAATATACTTTCAACTCCAAACACATTTTCAGGGAAGCATAGATCATGGGATCAGGGTGACTGAAGGAAAATTTGTAACTGTTTCTCCATATTTGCCAAATAAAAGCTATTTCTGCAGAAGGAGCATCCAGGGTTGAACAAAGCTTTTGCTTGGGCTTCTTGGTAATACATCCTAGTCTTAGATATAAATGTTCATCAGGCTGCAGAGAAGAATGAACTTGGAAGGGCCAGGGCCCAGGCAGTCAAGCATCTTGCCAGAGCAGCAAAATTGGTGGGATGGAAATAAGTGCATCAGTCTGTAATCAAAAACGTGCATTGACTTTCTCCTCCTGGACATCTGGGGTCGGGGTCTCACAGGGACATTGTAGGTGCCCTGCCCAGATCTTCCCGTTCGCCAGCTGCTGTGCCACTGGCTGCTGAAGGCACACAGCTGCCCCTTTCTCCAGAAACTTGGACTCAGCCGACTGGTCTAGAAGTCCATGCGCTCACTGGGGGTGGGCGGGGTGGATGACCGGGTGCACGCAGGCCCACCACTGCCTCTGGGAGGAACCGGCTCTGTGGCACAGTTATGCTCCCAAGCTCCCAGTGGAGTTGGCTACACTGAAGTGGGGATCACATCCTTGCTCGGTTCCCACCCCTGTCCCTCGCGCCTCTTCCCCCACCAGCACACCCTCAACAAAGCAGGGGTACCCGGGTCCCTGTCTCAGCTTGGGCTTCTGGGAAATCTGACCTGAGAGAGGGATCTAGCCTCTCCTTGGAAGCTCTGACAGTTTGCCAAGATCAGGCTCTTCTCCCAGTTTTCATCCAGGCTTTACTGTTTTGGTAGCTACGCGTAACAGAACGATCGCTTGAGAACCGACCAACTGAAATATTTTTCAGTTAATTTCAAGTTACCCGTTTATATTATGTGTCTATCAAATATCACTGCAGTGATTTTAGTACACGCCTGTCTTCTGTATCAGGCTGAGAATTCTTGGAGGGCAGGGGCCTTATACCCCAGGAACCAGCACACTATCAGCGCGTGTCTGCTCGGTGAATGCGCGATGCATGGATAATTTGCATGGATGCGTGAAATAGAGCATCAAGTCATAATCTTTGAAATTTACAAAACTAGAAATATTCAGGGTATGGATGTAAGATGGGGAGTGTCTTAGCTCTCCTAAATTTGAGTTTCATAACTATTATTCTTATATTATAATTTATATGTTATATTTATATTATTATTATTATTATAAAATCAACTGGAAGCCAACTCTATGGCCCAAATCTATGGGGGAAAGACATCGGGAGAAGTCATTTGAGGAAATATTACCCATCATTCCTAAAAATGATAAGATTACATAAGCACCATAAGAAAAACACTTATGATATAAAGGGAACTGAAAAATACCTGTCTACGTACTTGTATGAGCGTTTGGATCATGGTGATATAAAGACACAGTACATAAAAAGTGGAACTTACAAGATGATGACACTTTCAGTGATGGAATTTCTTCCTGAACTTTCTGGGTGCCAGGACGCCGTGGTGGCTCCGAGCGGGGGCTCGGCCATCAGGGATTCTGGCTCTGACCGCTGTCTCCTCGCTCATTGGCTCTGTGAGCCTGGATCTCAGTTCTGTCATCTATAAAATGGGCACAATGATAGTGCCTACCTCATAGGCTTGTCGTGAAGACTAAATATTATGTAAATCACTTCCAATCGTTGTTGGCACAGGCTGTTCCGTAAGGTCTGTGATCGGTATTAGGTGACGTTGATAGAGAATAAGTGATTTTTTTTATCATGAAAAAACTCATGTATACTTCTAAAGAAACATTCACCATGGAGTCTAAAAGTAGAACGATAATGGGGCTCAGTTTAGACGGAAGCACCCCCGGTGCTGCGTGATACTTACTGAATCCACCAAGATGTGTGAATGAGCGTGGGACCCTCCTTCCAAAGGCTGGGAAAAATAGGCGTCTATGGAATATTGTACATCTGGTTCTAAACAGATGGGTGTGGGAAGCAGCACGATTCTGTATTAAGAGAAATAAAGCAAAAATTCAGTGACAAATGTACGATTATGTAACCTAAGCAGCCAGAGCATTTGCTGGTGCTCTCTACCTGCGCTGAAGTGGGTTCGACTGTGGGGCAGAGGCCAGGTCTACACCAGCTCGGGTGGGTTGGTGGGCGGACAGCAAATTCACTGTCGGATCCTCTCTGTGGCTCTTGCACAGGGCTGTGCCAAACAGCAAAGCCTTAGGAACTAATAGTCATGAGCTGTCACGACTGCTCTGGGAAAAGGATGGAACGCATGTCCTTCATCCTGTCTGTCATACTCATCTCAACAGGGGCTCTGATTTATTTTGCCACAAATCTCTGATGCAAAATTAGTGGCCTCAAAATTAGTAGCTTTTTTACCTTATAGACTCCCAGCTGTTGCGATCATGCCAGCTTACTCTGACTCTTGTAGCATTTCACTGTGTCACCTCTCAAGGCCATCTGGGGAATGGGAAAGGAACTTTCGAGACTGAGAATCAGGAGATCGGGGCTAGAATCCTGGTTCTGCAGTACATTAGCTATGAGACTGGGGAGCAGGCCTCCAAGCATTCTCATTCTCAACCCCTCCTTGCCTGTTGAAGAGGAAGTCTACCTCGGTGAGTTGTTAGCAAGCTAAAATATGATCTTAAATGTGCAGCTTAGTGTAGCACACAGCAAACAATAGGCGTCACAATGTCCTTTAATACACCTCTCTTCCTGCTTGGTTCTTTGACACATCTACATGGGTAGATGAAGAAAATTCAAAGAAGTCTTCTATATTTGAGAACAGGTCCCAAGCATACCTGGAAGCCGCCGGTAGAGGGAAAGGTGGTGGCCGTGGCCATGGAGTCTCGTGCGTACAGTGCTTGCTCCCTCCAAGGGGGTTAACCAGGACCTGGACGGCCCAGTCGGCTGTGGGCTAGACAGGCAGGACAATAAAAGCATATCCTTGGTGAGAGTGCACACACAACGCATGACTCATGGACACACTCGGACTCAAATTTGCAACCCACAGGCCTCTGGGAAAAGAGGATTTTGGAGCTGAGAGAAGTCTGAGAGGCTCACTCTCAGCTCTAAGTCACTGGGGTCTGAATTGAGACCCAGGCAGATGGAACATTGTCTCTGGCTGTAGCAATAGTTCATGGGCTGGAAAAGCCCTGGTGCACCTCTGTCTCCCAAAGAGTCAATTAACTCATCCTGTCCCTGGATCATAGAACAAAATTGAAAATTTAGAATCCTTCACGAAAGGATATTTACTTCCCCCCTCATGTTATTTTGCATAAATATTATTATATAAATATATCATGATGTAGATTTTGTTATATAATATTTGATTATCATATTACTAAATCTATTTGTAGGTGTCTAGATACGCATAGATATATGTATAGCATATGCTAATTAGCTCTACTCTGAAAGCCATGCAATTTGGAAATGCTTTTTAAAGATGTCACAGATATGTCCTCTCTCTGGAAAAATTAAAAGATATATATATTATATATATATTTATATTATATTTTTAATGACTCATATACTCATCAGGTCCAAGTTCATTGAAGTCCCTTGGCTTTCATTTATAAATGAGAAGTAGAGAATTATGTCATATAAGAGTTTCAAAGTGGGTCAGACGCTATAGTCGTACAAGGCACCATGCGTGCTTCCAGAATGTGGTCGCTGGAGGAAGTCTGGGGGCTCTGAGACCTCCCCCAGCCTGATAAAATATTCTTCTAGGGAAATGGTCTGTGGGGTTTCAGATTATCAGAAAAAAACTTATACAAAGAAAACATTAGGAACCACTGCTCTAGATCAAGTGTTTTTCTGATTTGGTTTCTACTCTGCCTTAGATATTTCTCCAAAGGCAGGGGGAGGAGGCAAAAGAAGAGGAGCAGCCTGCTTATAGATTTTTTTCGTTCCAGAGTAAATTCCAAGTGCAAAATCAACACCTCTTCTGCATGAATCTGCATCTCTGTGCACAGGTTCGCTTATTAAATTTTTAGAAAAAAGTCCCAGGAGGGCAGAATTTGTGTTCAGTTAGGGTTTTTTTTTTTTTTTATCATTCTTCTACAAACATTCCATCACCACTTCCTCAGACCTTGTGCCTTAGATATAGAACTTCAACTTGAGCTTCTCTCCATGGAATAAAGCATGTCTGCCTCTGGCTTACTGTGTTGTTTTAATATTGTTAGGAAACTCTTTGATTTATAATGCTCTCCAGATGTGCTTTTTTTTTTTTTTTTTTTTTTTTTTTTTTTTTTTGCAAATCACTTTCTGATGACCCTATCTAGCAAGACTGGAGAGGAAGCTCGTAGTTGGAGAATGTTCTCCGGGTGGCTTTTTACCCCTGAAGAAGTCGTCGGATACCTGAGTTTCATAGCGAAGGGCAACGGTGAAGTCCATGGGAAAGGAGATGTTGGTGACTGCAAATCTCAAGCCAGCCCCAGAGAGAACCCTGGCAAATCCAGGTCCAGTCCACGCAGCAGGGGTCCCGGGCACTGGTTCTCGGAAAACAACGTGAACGACAGGCGCCTGGCCAGAAGTCACTGAGCCCTATAATTAGAGAGGAATGCACACAGCTTTGCCTACAGTCGAGTCCTGGAAGAGCTCAGAGAGAGAGAGAGAGAAAAAAAAATATGCATTTCCTGATGTGTATAGGATCCATCTGAGTCACAGATAAATTATTTCAACCAGCATAGGGTCCAGAATGCAGCTGAGAAATAATGTGCTGAATCTGCAGCTTTGGGACATATGTGACTGTGTGGAATGATTGATTTGAAAGCCATGTCACCGGAAACCACTTTAAACTTAAGTACCCCACGTGCTAATGAATTGAACAAATTCCACACTGGTGACCTTGGGTTTTCTCGGGCAGGACTGTGGGATCCTGGCCAAAATATGGAGGGAAAGAAAAATATTCCCATGCTACTTCACGGACTTTGCCTAATTATGCACGGCACTGAGAAAAACCCACCCAGATTTATTTTTTTGGTGGGGATATTTCTTCCACACAAATGTGAGAAACGCTCTTCTATCTGCTTGGAGGCGTGGAAGTATAAAATTTGTTACACACTTGATTGATTAGCATCCCTGATGGTCTCTATGCTGGCTCTCAGCCGGGGGGCCGTCTGGATCCTGCAGATAATACTTTAATGACTTTTGCATCTGCCTCCCCGAGCTCGAGCTCGCAGCTTCCCCCCAACTCTGCCTCTTGTGGCTTCTTGCCTGTTTCACTACAACAGCGCCTTGGCCTCTCTCTCCATCCTCTCCCTGGTCCATGCACATTGTCCATCACTGCCAGTAAGTGTTTCACACTCTTTCCAACTGCCAACAGAATCACGCCCAGATTACTTAGCCTGGAGTTCAAGTTGCTCGGTGATCTAGCCCAAATTGCTCTTCGTTTGGTAATTGTTTATTCAGTAACAGTTCAATTCCGGTCCCTGATGCAGGGACGCGAAGATGAATAGGATAGTGTCCTTGCTACGAGTTTGGAGTCTCGCATCGGGGACCAAAATGTCAATAAGAAACCATAGCAACCAGATTAGGTTTCCACAGATACATGCAAACGTACCTATATACCCTATATACCCTCACGATGGCAGTAGACACAGCAGGTGCCCCCCCAGATCCCCTCTACCTGGTTGGTGAACCCACCCCCGACTTGCTGTGTGTGTGGCTTCTAAGAGCTCACAGTTGCCTCTCTCTCTGGAGAATTGCCCCACCCCACACCGCCTCCCCGATCCCACCTCCAGTCCTGCCCCCCGGGGTAGCTGCAGCCAATGGCTTCTCAGTACAAGGGTAGGGAAAGCTAACTTTGCCTTCTCAGCGGACAGGACTACTTGGTCTGCAGTTTATGCTTCCAAACTCCTTCATGGATCAAGGTTTGCTTTACCTGAGACTGCATCTTATTCTTTCCTCCTGTCTTGTTTCCATCATCCTATTACAGAGTTTTCCTGAACAAGACTTCCTGAAGAGATCACATGCACCTGAACCCAGTCTTGGGCTCTGTTTCTAGGACACTTGATCTGAGACCTTAGGTGCCAGACTGTTTACCTAGAAGCAGACTCCAAGATGCAATTAGGGGGGAGGATGGTTTTCGGTTCAGCAAGCAATGAGGACCTCAGTGTGTAACATGGTATTGATGATCCCTGGAATGTGGCAGCAGAGCAATTGCCAAACCTGTCACCTGTGGAGAACTGGGACAGGATAAGGGGGTGGGTGCCAACTGGAGTGATATATCTGGCACTGGGAGATATGGGGGAGCAGTAATTATAAGGACTGTGGATATAGGTGACAGTTGTTGAATCACTGATGCTTGATGAGACAAGATGACAGGTTCAGGGCAATTTATCACCAATCCAAAGCCGAGTGTAAGAATCAGAGGGCCTCCCTGGAGTTATTTAAGGACTTCTCTCCTTTAGCTAGATGGCAGGAAGAGCTGAAGATCAGACATGGGACATAGTTGTAAGACTTGCAGAAGCTCAGAGAAGCCTGAACTCTTAGCCTAGGTAAGTCACCAATGCCAGAGTCATGCCTTTCACAGGGAAGAAGAGTGAGGTTCTCCTAAGCATTTTCAGACTACAGAGGTAATCCACTCACTCTTATTGGAAAATAAAGCCTCTTCACTCCACCTCTCCCGTATTTGAGGACAATGCAGAAACCTCAAATGATGCAGGTGCCTTGGAAGAAAATGTGTGCCTTCCTCAGGATCTGTCTACACTACCCCCTCTTGACCACTTGCCTGATAATTAGGATCAAGTTTCAGCATAATCTGACTAGGAAAGTGCTGGATCCCTGGGAGGCTTCTGGCCAACATACACCAGTAACAACTGGGAGGGAAAGGTTGCTTATGGGTCCTGAGCTTGCTAGACCAAGGAGCCAGAATATGAAACTGGATGAAGAGAGTTTGTTGAGTTGGGGTCACGAGTAATATAGGATTCAATAGCCTGGCAAGAGCCCTGGAGCCTTGGGAGACGGATCCAATATATTGCTAGAGTAGCTCTTGGAAGCTTGGCAAAAGCTGTGGCCCTGAGGAAAGGAAGTAGAGGCTCCAGAACAGCCATAGCAGGCTGTAGAGGAAGGGATACAAGGCTCAGGGTAGTAAGCACATTAGAATGGATCTAAGATGCAAGACTAGAAAACACACCAACTGATTATGTTCCTTAAAGGCCTAGAAGACACACTATATATCAGGACAGTAAGCAATGAAGGGGGAGAAGGGCTCTAGCATCACTGAAAAGCTGAGTTTGGGGTATCCTCTGTAGGCTGGTAGCTTACATCATTATAAAATTGAGCTCCTTAGTATCCCTGCAGAGGACAGGATCGCAGACTATCAAAGACTGGGTAACACTTAACTCTCAAAAGCAAGATGAGTCTAATTCTTATAATGGACAGCAAGATTGGAGTAAGAGACAAGGGGGCCTGACCCATAGGAATCTTCCGTGGAGATGATTAATAGAACATGGTATTCCTAGGAATGAGATAGGTGAGCAGACAACAAAGGTATTGCTTCATATATATAATCAAAAGTGATCCAGTGAATTAGCAAAAGGCTGAGGTCAGCTGCCACCACGGAAAGGCATGATGCTTTGTCAAGTTCCTAGATCTGAGCCACTTCTCGGATCCAGAACCCGGTGATGGAAAAGGGGCCAGATCCCCACAGAGAAAGACTCTTCAACATCATGGCAAGTGGAAACCAGGTACCCAAAGTGCCATCGCAGTCCCCTTGTTAGAAGAGGGGCATAGAAGTGTCAAGTAATGTATGGGGTCCTGGCCTAAGTTCTTCTTACAATAGGTTCACTGCATTTACTGAACCACCCATTGAGTATTTCCTCCAATTTCTGAATATGTAACTGGAATGGACCTGCTTAGCAGTGGACATTGAGTCTTTGACCTGTAAGGTAACATAAGAGCTCTTATAGTAGGAAATGCCAAGTAAAAGCTTGTGAAATGTCCAGCCTCCTCCCCTTACTCCCCACCGAGCCAATGTAGTAAATAAAAAACCATATTGCAAGTCGGCAGTATCCTCAAAGTGCTACTCTCAGGACGTGGTGGCAGTTCCCATCATATCCTCATTGCAAACTTAGTACAAACCTAACCATTTTCTGGTCCCACTTGCAGCCGTTGTGCTTGACGGCTTATCTTTACCAGAGCAGATGAACACCACCTTCATACATGACACACGGCTATTGAATGCAAGATGTGTTCTTTTCCATCCCCATACAGAAGGAACAGAAGCAATTTGTATTGATCTCGAGTGGGCAGAAGTGTATTTTCAGCCTTGCCTGAAAGCTGTTCATTCTCCCACTCTCTGTAACAGGATAGCCCAAAAGGGTTTGAACCATCCAGCCATTCCACAACATATCACACTGATTTCCTATATTAAAGGATAGTGAAGTGGGTCCCATGGTACAAGGTGACATTATGTGATCTCCCCTAGAGATAATCAGACACTCTATGGCCTTGGTCAAAGAGGGCTCACAGGGCGTCTGATTCACCAGTGAGGGAAAGTAGAACACCTCCTCAGGTCATTGGACTCACCTCACAGCAAAAGAAGTATAGCAGTGGTTGTGTGACTTTGAGATCCACTGCTCCTACACAAACCAAGCCATTCAGAAGATGCTAACCTCAGATGGCAGTGGAATGGGGTCTTGTAGATGCATCAGCCTCACTAGCTTGGAAATGACACCTGGTGAGATAGGACAGTGTTCTTCTGGGGTTTTTTTACTCCTTAGAGTGAAGGCCTTTATGGGATGCTGTGTCCCCAACAGGGAGAAAACATGGGTGTGGAAATCAGGTAGGGGTAGTCAAGCTCACTAACACTGATGGTGATCATGGGAATTTGGGCTTCTTGTGCTTGCAACTTTAGGCTCTGTGGGTCTAGATGCCTTGATTTTTGGGCAGGAACGAAAAATTCCTCTAACCTTAATGCCATGGCTGCTGCATGGGCACCTGGGCTCCTCATGACAATAGAGCAGGAGGCTTGGGAAGAAATGACCATAACTGGAAGGGCTGATGCTGTATAATCAGGACATGAGGAATACGCATGGCATGGAGGTGGCCCACTAAGACACCTTTGGTGTCTATACCTTACAGGTAGCTTGAGAAGACCATGGAAACCAGGGGCTCAGGCCCTGGAGGGATGAGGGTCTAGGGCATCCTCTCCAGCAGAAGTGCTAGGTGAGGATGAGGGGAATCTAGAATGGGTGGCAAGGAGGGAGGAAGATAGTGAGTTTCAGTTTCAACCTTGGGACCAAACCAGCTGGAGGCTGCAGTTTGTCCCCAGATCTCCTTTTGTAAATCTTCCCAGGAATTGTGACCGATTGGAATCCTGGAGAACCCATGCTTGCATGGAATGAACTTAACGTAAGAGCCAAATGGGCAGGGTCAGCCTCATGGGTGTGTAGTCTGTGTACTTGCAGAGGGTCTCGCGTTCAGAAGGGCCCAGAGTTTGGCTTAATGCTCTGCTGTCACCATCTTGAAATGATGATTTTATCTTTGAAATTGTTTTATATGTGAAGTCTCTTGCGACAATGTAGTGCACATGTGAGCAGAAGCGATATGCCCACCACGTGCCTGTTTACTCACCCCCAATGTTCACAAACCACACGCACGATGCCAGTGAGCATAGCATCCAAATGGACCTACTATGCGCATGCGTTCAGTGAGACCAAGCGTGCAAATAAGGTAAATGTGCTACATTTGTGACTGAGTAAGCAGGGTGCTGACAGCTCCAAGGAGCCAGGCTCCCCGTTCCAACCAGAACTTGCTTTGAAAGCAGAAAGAAGGCAAAGGCGTTCTAAGAAAGACATTATTCATGTTGCTTCTCTGTACCGGCCAGCTGCTTGCACCAAGGGATGACTAGAAGGAAGAAAAGATAAGGTGACTTCTGGTTGCCTTTCTTGCAGCGCTCCCTTACTCATTGGTACGCTGAGGGCAGGCAAGTGTCGGTAGGACGCATACCAAGAAGTGAAATGAAAACCAGGTTGAGGTTGTTTTGTGCAGCATTCCCACTGTTCGGGAAGAACAAGATGCACATGCATATAAGACTCCAGAGACAAACGGTGTAATTTCAGTCATTACACATGATTACACGTGGGCCAAATGCTCTTATGTTTGCAGTGAAAATTGGCATTGCATGATACAAAGACGAGTGGTACAATTCATGCTAATAACTTTCTAATATTTCTTTTCTTCAAATGGCACTAATTGGCAAATAAAAACCCACTAACACGTCAAGAGAGAGACTATGGAAGAAAGTAAGAAGCTATAGGGTGCCTGGGTGGCTCAGCCGGTTAAGCGTCTGCATTCGGGTCCTGGGATGGAGCCCCGAGTTGGGCTCCTTTCTCAGCGGGGAATCTGCTTCTCCCTCCATCCCTCCTCCCTGTTCATGCTCTCTCTCTTTATCTCTCTTTCTCTCTCTCTCTCAAATAAATAAATAATAAAATCTTTTTAAAAATTAAAAAAAAAAAAAGGAAGAAGCTATATATTTCACTACCTTCAAGGATCTTTTTCCCTAATTTCTGAACAGAGGGCCCTGCCTGTGGGTCTTGAGCACGCAAGGAGCAGACGTCAGCTGACGCTGTCACTGTGCTGCTGGGTCCCCTCTGCTGGGCCACTGTCTCCAGCCACCAGCTGCTGTCTCACACTGCTCCTTTCTCTTGAGAACTGCCCCTGGAGGGGAGCCACTTACCGGGGAGGTCGCCTGCATCTGCCCTGGCAGCCCACACCCATGACTGCCCCTGGGGGCCCCCCACCCCACCTCCCACACTTGCCCCCTACAGACTTCTGGTGAGCACTCCCCCAGTAAAGCACGGGCACCCGAATCTCTGCTGTAATGTCTGTTTCCGGGGAGCCCAACCCAAGACAGTGACACAGCACACACATGCACATTTATAGAGCACTGAAATGAAATTTTCATGAAAAAAAAATATATGCCCTTGTTTTGTATTCTGTTGCATACAGAGGCTGGCCTGGACAACTGATTTCATAACCCACTAACAGGCAGGAGCCGCAGTCTGAAAATTACTGATTTGTGTAGCCCTGGAGATGGAAATAATGAACTCTGTCCAGATGTTGGGGTAGGGAATGTCAGAGGAAGATAAATCTGCATTGGGTCTTCAGGGATGAGTACAAGTTTTAAAGTCAATAATACAGAGGTGGTCATTTCGGGGAAGAGGCAGGAGAGTAGTGTGTGGATGCTCAGAGCCGTGTCTCTCAAAGTGCGGTCATGGACCACCTGTGTCTGAATCCCCTGGGGGTGCTTGGCAAACGTGTGGATTTCTTGACCAGTTCCAGATCCCCGGATTCAGCATCTTGAGGGCAAGGCCATGGAATCTGCTTTCTGAATGAACTCCCCAGGCAATACTTAGGCACAGTAACATTTGAGGTTCACTGATCTGGGCCGCAGGGAGCCAGGGGAGGGGAGTGCCAACTCGTTTCCCACTCTTCTCTTTGATGGACTCAGGAGGGGATGCCCAGAGAGTCAGAGGAGGCCTCATGGGCATGCGGGACGGGAACCAGACAAGGAGAAAGAGCAAGGCCGCCATCCCAGGAGGAGGAACACTGGCCAGGAAGCCTTCTCTGATCCCCTCAGCTGGAGGTAGTTCCCCCTAATCTGAAGTCCATATCATATTATGTGCGCCTCTTTCCTGATACTTCCCCCACCCCACCACCATCAGTTGTGTACATGGCTCATTTCCGTAACAACAATCTCAAGGGCAGGCTTCAGGCCTACATATGTTTGTTATCATTGATTCAACCATTTCCTTCACTCAAGGAGGTCTCATATGTAAGGAACGGACTCATGTGCTAGGTTCGTGAACAAGACAGCTAGTATCATGTCATACGCCTTCCAACATGCCCGTTCATGCATATGCACCTGGGAACACTCAGTAAAGATCCCAGCATATGTGTGAATGAATGAATGAATGAATGGGCGTGAAGCACCCTCATATCGGGCTAATATAGTTGGATGGCTACAAGGCCCTCAGGTCTGCCTGGGCCTTCTGAAGCCATTAGAGGCAGGATCCTGTGGAGGGGGCATCATCCTGCACTCACGCCAGCATTAGCCAACTCCCACTGCCTCAGACTTCAGGGCACAGCCGTGCACCGCCCCAGGTATATCAGCACATCCTTATCCCTCCAACCAGGGGCAGAGCCATTCCTCAGCACTGTACCTTTCCTTACCAAAATGACAAAAAATCGTGAATTCACAATACTCTCCAACTCTAGAATCCAGCTTTCCAGAAACTTCCATCTTGAAAGAACTAGAGCTACCGAAGTTTTGCTCAGAGGCTCTAGCATTACTTTGAGCTTGTGTCCTCCTTTCATCCATCCCATCCTTGAGGATACTGGGGGTTTACATGGACTGAGGACTTACATGGGTCCTACGTGGTTCTGAGCACATTACTGGGTTCATTTATGGCAGGATAGGCAATGGCCATGAAGAAATGGTTTACCTCACTCCACTCGTCAGCACGTCCACTCTGCTTCTGATTTCTCTTCAGTATTATATTGCCTTTGTCAACTATGAAATCACTCCCTTGCTGCTGGAAATACACATCACATGTAGGCAAAGCTGCGGCTGACATCTTAACAAGAAAAAGAAATGGCAGTGTAAGTCACTCAACAGTTCCAATTATACCTCAGTACAGGAGTTTCAGATTACCCAATAACTTAATGGCAATCATGATCCTCATTTCATAACCTCAGGAACGAGTCATGAAGCAGCTTATAATTTTTTATTCCTTTATGAAAATGGGAAATGTTGGTAGTCCTACGAGCACGTGTTGGGTTTTCTTTTAAAGGATGCTGTGTAGGCTATGTAGTGGTGAAATTCCAAACTGGGGAAACATTTAGTCTTATCTACTAGTTTCATGGTGTTATATATATAAAAAAAGCACACCTGCCATGCTTTAATGTGAAATATCAAGAAGAAAGTTGTAGAAAGTCAACAACAGGCATGGTGTCGAGACTCAGATTTATTAGCTGATGGTCACTCGGGCTACTCCCTAGACCAATTCCTGGCAGTTCTCACAGTTTGTGGGATTTGGCCTTTTGGGTTCCCATGAGAGGTTAGACCAGGAGAGCCAAATCTCAGCAGCCAAACTGAAGCAGAGGAATTACATTCATGCAGCTCCAGTTTCCTTAAAATTCTGGTCTCTCAGGCTTCTCTTTTGTATCATCTCTTTGGCGGTGACCCAGTCAGAGTCTCCAATACCTGGTTTCCAGATTGTTGCTCTTCTCTGGACATGGGTGTTTCCTTGGCTGATATGTCATTGTTGGTACTATAAATGTGATTTTTAATTTCACAGGTCCCCTGGTTGTTCGTCACCAGTGCGCAGCCTTAGGGTCAGCTGTCGCCTGCTTCAGAAACTCTTGTTCTAGTGTTTACTGCTCAGATTCTCAGCCACACTCTGACCAGCTGCCTGACCTCTGTGATGAGGGCTCTCGGGACGGGCTACGCTGGATTATGCCTATTTGTCCTTCTCTTTTTTTTCTCCCCCTCACCAATGGAGTTCATTGTGTAACACAAAATTAGAGACTATTTTATTAATTTTATACAGAAAGTATATAATGGAATTAGCTTTATACTATACTGTATTAAATTCTATACTATGTTAAATTCAATCAATATTCACATTTATGACCACAAATCATTTCAATGAGAAAATAAACCAGTGCTTCCCAGACTGCCTACAAATCACCTAGGGATCTTGTTAACATGCAGACATAATTTAATAGGTCTGGGAGGGGGCCTGAGATTCTCCAAGTCCGGTGAACTCACCGGCGATGCCAATCTTGTTGGTTGATAGATAACATTTTGAGTAGTAAGGATGCTGCCGTAGACTGAATGTTTGTGTCCCTGCAAAATCCATAAAGCCTAATTCCCAAGGTGATGGTATTTAAAGGTGAGGTCTTTGCGAGGTGATTGGGTCGTGAGGACACATTCTCATGAATGGGGTAGTGTCCTTATGAAAGGAATCCCAGGTTTCAAGTCAGGGCCCATTGCCCACCAGCTGGGTGACTTTGGGCAAGTTGCGTAACCTCTTTAACGTTTCCCTCATCTGGAAATTAAAGATGATAATATTTAGGTTGTTTGGAAAGTTAAACGAGATAATAATGTACATAATGTGCAAAGCCACAAGGCACTCACTAAGTTCAAGTTTGCGGGGTTTTTAAAAAACTGTTTTTAAGTAAACTCTACTCTCAACCCCAAGATCAAGAGTCACGTACTCTACTGACTGAGCCAGCCAGGTGCCTCTGGAAGTTTTACTGATACCAACAGCAACAGCATAGGGAAGCACACAATACATGTTTGTTAAAAGAATGTACAAATAATTAAACAGTCTCTAATTTAAATCCTTTCTACTACAACTAAGGCCTGGGTTTCCAGTGGAGAGGAAGTTATTCATTTTTAAAACATTTAACATCAATCCCACCTTGAATTTGCTCTCCTTTGTTATACATATTACCTTTTAATTCTTTAGGCAATTTTTGGGGCCCTCTAAGCCCATTCGACAGCCTTGATTTTTTTTCTTAAAGCCATGGACAGACACTACTCTTTGGAGCTGTATCAGCACATGATATGATCCTATTTAATTGCTTGTCAGCACCCACCCTGTGGTGTACAGGGAATAAATGCTAAGTATCAGCCCATCTACTCTAGATAATTACATCTGTTTTGTGTTTTCTTACATAAAATGATAGGAACTATGGCATTTACAGTTATATAGGAAAGACACCACCGTGTGTCCTCTCTCCTGTCCCCCTATGCCGACAGCACTTCTGGCACCAATGTGTGTGTTTATTTCCACACCCATCAAATCTCTGACATCAGCTGGATGGGATGTCTTATAATTTAGTTCAGTCTGATGCCATCTCCCTGGACTTAGCGTCCGATGTCACAGGTAAAGAGCTCAGTCCCACCAGCCTACCTGCCCCCCACTTCAGATGCCAGGAGAAAGTCCAGGCTGTTACCAGTACTTCTGACCAAACAGCTATAAACTAGGATTCCCATGACCCCCTCCTTGGGCTTGAGATTTTCTAGAGTCACTGACAGAACTTAGGGAAACACTCACGCTTGGTGGTTTATACAATAAAGGATCCTATAAAGGATACACATAAACAGCCAGATGAAGAGATACTTAGGGCAAGGACTGGACTAGGAGGGTCCTGGATGCAAGAGCTTCTGGCCTCTGGAGTTGGGGTGTACTTCCCTCCTGGCTCATGGATGTGCTCACCAACCTGGATGCTCTCTGAACACCACACTTTGGAGATTTTTCTGGAGGCTTTATCACATAGACATGATCAATCATTAACTCAATCTCTAGTCCCTCTCCCCTTCCCAAACAATGGGGGAGGGGGTAGGTCTGAAAATTCTAAGCTTCTAATTATGGCTGGGTCTTTCTGGTGACCAGCCCCCATCCAAAAGCCCACTGAGAGTCCCTTGATTAGAACAAAAGACATTCCTATCACCCAGGAAATTCCAAAGGGTTTAGGAGCTCTGTGTCAGGAGCCAGGGTCAAAGACCAAATATTAGAACAAAAGATGTTCCAAGTGTTCTTATCACCTAGAAAATTACGCAGGTTTCAGGAGCTCTGTACCAGGAACCAGGGGGGTAGGGACCCATATATATTTTCTATTATTTTACAATAGTTATAGCCTAACTATAAATACCAATATTACTTTCCCAAAGCTTTTTTTTTTTTCAGTCAACATCATGAAGACAAAATTAAAAACCATGAAGGAAGCAGACATAGACTTTTTCATTGTGATTCCACCTACCACGGTTGTAAATCTAAGTAGGGAGAGTGAAAACCTCCTGCCCCCGCCCTAATTCTAGTGAGTAGAAGAGAACATTCCAACCCTCCTAAGGGGGATTTTCATCCCTCCCACCAACAGTGTCCAGATAAAGAAGAGATCTCAGGAAATGACTTAGTTGCTGGAACCTGGATGAGTTCCCCTGTTTTCTATCCAAATCTTATCTTCAGAACCAACTTTTACATGTGTTCTCTCCTTGAAGCCTCTCACCTCACATCACCTTTCCCCCCATCACATGCCTGCCTGTGGCTGGAGTCACGTGCCTGAGAATGTCACAGGAGTCTAACTTGTATTTTCTCTAATCATTCCACATGTGTGTGTCTGCTCCTTTAGCAAGACTTCTAGAAAAATATTTTTAGGGAAAAGATCCCACAGGACTGTGACTTGTAGGAAATGAAGTAGCGCGCCAAGTGACATTTGCAATCACACACTCCAGCGAATGTCACTGCCTTCAGTGAGAACTGCTAATCTGACATCAGGAGGCCAGAGAACACAGTGTAGGCTTCTGTTATGCACCTTCTTTATTCATTCATTAGCAGAGGTCTGTGAAGTTCCTACGTACTATGGGTCAGGAACTGTGGTAGGTACTGGGGCGACAATGGTGCATGGGGTACACATTTATCCTTCCGTCTCATGGTTTATAGTCATGGGGAAGGCAGACGAGTAGATGCTCAATAAACCCATCATATCTGATAGGCACATTGAGAGAGCAAAAAGGAAATCACAGTTTAATCCAATTCACACTCATGTGCCGGGCTCTGTGCTAGAATTGGAATACAAAGGTTAAATAAGATGCAGCCTCTGCCCTCAAGAATTTCTATAATCTTCAGTTCTGTGATAAATTAAACTCTACTCTGATCTGCATATGTGGGCAAGACCATCCTTTTTGGGTACCTTACCCATGATCTCAAGGGTGTGTTATATGTATGTACTGACACTCCATCAAATCAAATCTGTGAGGACACTAAATGAAATACGAACCAAAGGTGCAAGTCCTTGCAGTGGGGTGGCTTCCTCTGCCTCGTAGAGATAGAAATTCAAAAGAGCAAAGAAGTAGCCTGGGGCTGGTTCGGTGCAACTGCGGCCAGTGATGTGTGGGCGGCATTCACATTGCCCATCCTTGGGGGAGCACCTGGGGAGACACAAATCCATCATCCACCAACACAGGGGTGAGGGGCAAGTATCAAATGGAGACATGGGGGTGCTGTGTGAAATGCCTTCTGAGTTTGGACACACTCTGAATCCATCAGTCATTGTCTTGGGGAGGATGTTGGGAGGCCATGGGCTCTATGTGTCTGGTCTTGAAAAGCAATTCCAGATCCATAAAACCCAAGGAGCCACTTCTCTTCTCTCTGTTCTAAAAACTGCAAAAAGGAGTGGGGAACCTCCTTTGAGAGGGTGGCAAAAAGTTGGTGTTTTAGGTAGGTCAAGTCACAGGAGGCACCCCTCCCCACAACCCCCCCATCGGATACCCAGGCAGCAGAACTGTTTCTCTCTTCCTTGGGAATATCTCAAGTAAAATAAATCATTTGGGCTGTAGTTAATGTCTCAAGAACATCTCTTTTTAGCATTCTTTGCTTGTCATGGAATAAGGTCCATCACCAATGACTATGAGCCTATCAGAATAAAAATGTGCTTTGCTTAGGAAAAGTGAGTCAAGACTATAGTCACAGAACTTTGTCATTCCTTTTACTGACTTACACGTTGGAATAAGCACCTCCAATGTCACAGTCACAGGGGGAACAGCCGTGGAGGTGATCTTCCATTCTCCAGTACCCAACCTACAAAGAGAAAATGCTCAGCCGATTCCAGCTGTGAAGAGATTTGCTCCTCTGAAGGGAAATATTAAAAGCCAGTACAGTTCAACTGACTCATGTCCAACGGCCACACTGCCTGGACAATCACTGACCAGCCCTTCTTGCCTGTGCACTTGGTAATGATCTTTGAGGACACATATCTCCCACTGCGGGCACTTGAAATGAGGGGGACAGGCAGGTTGTCTGCAGATGATCCCAAGCTCAGATGCGGTAGAGACGACTCGGTCCTCTGACAGCACCAATTTCGCCTCCCATTAGGTTACTTAGGACCAGTCTGGGGAGACGGTCTTCAACCAGCTGATTTGCAACTGCTTTTGTAAAAAAACCAATAGGTTCCCCTACCACAAAATCCCTAGGGATTTTTTACTTTCAAAACCCTAAAGTGTTTTGGGGTAACAAAAAAAAATCAATCAAGCGGCATTTGAGATCTTAGTTGAATATCACAATTTAGTTGGCTCACTTGTTTATAAACAAGTTATTTTGCTATAACAAACTCTGCATGAGAGAATCAACTTTGTTCGAGACTTTTTCATCATTGCAACATCTTGACCTTCATTCAATATAAGCAGCTGGTGAGATCCAAACAACTAGTTCTTAAATGTGATAACATTTACTATAAAATGCTAAAAAAAAAAAATACTTCCCCCTCAGATCTCAAGTTAACATATTCAGACAAAATTAACGTCACAAGAGGCATGACACTCTCATTTGAAACAAGTTTGTGAAGAATCCATATATCTTTCTGTTGTTGTTGTTATCTTGGTAAAAGTTGATGCCTGATTTTACCCAAAAAGATGTATTTTAAACATTCAAAGTTGACGTAACTTGTCACAAAACGCAGCAAAGGATTTCTGATATTTTTCCCAAAACTAAACTGCAGTCTGGGTCCAAACGATGTGCCACGAAGGGCCTCGCTCAGGATGTGGTTGTGAAAACTCCCTGTGGCGTGGGGGGCTCTGCGCAGGCCCCGGGCGCCCTGACACAAGGCCAAGCAGGGCACCTGGTGGGTACGTGGGATCGGCCACAAGGGACAAGCCCCCACAGGGTGGCCCCTGCTCAGTTATTTGCCTCTTGCAAACACAATTGAGTTAACAGCACAGTGGCCAGAAAAGAGCCAACGAACAAAGTCAGCCTGAGTCTAGGGCATGTCCGACACCATCTGCTGTGGAGTCTGCGTTTGACCCCGTGAACAGCCCCGCAGCCCCTGCTCCCCCACGGCCATGAAGCTGGGCCTGGCTTCCCCCCAACACTTCTAGGTCCCCTGCCCTGCCTCAGAGGCCTCCCCCTCCATATGTACTTCCTGCCTTTCTTCCCCCACCTCCTGGGCCCCATCCTCATATGTTTTCAGTAAAATGACTTAAAATATTAGCACAAAAGCTATGTTGTAACAGGCATATGTTTCTTATTTATCGGCTACATTTCTTCCGACACGTCAAGGTCACTGTTCTTTTATTAGGTTAAGCTTTTTATTTTTATTTTGTGTGTGTGTGTGTGTGTGTGTGTGTGTGTGTGTCTAAAATGTCAGGGTGGGCTGCCAAGATTGAAGAACAAAGGGAAGAGCTGGATTTGAACTCCCTCACTGCATGACACATTTCTTATGGTGTAAAAAAGCTTGTATTTGACTAATTTTAGACATCCACGCTCCTATGTTGAGCGGGGTGTGTGAAAAATCCAGGCGTTTATTTCCCACGGGAATCAACAACACATTTAAACCTGCGGCTTGGTTTGGGTGGGGTTTTTTGAATGAGCCTGTCCAAGGTAATTTTCGGCAAGGAGTCGCAGGGGCGATAAAGGGACTGCAGGCCAAGGACAGAAGAAAAGGCTCCATGATCTGGCGGGCTGAGAAAGGGGAGCAGATGGACCTTCAAAGTCTACTGCCTGGCATTTCGGGAGGACAGTGCATGAAACCTCTGACATCGGTGCCCGAGTCAGTTCAGTCCAAGTTGGTACAAAAAAGCTGGTGTGCTGATAAATGTCAACAACCGGCTCTCTGCCGAAGGGTGGGGGCTGGTGAGTGGCTTTTGCTGATTTCTGGCGTGGAAACGACCTCTAGCAGGGAGGACGGAAATACCCAGGGACAAGGAGAGCCATCCACGAGACCGAGTCCCCCCTGAGCGGTGGCAGGAGGACCCCGAGCAACCTCACCAAAGGGAACTCCTCAGCACATACATACAGCGCATTCTTCACAGCGTGGCCCGGTGGCAAAGGGCTGGCACAGGCACTGGCCTGTATCCACGTCGCAGGCTGGGAGCAGCGCACTCCCGGAGGGGTGGCAGTTGCAGGCTGAAAACACAGCAAATGCAATTATTCCCATTTTTCTTTACCCCCCTCTTGTCCCTCATGGCTCACACTGAGCCAAACATGTGGCCACAAGGATACAGAGCAGCCGGACCTGGCACATGGTTACTACGGTGCACACAACCCCGCACAGGACAGCCAGGCCCAGACGCTTCCAGAGCCCCTGCGGTTCTGCTGGATGGCAACTGGGAGGAGACGACTTAGAAGGTGTGCAAGCTGGGGTGGCTAGCACGGTCATCCTGAGTGATGCCCGGGGGTGAGGGGTCAGCCGGCTGGACTCAGGGCAAGGGTTTCTGAGTGTCGTGGTCATCATTGCTGGCTCCTTTTGGGGCAGATGCAGCTATCCTCCCCTCTCTCTTCTTACCGCCTTGTTCCTTTTTCCCATTTTCTCCCTCCTCTTCCTCTGCCACCCATAGGCATCTCTGAGTCCTGCCTGTGTTGTGAGGCTAAGGAATTGGCTACCAGAGCAAGCTATACATTTCCCCTGCAGGAAAAAAACCCCACTGTTCATGGAACCCACCCCAATGTCCATCAAACGATGCACGGATAAATAATATGTGGAGTATCCATCCACACAATGGACTATTGTTAAGCCATAAAAAGGAATCAGGGACTGACACACTCTATGACATGGGTGACCCCTGAGAACATGTCGCTACGTGAAAGGAGCCAGTCACAAAGCATCACATATTAGATGATTTCATTTGTATGAAATGTCCACAACGGGCAAAGTCTAGAGGGACAGACAGGAGAGTCGGGCTTGCCCAGGGCCGGGGTGGAGAAAAGGGCACGTAGGGAGGTGGTAGCTAAAGGCAATGGGGCTCCTTTTCTTTTCATGGTAAAATACATTTGACATAAAGTTTACCATTTTACATACAGCTACACTATTGTGCAACCAACCTCCAGGGCTCTTCGTCTTGCAAAACCGAAACTCTGTGCCCACCAAACACCGTCTCTACCCCTTCCTCCCTCTCCCAAGCCCTTGGCAACCACTACTTTCTGTTTCCATAGACCTAACTGCTCTAGGAACCTTATGCAAGTGGACTCCTATAGCGGTTGTCCTTGTGTGACTGACTTATTTCACTGAGCCACCCTCTTCAAAGCTCATCCATGGTGTTGCCCGTATCACAACTTCCTTCTTGAGGCTGAATAGTATTCTCCGGTGTGTATGTGGCACATTTTGTGTGCCCATTCATCCATGATGGACACTTGGATCGCTTCTACTTTTTGGCTACAGTGAATAATGCTGTTATGAACATGAGTGTACAGATCTGTCTTCAACACTGTTTTCAATCTTTTGGGTATATAGACAGAAATAGGGTGAAGGGTTTCTTTTTTGGGATAATAGAAATATTCTAAAATTGATTATAGTGATGGTTACACAACTCTGAATATAGACATCACTGAGTTGTATTTCAAAGGGCAAATTATATGGCATGTGAACTATATCTCCCTGAAGCTGTTACAAAAGAAAAAAACTCCAAAAAATAATTATTTGGCCTATTCTTGGAGGGCATCAGGTTAGCACTGAACCAGGGGCAGCACCTGGGTGTGATGAAAAGTGTGATGGGAATTGGCTTGACTATATAATTTATTAGCCTGGAATTTAATGTTGCCGTTAAACTCCAGAAGAAGTTAGGATTCTGCATGCTGTTCTCTAAGCATGCAAATAATCTACAGTTCCTTGTCTGGGCAAAAATATAGAGCATGATGCTGTGACCAAAGGGAAATTATTTACTCAGGATTCCTTGAGGAATCTGCAGCTCTCTGAGACCCCAGGCAGCTCTAAATTTCTGTGATCCTGGAGCCAAGGGTTTCCCATTTGGCCCCAGAAAACTCCTAGACTCTTCCTATTTCCCCACAACCTCTCCCTTGGCTCTTTAGTGTTTTGTGTTTTTTTGTCTTCTCTTTGCCAGGGATTGTAGGACCAATTCCAAGAGGGGTATGGGAAGAAAGGAGAAAAATAGTTTTTAAAAAAGGGAAAAGAAACCACTACTTGAAGACTGCTTATGAAGTCATCAATCTATGCATAAATGCATAATGTAAATTTAACGAATTTGTGTGAGAAAGTCCAAGTCAGAGACCATTTTTCTAAAGGTTTTGCAATTTAGCATTTAATTTCTTGGCCTTTCCCCAGGTTTGCTCCAGCAGGGAAATGTGAGCGCCCCCTGCTGGTACCATATGATAGTCTCGGCTGCCCTCCAGGAGAAAAATCTCCACTAAAGTACTAACATTTGCAGTAAGTTTTTTTGTTTTGTTTTGTTTGTTTTGTTTGTTCTTACCTTTTAAACACTTCTTATTTATTTTTATTGGTCTTTTTTTTTACATTTTTAAATTTAGATTCAATTCGTCAACATATAGTATAACACCCAGTGCTCATCCCATCAAGTACCCTCCTCAGTGCTGGTCAGAGAGAGGGTTTTTTTTTTTTTTTTTTTTTTTTTTTTTTTGCATCACTTTAGAAAACCCAGAGGCTGGCAATACTCTTGGGTATTTCCCATACGACCGAATTTTAGGGCCAACAGAGACAGCCTCAAGCCTTAAACCTCATCCGGGCTGGCCCACCGCCACGCTGACTTACGCTGACAACCCAAAGGGTCAGTGGCGCTCAGTGTGTGGTGGTTGGGCTTGCACTGGTCACACTTGGCTCCTTCCACGTTCTCCTTGCACAAGCACTGGCCGGCCACAGCCCCCAAAGCAGGATCAGAGTGGCTCACACACATGCCACCCGATAAGGTCCCGTCCGGGTCACATTCACAAGCTGGGGACACAGACATGCATTAGTTAATTCCAAATTGTGGGAAACCAGAGATATAAACACAGCATTTTACTCACGCTGTAACTATTTTATTTTGTTTAAATAACTAAATACGTTTAAGTAAACTAAATGTTTAAAGAGCTAGACCAGTGGGCTAGGGCTGTTCAGAAATGTCTCCCAGATCTCGGGCTTTGGGAAATGTTGAACAATTTCATTATCTATAGATTGTTTTTGAAAACTGGATGTGAAGAATACACTGATTAAGTTAGGGGGTGTGAAAACGTTTCAGAGTTATATAGAGATGCTGACCCCACAACTTTGGGCTAATAAATTGCTGTTCATTGTCAAATGGTTAATTTTATGTTATGTCAATTTCACCTCAATAAAAGAGAGACTGAAAAAAAGGAAACAAGACTCCGAAGGTGAGAGTGAGGTCTGGAGGCAAGTGTGGGATGCTGTACTGAAATACACAAAAACATCAAACACAGATTTTATATTATATTTTAAAATATTATATATTATAAAATATTATATATTTTAAATATATATTCTATATATAAATATATTATATATTTTTATATTTTATATATAAAATATATTATATATAAAATATATATTTTATATATAAAATATATAAATATAGAAGAAAGCAATATATATAATTATATATTTATATATAAATATATAAAGAAGCAATATATAATTATATATATTTATATATAAAGAAGCAATATATAAATATATTTTATATAATATATAATATATAAAAATAAAAATATATTATATATAAAAATATATATTACATATATGTATAAATATAAAAATATTTTTTATATTTATATATAAAATATATACATGTATATTACATATATAGATATATATATATCATCAAGGGTCATGAGAGAATGAGAGAAAAAACATTACATGTCTACTAAATCTCTGAAGTCTGGTTAAGAAAGTAAGTTTGCCCTTTCCCATCACAGAAAAGTAAGGATAAATGCTATTGTTCTCTTTAATTTATCCTGGAAGGAGTGTTTACAAGAAAGATAGGGGGAGACTAGCAAGAAAAATTTATATCCCCATTTTGTTTTTGGAAATCTGCTGGCAGGGCCAAAGCTTGGGTGAAGAGATCCTGCAAAATGAGACAAAGGGTCTCCTGTAGCAAAAGAGCAACAAAAGTGCCCCACCCCCGCGACCCCCTTTGTTCAGTACAAACTAAAGGAAGGATAGGATAGGAGATGGAAGAGGGTGCTGACGGCATGAATAATTTGGAGGCGAGAAATCATAACAGGCAGAGCTCGATGTGAGTATAAGGAAGAGCCCTCAGACGGTGAGAGGTGCCCAGTGCAGCAGTGACCCCCTTATTTTTGAGGGGTCGTGTCCAGGAGGGGCCGGGCCAGCAGTCCATGTGGCTTGGGTAGAGAGGACAAGTCTGTTGGTACCAAGGTCTCTTGTATCCTTGTGTTTCCAAGGGATGCCACTGCTAAGGAACTCAATAAAGATTTTAAAAATGGATATCCTGATTCTCAGAAATAATAATGTTCACATTTACACATGATTACTTTGGATGAATAAAAACAAACCCCTCCCCTCTAAAGCCATGTTGTGTATGTTTATATTACAACCATTTAGGTTAGTGAGTTTGGTGGGAAAAAACCTAGCTGTTTGGCGTATTGAAGCAAATGTGTGGTTGTTTGACAGAACCTTTCAATTTTCAATTGTTATTGGAGCGTGACTGGTAATAAAATCTTATTTATGGGGCAGCCCAGGTGGCTCAGCGGTTTAGTGCCGCCTTCAGCCCAGGGCATGATCCTGGAGACCTCAGGATCGAGTCCCACATCAGGCTCCCTGCAGGGCCTGTGTCTCTGCCTCTCTCTCTGTGTCTCTCATGAATAAATAAATAAAATCTTTAAAAAATAAAAATAAAAACAATCTTAATGTGGAAAAATAGCATTCGGTTCTGCTTAGTTAGGGAAAGCCAGAATTTTCTTTTAATTAAATGCATTTGCTTCTAGAAAGGAAGGAACAAACTGAATTCATTTCAGAAGGAGCCAAAAGGAAAAAGGTCAGCTTTGTTCAGGAGACACTCCAGAGGGTCAGCACTGAGCTCCAGGATCTAATGCAATTATATTGGACAGAAGTATCCTTTGGGGAAGGGCTGTGGGTGAATAGTTGGTAACTTTACCCAGGGATAACCCTGCGCTATGGCCCTGAGAGGCTAGAAGTCCAACACAATTTCTTGGCGTCACACAGCTCCAGCAAACTCCCATTACCAGGGGTTAAATCTCCCAAACCTTTGTGTTTTTTCTGTATCACATTTGACCGTGTTTTAATCACAGAAGACTTAAAATCAGTCAACTCTTATGCCTGGAATCTGATTATGTAAATATTTAGGCTCAAACACAGACAATTTAGAGTTTTTTTTTTAATAGGAGACTAGTCAGTCTTAATAAATGCCATTTGTACACACATAGTCCCACACACATAAATGCGTGTTTAGGGAAACCGGGTAAGCTCAGGAAAGTTGTTTTTACAAGCTCCTTATTTGCCCTTCCTTAAGAAAAAACCTCCCTGTTTATAAAGAACAACCTCTTGATTTCATCATATCTGAGTACTAATTTTCTTAGTTCCCTTCAGAAGCATCATCAAGTTAATACTAAGTGATTTTTTTAAAGGATTTTATTTATATGAGAGACAGAGAGAGCGAGAGCAATCAAAGGAGAGAGCACAAGCAGGGGGAGCAGGGGAAGCAGTCTCCCTTCTGACCTAGGAGCCTGACATGGGGCTCCATCCCAGGACCCTGGGATCATGACCTGAGCCCAAGGCAGACGCTTAAATGACGGAGCCACCCAGGTGCCCCAATAATAAGTGGTTTTTAAGGAACAAGACTTTGGTTAGTGTGAAAATCTGGCTTAGTCACTTCCAGTCTCTTTCCAGATTCCTAGATTATCTGTCTTAAAACATTATATTTTCCCCTGATTCCACCTAAGAGAGCAATTTCTTCTTGTATAAAAGCATAGGGCTTAAAGCATTCATAAAAGACGTGGGTGTACACGTGTGTGTGTGGCGGTAGGGCATGGATTATAGGTTCTGGCAAAAAAAATGTAGGACATTTAGGACACTGATTTAAAGAAATATTTGTTTTAAGAATTCAGTTCTGGGCAGCCCCAGTAGGTGCAGCGGTTTGGCGCTGCCTGCAGCCTGGGGTGTGATCCTGGAGACCCGGGATCGAGTCCCACGTCGCGCTCCCTGCATGGAGCCTGCTTCTCCCTCTCCCTGTGTCTCTGCCTCTCTCTCTGTGTGTCTACGAATAAATAAATAAAATGTTTAAAAAAAAAGAATTCAGTTCTCTGTTATCAATTTTAAACAGGTCATGTAAGGTAAAATGTTATGCACCTACTAAGTAATCTGAACCTACTAAGTAATGAACTAAGTAATCTGAACCAAAACTTCATTTATGCTTTTTCTACACTGTGAGGATTTAAAATGTGAAATCTAGGAGGCTGTGCATATTCAGGTGGCTATGAATTAGCTCTGTATATGACTTCATTTCATGTATTATGATTACATGAAGTTTGAAGTACTTTTAAAGCAAACCCCTCCCCACTAAATAACAATATATTGATGATATAGCCCGAGAGGCAGGATTTCTGTGTCTCGGGAGAGACAACCTTCCATGGGTCCCGGGCTTCCAAACTTTATTTTTGCTGAGTGTGCCAACTATTTCTCAAGCCTGTGTTTTCAGCAGGCTACCTCAAAGGAGGAGATAACATCTTCCCCTTGCAATAAAAGCAATGACTCTTTCAAGCCCAGTGTTCCTTGGCTGTGACATAAACTCATCAGGTGTGCAGGATCCACCCAGCATCCTTGGAATTGCCCCGTGGAACTCAGGACTTAGGGACATGGGTACACACACCAGTACAAACACTGTGCTGCCTGCAGTGTCACGAGTAATGATGTCCCTTGCCTTAACCTGGGACTTTCAGGTCTTCTGCTCACATCCATGGAACTAACAACAAGCTACTTGTCAGTCTGCAAGTCGAGAAAGATCTCAAGCCCAGGAACTGGCCCTTGGTATTGGAAGTCCAGTTGGAGTATTTATCTACTCCAGGAGTCAACAGCAGTGCTGGGGCCAGGGTGAGACGAGCAAGGTGCCTGGGGCGCAGACCGTAAGGAAGTGTTTGCTGTCAGCTTAGTGCCCATAGCAGGTGTCAACCTGTGCTTACATCACTTACATCACCCTTCCCGAAGTGCTGGGACCTGGGTGCTTTGCTTGTCTCACTCTGGTCTCATTCCAGCGGGGAAATTCCAATTACAGTAATGATGAGATGACCTCTCGTTAGCAGAAACGGAAGTGTGACAAAGCTACGTGTTGGCCAGGACGCAGAGCAGCAGGGTTACTCACACTGTGGGTGTGGGTGTTCGTTGGTACCTCCACTTGGGGAACAATGTGGTATCGGGTAGTCAGTTTGCAGAAGTTCATACCCTATGTTTCAGCAATTCCATTCCTTGGTAGGACTCTTGGGGCCAGGTTTTGTGCATGTGCCTATACAAGAATGTTTTTTGAAGCATCAAAAGCAAAATGGCCAAATAGATGTGATATTTATGGGAAGAAAGAGTTCCATACAGATATTACATATGGATATTAACATTGGAGAATGTGTTGCAGATCGAACTTCAACAATAAATAAATAAGTAAATAAATAAATACCACCTGGAGAGAGAGAGAGAAAAAAAAAAAAACATTGGAGAATGAGGGCTACCCAACATTGACAAATCTCCAAAATGTAATGTTGAACCAAATAATCAAAGATATGTACCACGTGCTATTATTTATCTGAAGTTTGAAAACAAGCCAACATATATTGTTTGTATGCCTGCATTGTAACGATAATTATTGCTAAATGTGTGAGTTTATCCCCAGGAAGGAGGGTAACGGATGGAGCAGGTGTGTGCCTGGGGCACCAGCAGTATTTGTCATATTTCATTAAGGTCCTGAAGTCGATGGCGTAAGATACCATGTTTTCTTGCCACGGCTGCTGGTGGGCATAAGGGTGCTTATTATATTATTCTCTATTATTTTTATATGTACAAGATATTCCATTTTTAAAAGCTGAGATTAAAGGCAAAATGAAAGATTTTTTAAAGATTCAACAAAAGAAGCACAGGTGGGGGGCTGTCTCTCTTGAAAGAAAAGAAGAGGAGAGGGGAAGGGAGGGGAGGGGAGGGGAGGGGAGGTGCAGTAAATGAAGCCACTGACTCTGGGTTTCAGCTCAGGTCCTGGTCTCAGGGTCATGGGATGGAGCCAAGCACCAGGCTCTGGGCTCAGCATGGAGTCTGCTTAAGACTCTCTCTACCCTTCCCTCTACCCCTCCTGCTCATGCTCTCTTTTTCTCTCTCAAGTAAATAAATAAATCTTAAAAAAAAAGAAGGTAATATCTGTATATGCATCTTATCAGCAAAACTGAATTGTCTACCGCCAGACAGATGTTGCAGCCAGTTTCACTACGGATCTTCCTTGACTTAAGGTGGGGCTGATAAACCCCTCATAAGCTGAAAATTTCATAAATAGAAAATACATTTAATACATCTAGCCTACCCAACGTCTAGCCTGCCTTTGCGGTGCTGACAACACTTACACTGGCTGACGTTGGGCAAAGTCATCCGCCGCGCGGCCTGTTGTACCATGAAGTGTTGAATGTGTCATGTGACTTACTGGGCACTGACTGGGGCTGCCCCCAGCCGCCCCGCCCAGCATCGGGAGAGAGGATCTTCCCCTTACAGGCTAACCTGGGGAAAGATCCAGTACAGAACCCAAAGTTTCAGGGAATCCCTGGGGGGCTCAGGGGTTTAGCGCCTGCCTTCGGCCCAGGGCATGATCCTGGGGTGCTGGGATCGAGTCCCACATCGGGCTCCCTGCATGGAGCCTGCTTCTCCCTCTGCTTGTGTCTCTGTCTCTGTCTCTCTCTCTCTCTCTGCCTCTCATGAATAAATAAATAAAATCTTAAAAAAAAAACCAAAAAGAATCCAAAGTTTCTGCTGAATGAACGCCTATTGCTCTGGCACGTGGAGAAGTTGGCACATCCTCAGTGGAGCCAGCCAGCAGCCAAGGTGAGTCAGGTCATCTGTGGTCAGCCACTCCCCCAGGGACCTCCAGGACACGCAGGTGTCTGCGGCACCTTCTGAAACCACCTGCCCCCTCCCGGCTCAATCCCAGTAGTGTCCAGATTCACCGCTGTCGCCCCTGGCGTGGGGCTACCGGGGTGGGTCCAGATCATCTGGCCCAACTGGTGGTGACAATGAAAGCTCTTAGAGCTGGATGCTTTGCAAGCCCCCCAGGTCCCTAAATTGGGCGCTTTGGGGATGCTGCTAACCCGAGCGGGGGAAGGGGGGGCTGGCAGCCCAAGGGGGGGCCTCTCCCCCATGCAGAGAAGAGACGGGTCGAGGCCGGGGACTCACGGATGCACGCGTAAGGGTCGGACATGGCCTTGAGCGGGTCCCTGTAGAAGAGGGGCCTGCAGCGGTCACAGTGCTGGCCCTCGGTGTTGTGGCGACAGGCTTCGCACACCCCTCCGCTGCGGCCGCCGCTGCTCAGGTAGGCCGTCATGTCGAAGTGACAGCGGTCAGAGTGGCTGTTGCAGTGACAGGCTGAGGAAGGAGGGGGCAGTGAGAGATGGGCCAGGCCCTGGGGGACACCGCGCGGACCTCCCAGCGCCAGTCACCGCAGCCCGCATCGCTTGTTAGAGCTCCCCCAAGTACACACAGATGAGGACAGGTGCTTTCAAAGGATCTTTCTGGTGCTCTGATTCCGCCCATACACTGTCTGTTATATGTGTTCCTTGAGTTTAGCATTTGCTTTTTTAAAAAATACATATCAAATGAAAAAAGTAAATCATGGGGATCCCTGGGTGGCTCAGTGGTTTAGTACCTGCCTTCAGCCCAGGGTGTGATCCTGGGGTCCCGGGATCGAGTCCCGCATCAGGCTCCCTGCATGGAGCCTGTGTCACACACTCTGTCTCTCATGAATAAATAAAATCTTAAAAAAAAAAAAAAGTAAATCATTTGGAGGCTCCAGAAGGCCTGGAGTGTGATTTTTGTTGTTTTCCACTAAAGAAGACTTTCTCTGGCTTAGGCTTTGTAAACTTGACTTCTTATATCATCCGTTCTGCAGGGCCCGGGACTCCCAGACAAGGTGTCAGCTGGCGCCAGCCTGCTTCTCCGTCTCTATGGGCAGGAGAGCGAGAAGAGTGGCCGCAGGTCACTCGCAGCCCAGCTGGGCTCAGCCAGAGCAACAGGGCAAGGGACCTGGCCTGTCCTGGTGGTGAAGTCTGTTGGTGCTGCGCCTTGTTGGGTTTTCCGTGTAAACAGAAGGATCTCAGGCTCTGCTGGGCTAGGTCTTGCCAGCTGTGACTCTCATGGATGGGATGTTTTCAGGAGAGCTCTTCCGGGCACCTCTCACTCCCTCACAGCCTACTTCCCCACCTCCCCACCACCCCAGCCTGGGAGAAGAAGCTGAGTAACCAGTTTGTAGGGAAGTCCATCAAAATTCAGAGGCAGCGGACACATTACAAGAAAACCTTCTCCCCTATTGGCCTCAATATTTGACCAAAAACACAGAGAGCCTGTTAGACGTGGTTCTAGTCTGTCCTATGTGTTTAAGACCACCATTTGCTTCGACGTGGAGGGACCTGGAGGGTATTATGCTGAGTGAAGTAAGTCAATCGGAGAAGGACAAACATCATATGGTCTCATTCATTTGGGGAATGTGAAAATTACTGAAAGGGAATAAAGGGAAAGGAGAGAAAATGAGTGGAAATATCAGTGAGGGTGACAAAACATGAGAGACACCTAACTCTGGGAAATGAACGAGGGGGAGTGGAAGGGGAGGTGGGCGGGGGGTTGGGGTGACTGGGTGATGGGATGAGCACTGGGTGTTATGCTGTATGTTGGCAAATTGAACTCCAATAAAAAAATTAAAAAAAAAAAGAAACAACAAATACCCACCTTAAAAAAATAAAAATAAAATTGAAAGAGAGAAAAATAAATAAATAAATAAATAAAATGCATCTAATGGGGACGCCTGAGTGGCTCAGTGGTTGAGCATCTGCTTTTGGCTCAGGGTGTGATCCTGGGAGTCCTGGGATTGAGTCCTGCATCAGGCTCCCTGCAGAGAGTCTGCTTCTCCCTCTGCCTAAGTCTCTGCCTCTGTTTCTCTCATTAATAAAATTTTAAAAAGTCTTAAAAAAAAAAGAAAAAAAATACCCAGTTCATGGGTATGATTACTCAGGAGCACAGTAGGGATCTCTGTACGAGACCTGGGGTTCGCCCGATGCTGGAGCGGCACTGTCCCCACGGATGCCACTGTTACGTGGCTCTGCCCCTCCTCTAGAAAGGGACCACATGACATGCATAGTGTCTCATTTTGTAAATTAACGTTCATTTTTGGTGCAAAGGTTTGGGAAGTCGGTATTCTTCTATGGGGGGTCACCGGAGACGTGAAGCTATCCCAGAGCTGGAGCTCGGAGCCCTGGGTCAACACCCCTGCTGCCTGCAGCTCCACCGAAACGAGCTACACTATCTTCAAGAGAAGGAAGTGCAGAGCCCTCTGGGTGCAGGCCGAGAACCTTCTCCGCATACCTCTGCAGGTGCTGTCCTGGGGACCCGCTCCCGGCCTCCACGGGGCATCCTGGAAGAAGTCCTTGCAGCGCTCGCAGTTCGGGCCGTCTGTATTGTGCTGGCAGACGCACCGACCGTGCACCTGCATGTGTGAAAGGAGGACGTTGGGGTTCTTTAAGTGAAAAATGAACTAGCAGGCCGGGCACCTCTCCGTGTCTCATTTTTCCTTGGTAGTGACAACACCAACCTTGACTATCTTTATTATTTGCTTACCCAGCTTTTAACTTGTGAAAAAAAAAAAAAGCAGGATGTTCGGGAAACACTTGCAGTACATTTCTTGGCCTTTCTGAATTCTAGTTTCAGGGCAACAGATTGCAGCCCATGGCACAGGGACAAACAGGATGGGGAGAGAGAGAAAGAGAGAGAGAGAGAGGGAGAGAGAGAGAGAGAGAGAGAGTAGGGGGTGGTTGAGGAGCAAAAGGGAAGAGAGGGAATTAGAAAACAAAGAAACTGGAGAAAAATGTGTGATTCTCTGGGTTTTTCTGAAAAACACCCTGTATGTCCAAGTTCAAAGAGAGAAGCTCTATTTCTAGGGAAATATGAGGCAGCTGACAGGGAAGGTGCGAGAACTTCGGCCTCCAGCCTTGTCTGATCATGGCTAATACTTTAAAATTATTTCGTAAAAAATATAAAATAAAATAAAATAAAATAAAATAAAATAAAATAAATTTCATAGATGCACTCTCGGGACTCTGTGAGAAAACACAATCCTTCTACTACATCACTCTTTGAAGACTCGTCCCAAGCCGGGAAGAGGTCAGGATTAGGACTCATCATGCCCAGGGCAAGAATGAAGAGGCCGTTTTTACAGTGGTGGGTGACACTCAGGCCTCCTGGCACAGAGTACGGGCTCTGTACCTTCAAGAAATGTTTGTGGGATGATGGGTCCTTGGCACCAAAGCTCCATTCCCTAAAAAAAAAAAAAAAAACAAGTACACAAAAAAGGGAGCTCCCCAGAAATCATGAACTATACACGCGGCTCAGGACCTCCTCTGTAGCAGGATCCACAGGAGACCCCAAGGTCCCCGCCCCCAGCTGCTGGAATGACACCTGCCCCAACGCAAAGCTGTCGCGTGGGCCGTGGATGCCCACGTAGGGTCGGACAGCACAGGGCAGCAGGTGCGCCAGGCCGCTGCTCCTGGGGTCGCGGGGCAGCTCACCATGCCGGGCGGGCTGAAGACGTCTCCGCGGGCCTCCTGCACCGGGTCGCACTCGCTGGCGTGGCCGTTGCAAAAGCAGCTGCCCCGCACCACCATCGCATGCACAGCATAGTAGTAATTTTCAAGGGCATCCTCTTCCCTCCTTCCAAGCAAAGTATCCCCCAGGGTGTGGAGTTTGGTAAAGTTTATCCGCAGGTTTGTTAACGTCACAAGCTCTAGAGAAAGCGACACAGCCAAGCAAGGCACACTTAGGTGGCATCGGGTCAAGGCATCTCTCCCCACCCGACGTCCCCAGTGCACTGTGGACACGCAGGGACGAGGAGGGCTCCCAACGGGAAAGTTTTAGGAAGGCATCGGTGCCAAAACAGAGAGCACGATTCATACCCTGGATGTCGGGGCTGTAAGGGTTTTCGATGTCAAAGCTGGGATCCAGAACCTTTAAAACGACCTGTAAAACAGACGTAGGTGAAGGTATAAGCATCGCACGCCAACAGCAGGGTTAAAGATGCGCGCACGGAAGCGTATTGGCCGAGCCACTGCCTACCCCCGCGTGGGATACAGATTATTATTTGAGCTCTCACGTGACTCTGAGTGCCAGGGATGAAAATGAGTGAAAGATCTTAAATAGTCATTCTGGCTCTTCATGGCCAAGTGGTTCGTAAAGACAGAAGTCCTGACTGCTCCTGCCCGGGGTTGGGGTCGAGGGATGGGATCACAGTTCAGCAGGTTGTCATCGATCTGGGTCTGGCAGCAAATTCTAGAGCTGCCTTCGGCCACCAATTCTTTCATTCTACCCAATAAAATAATACCTCCCAGGCCCACTCATCCTCTGACCCTCTGCCAGTCGCCAGCTTTGCTCAGGGGAAGCTCCTGGCAGATTCCGTCTGGGTGGTGGTTTAGCACCAGGGGTGCTGCTAGCCCATCCCAAGGGTTAGCAGCGGATGCTCCCTCCTCTGGGTGCTCGTGCCCTGGTGCCCAGCCTGGGTCTCGGTCTCCACTCACTCTTAGCCGAGCACCCTTGTGCAGAATCATTCTTCTTGGCTTTCTTAAGTAGGCTCCACACCCAGCGTGGAGCCCACCATGGCGCTTGAACTCACGACCCTGAGAACAAGACCTGAGCTGAGATCAAGAGTCCGATGCTCAACCGACTGAGCCAGCCAGGTGCCCCCCATAGAGTTATTTCCTATGAGGCATTTACTATCTTCCTGAGTTTGAAATGAATACAGGGCTCATTTCAATTTAGACATGTTCATTTTAAAACAATAACAACAACTCAAGTTATAGTTCAGTAAATGCTACCTAAATTTTCTTTTTTTTTCATTTTTTTAAAATTTTTATTTATTTATGATAGTCACAGAGAGAGAGAGAGAGAGAGGCAGAGACATAGGCAGAGGGAAAAGCAGGCTCCATGCACCAGGAGCCCGACGTGGGATTCGATCCCGGGTCTCCAGGATCGCGCCCTGGGCCAAAGGCAGGCGCCAAACCGCTGCGCCACCCAGGGATCCCCGCTACCTAAATTTTCATTTAAAAGAACCGCATTAGCCAAAAAGGTATAATTTCTATCAGGGAAATCCAAGAATGCAAATGCTACCTCGCCACCAGTTGAGGGTTCGATATCCGAGTATTTGGAGTCACAAACAAGGTCTCCCACTCCCTGGGCCTGGCCGATGTGATATTGGGAAAGGAAGCAGCACAGTCTTTTGCAAAATATCTGAGCACTTTCCAGGTGTGTCCATAGTCTGCGGAGCGTTCAACCAACATTGCAGCAGGCCGAAAAGTCTAGGAAAACATGAGGTAAACTTGTAATGCTTCACAAAGGCAGGTTTCATTATCCATTTCAGACTGAATATTTATATTTCCCAATCTCCATTTTCCAAACTTTATCTTTTAAAACCTATCACACAATGAGCACAAAGAGACTGGAAATCTCTTTCCAATCAGGGGGCAAACTTTGATGAGCGTCTACTTCGCCTAGAATTCGGTTCTGTTTAAAAGATGTGTGTGGGCTCCGTGAATTATTCATCGAAGGAGGAGAGAATACCAGTTGTTTAAAAGCCACTGTAATTGATATTTTACAGCAATTTGTATGTGGTTTTCTTTGACCAGAACACTTTTCTCTGGCAAATTCCTCCAAAATCTGCCGAGAAGCTTATTCTGATTCCTTAGAGCAGAGTTCACCCCATTACGGAACCTGCCAGCATTCGGCTCACATGTCAGTTCCTGCACTTATCATTTTACACTAAGATTTAAAATCTCTTTGTATGTTTGTATCCTTGACCAGACTGTGTGCTCTTTGAGGGCAAACACTTGTGGGGCTTTTCCCCACACCTTTTAAAAATTTTATTGTCATTTTTTTATGACCATAACTCAGCTTCCAGCCTGATGACAAATTAGAATTTTGATGAATGATTTGGGAATGAGTACAGCAAAGGGTTTCTCTGGCTTCTAACTACGCTTAGTAAGGATCCTTTCATTTTTCTACCTTTTCCAATCACAACCTTTCTGTAATTCCCTAAATAATTTCCACTTTCTGCCTTTTTCTCCTAGAAAGTATTTTTCTAGTTCTTGCAGCCCCTATCATTCCACTGCTAGGTGGTTTCCTATCTGCTCTATCTTGTAACTCTTCCTTTTTCCTTTCCTTTCCTTTCCTTTCCTTTCCTTTCCTTTCCTTTCCTTTCCTTTCCTTTCCTTTCCCTTCCCTTCCCTTCCCTTCCCTTCCCTTCCCTTCCCTTCCCTTCCCTTCCCTTCCCTTCCCTTTCCTTCTCTTCCTTCTCTTTCCTTTCCTTTCCTTCTCTTCCCTTTCCTTCCCTTCTCTTTCCTTTCCTTCCCTTCTCTTTCCTTTTCTTTCTTTCTTTCTTTCTTTCTTTCTTTCTTTTCTTCTTTCTTCTTTCTTTTCTTTCCTTTTTTTTTTTTGTTAACCACCTAAGTGATTCATTAATGAGCATTGGGGTTTTTGTTTTTGCTTAATTTTGTTGGTTTTGTTTTCCACTCAGGGACCAAAACCCAAATGACAAAGCATGAGTAGAGATTTACAAGGCCTCCTGTGCTCTGCTACTTGTCAGGAGCAAGGAAGTGAAATCCCAGGCGAGCCCACAGATCTGTACCTTAAAGGTCAGAATAAGGTGGCTGAACTGAAATAATGCCTCTAGGTCCAATCTGATGCTGACATGATCAACACCTACGGAAAAATCCAGAAAGAAGAAAATCAGTGATTTTGAGAGGCCCCTATTGACCATGTTAATCCCTCACTGTGGCTTGTCTATAATAAGTCTGTTTGAAATCACACGGCTGGGGATCAACACTCTTTCCTAGTCTTTCCCAGTCGTTCCCCATGACACTGCATGCCCAGGAGAAGGGCTGTTTGAGAGCAAGCTAGGTTTCCCCGGACTGACTGTGCCCACATCCAGGTTATGGTGGCCGTGCGCATGGCCACTGTGTGGCAGTATTACCACCAAGGGAACTCCGGGCCGCTCCCCATAGGTGGAAGGCAGGGGCTCGTTTTTTCTGGACTCACCTCTTGACTGCATGGAAATGTGATGCTAGCAACCCAGAGCCTGGTAAAAATTGGCACACCCTTTTCGTCTAGCAGCTGCTTAACGGTCATTTGGACTAGTTTTATTGCCACTTAGCATAAACCACAGCCTGGACTATTCATTCCCCTTGGTGTGAGGATCTGCAGCTCCTCTGTGACCATGGAGGAGAAAGAAGTATCCTGGCCAGGGCTTTGCACGGAGATGGTCAGCTGCCATTCACCCAGCCACGATGGGAAGGGTCGGCCCCAGTCTGGACATGATGGAAGCCCTATCGCTGTAAGGTGGCACAGTCCAGTAGGAATGGGAGTCACTTAAGATTTTCTAGAGGCCACATGTAAAAAAGTATAAATAAACAGGTGAAACTAATTTTAACATATTTAATCCAATATATCAAAACTCATTTTAATGTATTTAATCCAATATATCAATCCAAAATATATAACATGTAGTCAACATTTGAAAAACAATAAAAATGCTTTATTTTACTATTGATAATGCTTCATTCCCCACCCCCACCCCCAAACTAAGTCTTAGAAATCTGGAATGGTTTTATGCTGCTGGCACATCTCAATTTGGATCAGCCACGTGGTGAGTGCCCAGGAGCGCGTGTGGCGAGGCGCTCCAGTACCAGAGAGTACAGCTCCGAGAGCAGTACCTGGGCTGCAATGAATGGGAGGCAGTTTTTTAATTGGAGAGTAAATTCCTTGGGAAGGTTTGGTCTGAGAGAGCAGCCCCATTCCTGGCTCTGGGTCAAGGGCTCCTCACCCATTCTAGAATGGACATCTCCTTTCCCCCCTCTCAAAAGTTCTTGGCTGAGAACCCTTATTCTATGCAATCAGCTTTGACAGAGGGGCATTCTTTCTGTGAGGAGATGGGGAACCAATGCAGGACAGGTGGTTTAAAACAGATGTTAAGCAAACATGGCATCCGGGAAGGCAGGTGGCTGTTGAAAGGCCACCCCACACGTACTAAGGAAAGCCCAACTAGATATTATTAACTAGAATCCAAAGTGAGCTGGCCTTCTAGTAGACACCCATCACGTGCTTGTCCAATGGATGGCAAAGAAAAACAGCCTCATATAATGCTTCCCCTCTGCATTATGCTCCTACGTTATGATAATTCATTCCCACGTTTCCCTAACAGTCTAAGATCCCCTGTGGGAAATATATTTATGGGATTGTAGCCCAAGTACAACATATAGAGATGTGGTGAATGGAATCATTTCATGGGCTGAGGGTTCCAGATTGGTGTTGAAGAAGAGCCATCATGAGTGAGCCAGCCTCCATTCATTGAAGCACAGAAGACCCAAGGCTGGGGTGGGATGTGAGGAATCCCTGTGGGGTCCTGATCGGGGCACCTCAGAAATAGAGATACTCAGGGCCAGCATGAGCTTCAATACCATAATTGTTCATGAACAGAGAAGGGCATAAATCCAAGAAGGGAAGAAGTTCAGCCAGTACCCAACTACCCTTTCAATTCGATTTTTATATGAAAATATTTGGCTTGCAGCAAGAAATGAAATGTTCTTTTTCTCTCTCCCTGCCTGTGCTACAGAAGGAAAAAAAGTACATGGTAATAACTCTCAGATTTCCCCGGGGGGCTGTTGGTTCCATTTACACCAGTGTGTTTTATATTAGGCTTCAATTACCAGCACCTTGTAAGTATCCCATTTTTTCTTTTTTTTTTTTTTAACAAAGAACAAAAGGATGCACAGATATTGTCTTCCTGCACATGGACAGAGTGGAGCCCTCTGAGTTATGTGCTTAAAATACACTTTGAATTCTCTGGAAGAAAGTCACCTTTCCTGGAATAAAAATAAAGTCTGTTCTTTACATTCTCCATGGATGCTGTTGCATTCCAACGGGACGCCTTGCTGTGAATTCGTTGAGATCATACAGAGAGAAAGACATCTTATTAAAAGTGCAAAGAAATGAAAACCTGGGAAGGAACTTAATCATACCATTTTCTGATTGCCACCATTTCTTTTCTCTCTCTGGTTCAAAACTTGTAATTACATTCTCGATGGTGTGGCTGCGGGATTGGGTGTACGGGTCATATGGAAATCTCGAGTCACAGACAAAGCATTTTTGCTCCCCCTGGAAAAGACCATCATTTAAATAAAAAATAAAGGGTCGGAATTACTTATTGTTGATCTGAATTTGAAAACAAGCTGTACTTACTATATTTGTCTTTCAATCTGGCTAAAAATAAAAAGCAGAGGAAATAACAAGACATCAATTTTTCCATCAATAGGTACTTAACTACAATGACAAACGCAATAGAAATGTGACCCAGAAATTTTATAAATTGATACATTCGGGATAAAAAATGCAAATTTATGTGGAGCTCATTTTTTTCTTCTACAAGAGGCAGATGATCTGGAGATTATGTTAAACTGTAGAGAAATCATCAGGATGTGGTCTTTGAGTAGGACTTACTTTCTTTAGTCAGAAGTTGAGTATTTGGCAAGAAATTAACAAAATTGGCCACCAAATTAACGAAACATTTGGCCACCAGGTTATCTGCAATCATCCTTCTTTTTCTCTCAGACATAGTTTCTGGCAGAAGAACTTCCAGGATCAAAACCCCTATGTCAACATATGTGGTTTTCATAGAAGATTCTCATCAAACTCATAACACAGAGGGCTGCCCCCCTTTTCTTGCAGACTAGAAAGTCTTTTTTAGTTAATTGGAGCTACCTTACTTGGAATGGACCTGCAAAGGTTGCAACTGCCAAGACTGGCCTTTGGGTTTGCCTAATTTAATGTGCCTACTTGTAGCTGTACTTAGTCAACACTCCTAAGGAAATTCCCCAGGACTTCCAAAGGACTGCCAATGGCCTGCACAGCTGGTCCTGGCTCATACTTGCAGGACTCTGGAGGAGCCTTTTTGCAAAGCTTCCAGGAAGCAGGCAGGGGTTGTTTATGATAACCCTACATCGGAAGTTGCCTACAACAGCAGATGCACTGGTGGGTATTCAGCAAACTCTGACTTTATGCCTTGACCATGGCTTACAAGGGCTACACAATCTGACCAGGGCCACCTCTTTGCCTTTCCCTCTATGGAGTCTTCCCTTGATTCACTCGACTGGAGCTACACTCACTTCTTATTCTTCCTTGAGTTCACCAGGAACTCTGTGGACACAAGCTCTTCTCTGGTCCCCTCTCCTTTCTTTCCCTTCTTCAGGTCTCTGTTTAACTGCTATCATCTCAGAGAGGTTTCTACCTAAAATACTACCACCTCCCCACCCTCATGCCTCTGCCACTCTCTATCCTTTACTCTGCTTTGTAATATTTTTCTAAGCCCTTATCACCACTTGAGACTATAATATACTGTTGTTATTTTATTGTCTGTCTCCATCATTAGAGTTTTAGCCTAATGAGGGGGAGAACTTTGTTTTATATAAGGTTGTATCCTCCTTGCCTAGAACAGTGTCTGGCACTTAGTAGATACTCAATAAAATTTGTTGAACGAATGCATGGTGATTTTATTTTTTTTATTTTTTTAAAATTTTTTTTTAATTTATTTACGATAGTCATACAGAGAGAGAGAGAGAGAGGCAGAGACACAAGCAGAGGGAGAAGCAGGCTCCATGCACCGGGAGCCTGACGTGGGATTCGATCCCGGGATTCCAGGATCGTGCCCTGGGCCAAAGGCAGGCGCCAAACCGCTGTGCCACCCAGGGATCCCATGCGTGGTGATTTTGATGGCTATTTCAGCTAACATCTGTCAAAGTAAACCAGCCTTTCAAGAGGCCCATATAATCGTCTTAGAATCACTGGCCACCATAAGCCTTATACTTGAAAAGAAAAATGCTTGGAAATTAAGGAGCAATGGGAGTGAGATCTATTCTGCATATGGAGAGGCTTGCCCCAGACCTGTCCTAAAAGAGCAGCAGAAGCCCTATGATTCCATCAAAAGATGTCAAGACTTCAAAAGATTTCCACTAATACTATGGAAATTATTGGGGAAAATATATAACTTTGGGGTTTATTCTGTAAACATTTTAAGAAGCATAGTCTTTGATGGACCTGGCTACAAAGGATGCTTAGTTGTTGGATATGGGAGTCCTAACTTGGGTAACACTGTGGGTTGATGTTGACTTGAAGCTTCCAAGAAGAATGTTCAATTGGCTTGGTAGCAATTTGTTAGATCATAGATGGGGGAGAAAATTATCCTCCACGGCGCACAAATGTTTAAGTAGATTAGAACTGGTAGACCAGATCTTTTGAGAATTTTTTTCCAGCTCTAAGATTTTAAAATCTGTGGGATTCTCAAGACAAAACAAGCTTGAAGTTTGATTTACTTCTATCTTTGGAGGTGTGACTTTGAAAGATAGGAGTATCAACTCCTAATTATTGTCAGGCTATGTCATGAGTTGGCTATGGCAACAGCAAGCAAATGCCAGTGGCTGAAGAAAAAAATGGGTAATGCCAACATTGGAGAGTTTCTACTATTAGTTACGAGAACTATTTCTTTTTCCAGAGAACCTAGAATTTGTAAAGTCACTTGAGGGGCCATCCATCCCACCTGGCCTAGAATTCAACAAAACTTCTATAGTGCCATTTCCTTGCACAAGTAGAGAATTTGCTTTCTGACACAAGTACTTCCCAAACTTAGAACAGTGCTAAGTGCTCAGGTATTGTCTACTTATTTATAATCATCCTCTTTTACTAGAAACCAATTAGAATACAAAGCATTTCCCAGAGACCTCCAGGAGTTGCTTTCAATGAACAATACATGGAAAAGCCTGGGCCAGCAATATTGGGCTTATGTCCAACTTCCTTCCTGCACATCCTCTTTCAGAAGGGGTTGACGTGATTGCCCTGGGCTTCTGGGCAGGTATGGTACTTACATGACCTTGGATGCTTATTCTGCTCCCAGAGTACCAAGAAGGAAGAAACTATTAAGTAGCTTGTCCTTACATAAAATTGATCTTTAAGGGGAAAAAAAGGCACCAAAATATGTTCATGTTGAGATCTTATGGCCTTAACGCAAGACAATTTCCAAGTGGCATTGGGATCCAACGTTCTACAACCTCTGCCCCCTCTCTACCCCAGACAGGACTAGGAGAACTCACATTTGACGTAATGGCCTTGAGACCCTGAGGGATCTTCAGTTCTCACTGGTGGGTCAAATAAATCTACATTCTGGGAATCACTAATGCAATTAAGTAGAACAGTACGTTGTGTAGTAATTCCCTTCAAAGACTGAACCGAGGAGCCTTTTCTGTCTAATTCTAAAAGTAAAAAGAAATAGATGAAGCAGATCTTCCCTATTTCCTGATCCATCAAGGTTCCTGGACTTGGAATTACATCACCTGTGCCTCTGATGTTCAGGAGAGTGATGTGTCCTCCTTTTGTGTTGCCTGGCTGGCCCCTGATGTACTCGGAAAAATCTAAGTAATTGACTCAATAATGTCCCAACAAATAACCCAAGACCTAACCCACCTCAAGGTAGCCGAGGATGCAGTATTTCTGGGCTCTGTCCAGCCCGCAGGTAGAAGAAGCTGTGAGCTGTGCGCCACGACCCACCAGGAGATCGCCAGTGGTAGGATGACAGGTGCCCCTTTTGCATTCATCCTGGGCCTTCACGTAACTGAGCAACCCTTGAACACAACAGACACAGCTGCATAGAAGGCAGTCTAAGTGTAGCAGCAGAAGGCTTAAAGAAGCAACTGGTTAAGTTGCAAGGTTAATAATCCATTTATTTTTTAATTTTGAAAAGATTTTATTTATTTATTCATGAGACACACACACACACAGAGGCAAAGACACAGGCAGAAGGAGAAGCAGGGTCATCTCAGGGAGCCTGACTTGGGACTTGATCCTAGGGTCCTGGGATCATGCCCTAAGCCAAAGAGAGACGCTCAACCTCTGAACCACCCAGGCATCCCAGTCCATTTATTTTTAAAGCCAGTTCTCTTGGTCATTAAGACCCTAGTTGTGGATGCTGTTGGTGTCCTCCACCTAATGGAAATCTCTTAGCCTGCCAGGTTATACCTTCTGCCTTCATGTCCCTATCTGGGCCAGCCTGTAGCTGGTGACTATTGGATACACAGTTCAAAAGGCTGGCACCAGTGCCTCGGGCTGGGAGCAACTCTGTGGTGCAATTTGTGCTCAGAACCTCTCACAGGAGGAGGTGGAAGCCCCGCTCCAGCTGGAACCACATCCTGCCTCCCCTCTCCTCATTCTCTTATTTCTCAGAGCCCTCTCTCAATAAATCACTGACATATGAATCCCTGTCTCAAGCTCTGCATCTAGGAAACTTCACCCAAGACAGCCCATATGTACTAGAAATTCTCTGTGTATCATTTTAGGGCAAACAATAGAAACTAATGCATAGACACAGGGAAGGAAAAATCTTAATCCACCTTTTATTCCTATTGTTCCAACTGGTACAAAATCATCTGGAGAATTTAAGAAATCCTTAGGAACTAACTTTCTCCTAAAACATGTAAATTCAATTGGTCACCTTTATAACCTGAATTGTTGGGTTCAGACTCACCATGGAACAAATTGTGCTGCTTTGGAATATAGTGAGAGCTGGAGTCCCAGACCCACACAAATATGCCCAAACTGATTTTTGAGGCACAAAGGCAGTTCACTGGAGGAAGGGTATTCTTTTCAACATATAGTGCTGGAGGAATTGGAGAGCCATAGGTGAAAAAAATAAAAAAAAGAACTACAACCAAAACCTTACACCTTCTACAAATATGAACACAAAATGGGTCATGGACAGAGTAATATATAAAACTGTAAAGCTATACAACTCCCATAACACATGGGAAAATGTCTTTGAGGCTTAGGACTAGATGAAGAATTTTTAGGACAACAAGAACATGATCCACGAAAGGAAAAATGAGTAAATTGGACCTCACCAAAATTAAAACTTTGCTAATTACATGGACTGAAAAAAGCCAATTAAAAGGTTATATACACTGCATGGCTCCATTTCTTCAATAACAGAATTATAGAGATGGAGAACAGATTTGTGGTTGTCAGGGATTAGGGAGGTAGTGTGGAAGGTGTGGATATCAAAGAGTAGTAGTAGGGCTCCTTGAGGGTCATGGAGCTGCTTCGTATCTATGGTGATGAATACAATTGCATAGAATTAAATACACCCACATGAGCGCATGTACAACTGGTACAATCTGAAGGTCAAGGGCTATAACAATGTCCATTCTCTGGTTGTGATACTGCATTATCTTCATGTGAGACATTACCATTGGGGGAAACTGGGTGAAAGGTGGATGGGATCTCTCTGTATTCTTTCTTATAGCTGCAATAATCTCAGGAGAACCTGCAATAATCTCACGAGAACCTGCAATAATCTCAAAATAAGAAGTGAAAAAAACCCAAGGAATCCTCCGTCCCATCAAAATCACCCCATCAGCCTCTGGATGGTGAATCAAGTAAACCCGACACCCTAAGATAATATGAACATCTATGGCCTGCTCCAGCTGCTCTTAGATACTTTTCCCTTGAAACATGAAGATTTATGCCAAGCTCTGATTCCAGCCCAGGGATGGGCATAAAATGGAAAATTATTCCTGTACTGTGAAATAGGCTTGGTTTCTCTCCAGTTTTCTCAACTGTGAAACTATAAGAATTTTTTTTATGGTCTTGTTTTGCATTTAATGGATTTATTTCCTTCAACTTGTCCTCCCTAAAACAGAAGCTATTGAAAAGTAGTTTTTTTTCCTCTTATGTCTGTATTCCCCACATGACCTATTCTATTCATCTGGTCATTTTGTGGTTATTTTCAGGAATTAATACCTAGATCATAGTTTTATAGCTAAAGAATATGGTACATAATGTCTCCTTCCAGACAGGATACCAAGTATCAGGTTTGACAAGGAATTTTCTGGCTTCATTCTCATTGCAGAGATTACTATTACTCCAAAACAAAGGCACAAAATGCTTTCTCCTTCTTGAAGATAGATACATGAAGAAAGTTAGCACCATCTCATATTTTCATTTTATTATATAATAAATGGTCCTAGGCTGGTTAACATGGATTTTTCCTTTTATTCACCTAGCAATCCAAACCTGGATCTCCTTTTATTTGCTAGACTCGACCTCTAAGATATATAACCAATCAGAAATTTGGACTCCCGTAAACAGAGACTTTTAAAGACAAGGTCAGGTATAAAAATCTCTGCTAATGCTATTCGTGGATTAGCTAAGACTTCCCTTCCAGGGATTTATTCTAGACAAGTTCCATCCTGAAATTTTTTTATTGGAATTGCTGCCTTAGAGATTTAACATGTTTTTATAACCTGACTTGGCCTAACTTGTTTGATCAGATGTGTACTTTTCAGAAATAAAAGTATCTTAGGACTTAGGGAGACTGAACTATTATGCATGTAATATTCCAAATGCAAATATGAATTTCCGGCCTCAAATACTTGGCAAAAAGTGGCTAGCAACATAAGCAGTTAAAGCTTCATGCCTGAACACAGATAACCTTAGCAATACTCTTCCTGGGTGGAAGTTTTCAACTGTCAGATGATCACATTAGCAACAGGTTGGAATGGATTCAGAGAATCCAGATGCTTATGTCTTGAGAGAGTCAATGCATTCCTCAAAAACAACATGTAACTTGAAGATAGGATCTGATTAAACATAAACTTAGATCTGGTCATTTAAAGAAAATGCACAGCAAATGTTCTGTAAAGTGAAGGATCGTTTTGTAGAAATAACCTTTATTAGGTAATCTCTCATTTTGTATATTGTTCTCATTTTTTAAAACACGTGAGACATTTGCATATACCTTAGAGTTCACTTCAGAGTTCCAGAGGCTGTAAATACACACACACACATATTATTTATTATGGGCAAGAAAACTTAAAAAGAATGCATGTTCGACAAGGTTTGTAGTTTATATCCAGTTCCTAAAACCTGGGGCCAATGCAATTCCCCAATCTTTCTTAGTTAGGATGTAAGACAAAGTGCTTAGGCACCAGTTTTTAGATAAATGCCTGTGGTTGAACTACAAACCAGAAAATGCCGAAGCCAATGATGTGGGATTAACCTGGTTGGTAGTTTGACCATAGGAAATCCTAGAGTCTTTGGTTAGATCAGGGTAAGCTTATATTTAGAAACCCAGGATCTACTGCAGTGAGGTCTTTTTGTTTTCTTTTCTTAGATTTTTTTAAAAAATATTTAATTTATTTATTCATGAAAGACACACACAGAGAGAGAGAGAGACAGAGACAGAGACACAGGCAGAGGGAGAAGCAGGCTCCTGCAGGGAGCCTGATGTGAGACTCGATCCCAGGATCCCAGGATCATGACCCCAGCCAAAGGCAGATGCTCAACCATTGAACCACCCAGGCATTCCTGAGATTTTTTTTTAAAGTAATCTCTACACCCAACATGGGGCTCAAACTCAAAACCCCAAGATCAAGAGCTAGCTGTGTGCTCCACCCACTGAGCCAGCCGGGTGCCCCGAGGTCTTTTTCCACTCCAGCTAATTTGGTTTTGAAGATCTTTCATCCTGAGACAAAGGTCTCCTGATTGAGGAGGGGTCTCTGAGCAACTGTGTTGTGGTTTTGAATCTTTGCAAGGTGTGGGGAAGTTATCCTCTATGGAGATTCAGTGATCCTCAATGGTTGCTTCTGATATTGAACACGAGTTCAGTCCCAAAGAGAGCATCCGAGGCCGATGTAGATTGAAACAGCACTTCTCTGACCATCTGAGGCCAGATCTAAGTTACATTGTCCGGGAGGAGGCAGTGTAAGGATCTCTGCTCCCACCGGCCTGCAGCTCACCTCTCCAAGGCAGACAATTTTCAACAGAGGACAAATGAGCATTTGCTATTTTGAGCTGTTCTGCTTCCCTCCACACCCCCAGCAAATCTAACTGGGAGATTGCCTCAGGGTCTGAGAATAGCAAAATTTAAAAACGAGCTTCTTCAAGTTTGCTACCATGAAGAAATTCAGCATGAATCTTTGAAGAGAAGATCCTAAGCAGTGTAGTTAGTACTGAGTAACCAGAAGCAGGGCTTTTATAGAAAAGTTAGGATCAAAGAGGGTAATTGCTGGGAACATCCTCTCTATGACTAATGTAAATTATTCTCAGCCTATTAAAGATGGCAGAGGCGTGGAGGATTTGGCTGTTTAGCAGAGAGCTGCTGCTGCTTACTCACAACAGGGGATTTTGCCTGTAAATTCTTCACAAGACTTCATTACTGGGACCAGTGCTCCATTCACAACACGCCTCTCTTTAAAGATGAAAATACATTCTATTTGTAAATTAAGAATCTGAAAGTATTTTTTTCTTTAGTATCTTACTTTACTTACTGCTGATAGTAATATTCCATTAAAGATGATTGAAATAGCTATGTGTGGAGAGTAAATATGTTGGAGTAGAAGTTTCTAGTTGCTTGACACAATCATGCAACAGAAGAACCATGAAAATACACAGTAGAATGGGGGAAAAAAAAGAGATGGATATGTTTAAAAAAACATTTTCACTAAATATTTTAGATATTCAATAACTAAAATTTTATTTTCAATAAAAGCAGAAAATGGATTTTGACAACGAATACTCACCAAGGTGCCAAAAGAGGGCCAGTTGAAATTGCATTCTTTCGTCAGGAAATGATTAAATTCAATTTTGCTAGGTTAAAAAAAAAAAAGGGAGGTTAAGTTTCAGTCACTGATAGAATCAATAATTGCCACCAATTTTCAATGATTCGAAAATCTGGTTATTCTTTAGGGATACAAAACATCTACAGCACCCAATTTCTCAAAAAATAAGAGTGTATAAAATTTTTCACCAGTATTTGTTTTTTATTTTTTTGAAATTAGAAAATGCAATCGTTTGTAGGCACTAATACAAACCAAATATACTTTCCTTTGCTTATTTTTGTTTTAACCTTTTTTTCTCGTCTTATTAATCTAGGAAAAAAGTTCAGTTTCAGCAATCAATATGCACTCATTATTGAAAACATAGAGAAGTTCAGACAGGCGGAGTGAAGGAATTGTTAGCAGTAGGGCTACCTCCCAGAGGAAGGGGGTTGGTATCTTGCCACACGCTCTCCCATCCTGCTTCCCTTGCACATAAGTGTTTTCCAAAAACGATGATACTGTATGTTTCGAGCAATACCTCCCAGGCATCCCTTTGTACCAGCAAATATAATTCTGTCATTTCCAACCCAGTGAGGGAGGGACATTAGGATCACCTGTGTCTCCATTCGTAGGTTCTGCTGAGTCCCTCTAGATAGAGCCCCCCCCCCCGCCCCTCACTGTGTGGGGAAGCCTGATACGGGTGGGAGTGTACACATGCCTGCAGGGGGTGGGAGGAGAGAAGGTAAAATACCCTCCTGCATCAGGTTTTTAAATTACCAGATAGTATTGCTCTGAAGGCAGGAGCCAGAATTTATTTAATGAATCCCCTACTGGCTGATACGGACTGTGTGTCTAATATGTTCCTGTTATAGACATTTTTGCTAAATCTTTCTTCATATTGCTTTAATTTCCCCCCAGAATATACTAAATGGAGTAGAAATAACAGATCAAAGAGCATGTGTGTGTTTGGGTGTCTACGTGTATGTAAACGTGTGTGTGTGTGTGTGTGTGTGTGTGTATGAAGCTGTCAGTGTTACTGTCAACCTGGGATGCCAGGGTGGCTCAGTGGTTGAGTATCTGCCTTTGGCTCAGGTCATGATCCTGGAGACCCAGGATCGAGTCCCACATCGGGCCGCAGGGAGCCTGCTGCTCCCTCTGCCTGTGTTTCTGCCTCTCTCTGTGTGTCTCTCATGAATAAATAAATAAAATCTTTAAACACAAAATGTTACTGTCAACCTGCATGCGGACATCTCGCCCCAGTGCACACGCTCACTCACAGCCTATGGGAACACCTGCTCACTTGTGCCCTTTCCCAACACGGAGTGTATTACGAATTTTTAAAGCTTTATCAATTTAAAGAGCAACAAATTATACCTCGTTGTTATTATTTTAATGTTTCTATTTGGATAGCAGTGAGCGTAAAAATGCTTTTCCATGTATTTACAGGTGACAATTATTTCTGCCTTTCAACCTTCGAGGCCTTTCTTAGCCAACTCTCTGCTTTCCCCCGGCCCCACGTTGAGTCGGTCTAAGCCAACGTGCCTGGCTCTGCGCTGGCACCTGCTTCTGCCCCAGACCCTCTTCTCTTCTCTCTCTCTTTTTTTATGCTGAGAGGTTTTCTTTTTTCTTTTTATTTTCTTTTTAAAGATTTTATTTATTTATGCATGAGAGGCACAGAGAGAGAGGCAGAGACACAGGCAGAGGGAGAAGCAGGCTCCATGCAGGGAGCCCGATGTGGGACTCGATCCCGGGTCTCCAGGATTGGGCCTTGGGCCGAAGCCGGCGCTAAACCGCTGAGCCACCCGGGCTGCCCCAGACCCTCTTCTCATGCCATTTGCTCCCCCTTGGATGCCACCCACCTAAACTCAAACACCAGCGTCCTTAGGAAGTCTTTTGTTTAAATGCCTGATTTTAGGTGAATTTCCTTCTGTGATCTACATTCTTCCCCCAGCCTGGGCTTCACTTGGGGGCATCTGTATGGGTCACCTGAGCACTTTTTCTAGGTGGTGCTTTCTTGTTGCCTTTTCCTCAGTCAGGGCATGTGGCTTGGGTCACTCACCCAGCTACACTTCTGGTTTTTGACTTTTTAAAAATGTTATTTATTCATGAGAGACACACAGAGAGAGGCAGAGGCACAGGCAGAGGGAGAAGCAGGCTCCCTGCAGGGAGCCCCATGCAGGGCTCGATCCCAGGACCCCGGGATCACCACCTGAGCCTAAGGCAGATGCTCAACTGCTGAGCCGCCCAGGTGCTCCTCCGAGCAGTTTTCATCCCAGCAATGTAATGAACCGTGTGATACTAAGGAAGACTTGTCCCCCCAAGCACTCTGCAAAAGGCATTGGGTTCACATGATCGTTTGCTCCTGTGGTCAGCGCAGCAGTCCTCCTTCTTTCTGTCTAACCCCGGGTCCTTAGAATTGTGCCATCTGCAGCCCTCCCACCTTCCCAAAGGAGGGAGACATTAGCCCCTGGTGGGTGACTGGAAGCAGTCTTCCAGCTTGGAATCTGCCCTGTGAATGGATGGATGTCCCCCTGGAGAGGAACAGGGATGCTGGTGATATTGGCTGCATAGTCCTGCTGGCCTTCAGCAGCCCAGAGACTACTCCTTTCAAGGCCTTAATTGCAGGCCATGCGTGTACACCGTGATCTCGCCAAATTCAGCTTCTCTGGTTATAGAGCATAATATTTTCAGACTTTGCTCATATTGCCAATTCTTATTAAAAAAGGATAACCACGTTATTCATCATCCTGCTTTTGACAAAACGAAGCATGCAGGCGCGAGTTCTACATCCAGGACAAGATCAGGATGGGGGAGTTTCATCAAAAGTATAGCTGAGGGGCATCTGGGTGGCTCAGCGGTTGAGTGTCTACTTTTGGCTCAGGTTGTGATCCCAGGGTCTTAAATAAATCTTAAAAAAAAAAAAAAACTGCTAGGGGGAGCGCCTGGGTGGCTCAAAGGTTGAGCGCCTGCCTTCGGCCCAGTGGGGATCGAGCCCCACGTCAGGCTCCCTGCATGGAGCCTGCTTCTCCCTCTGCCTGTGTCTCATGAATAAATAAATAAAATCCTTAAAAAAAAAAAAAACTGCTGGGAATCTTCTCAGTCTGAGAAGTATCTTCAAGTGACAGCCAATATAGTACGAGGAAGTGAACCCCCCACCCCGCATGCATCAGCCAGGTGCCAGCCTGACCTGCCCCAAAGAAGAGAGGAGGAGCACCAGGGGGGACCCTAAGCGAGGCTGGAATAGATTCCATTCTCTTATGATAATTGCTCAACAACTATCACCAGTTTCCCAATGAGGACATGAATGACACATCACCAAGCTCATCGCTAATCCCCCTGCTGGCTGAGCACCTCCACGGCCCTGGCTGCACCTCAGAAACCCCTGGGCAGATTATTTTTCTCATGACTTCTTTTTTAAAATACTTATTTATTTTATGACATAACACACATAACATAAAATTTGCCATCTTGACCATTTTGAAGCGCACAGTGACACACATTCACGTGTGTTTAGGATGCTCCCCAGAGGATTCTAATATGTAGCAGGGTGGGGGTGGGGGGAGAACCACCCATGGCCTGTGAACACCTAAAACTCATTAACTTGCCAACACACCTACTCTCCTCCGAGATTCCATTCTAGCCCATCAATGGTTCCCAGGACAACCATTGAGCATCTGCCTTTAGCTCAAGGTGTGATCCTGGTCTCAGGATCGAGTCCCGCATCGGGCTCCCTGTGAGGAGCCTACTTCTCACTCTGCCTGTGTCTCTGTGTGTCTCTCATGAATAAATAAATAAAATCTTTTTTAAAAAAATCAATGGTTCCCATACTTTGCTGCGCATTAGAATCACCTGGTGAGCTTTACACATCCTGCTGCCAGGGAACATTTTATACCAATCAAATCAGAATATCGGGGTGGGGGGCGGCAGGGAGAGGTGCCAGCTGTAGTTTTTTTTTTTTTTTTTTTAAGATTGTAGGTGATTCCAATATACAGCAAAGTTTGGGAGCCACTGGCATTACCATGGCCCAACTCGCTTAGGCCAGAGCCTAGAGGGTTGTCCTTGATTCCTGGCACACTTCCAAATCTGAATTTGATCTCATCTCCTTAAACAATAGTTCTCAAAATGTGGCCCGTGGACTTAACACAGACCAGATCATCCTAGTTTGCCTGGGAGTTTTCTGGTTTCAGCACCAGAGGCTCCCAGGTCCTTGGAATGCCCTTTCGTCTGGGCAAATCCAAATGTTGGCTACCCTACTGGATCGGCAGCATCAGTGTCACCTGGGAACTGGCCCAGCACAGGACCCATTGATTCAGAAAGTCTAGGGCTGGGGCCCAGCACTCTGTGCATTTACAAAGCTCTCCAGATGTGTCTGATGTGAGCCCAAGTTGGAGAACCACTGCCCTCAGTAACTCCCCAGGTCCACACTCTGAAGATCAGAGCTGCTGTTGCTCTTAGGGACGGCAGTAACACCCCACAAGAACCTACCCTGTGGCACGTGCATTCCCAGCTGTCTGGGTAGCCCCCCATGTAAGGCACTGCAGGTCCAGGCAGTGGTACTGGAGGGACGGAGAGGGAGGGTGAGGGCACCCTTCACTGAGCTCTGCCTCAGCTACTGAATGTGCACGCTCTTCTTAGAGCTTGCTCGGTCAAGGCCTTCTTTTTCTGGTTCTCAATATCCAAAATGATTTTCCCAGTAGAATAGAAGCTTTTTCCATTGTTAATGAGCTTCCAGGGAGGAAACAGGAAAAAAGAGGGTTAGTTTTCTTTTTCTTTTTCTTTCTTTCTTTCTTTCTTTCTTTCTTTCTTTCTTTCTTTCTTTCTTTCTAAGTTTTCTTACTTTCTTTCATATATGAGGTCTCTCCTATGAAAGGTGTCATCTCAGGGCACTGGAGTGGCTCAGCAGTTGAGCATCTGCCTTCAGCTCAGGGTGTGATCCTGGGGTCCTGGGATCTTCTCCCTCTGCCTGTGTCTCTGCCTCTCTTATTCTCATGAATAACCAAATAAAATCTTTTTAAAAAAAAAGGAAGTTCTCATCTCTCTGACTGGAGGTATTCTAATCTCCACGGCTCTTATGACCTCTTTTAAGGCATAAAGTACAACCTCCTCTTTATTTTTTGGTGACATCTTTGCTCAGATCATTCACATATCATAAAATTCACCCTTAAAGTAGCTTTTATTTTTTCACAGAGTCGTGTAGCCATCACCCTAGCTAACTTTTGAACATTTTCCTCAGCCCAGCAGGAGATCCCATACTTGTGGGCAGGCACCCCTACCCCCATCTGTCTCTTCCTGAAGCTCCTGGGAACTATCCATCTATTTTCTCTCTCTGTGGATTTGCCTGTTCTGGATACTTTATGGAAATGAAATCATGCCATGTGTGGTCTTTGGTGACTAGCTTCTTTCAATCAGCATAACATTATAGCTATTACCAGGATGGCAATTCCTTTTTATTGCTGAATAATACTCCATTATATGGATATACCACTTTGGTTAGCCATTCATCAACAGTTCATGGACATTTTTCTCTACTTATTGACTATATTATGAATAATGCTGCTATGACCGTTTATCTACAAGTTTTGGTTTGGGTGTAGGTATTTTCATTTCTCTGGGGTAAATGCATAACCATAGAAAAACACTGTTTCTTAAATTTTATGACCTTGTCTAAACCTTCCTCATAGATTGTAAGTAACTGAAGGCAAACATTCATCTTCTTGTCCCCAAGAAGTACATAGAAAAATTTAAAAAACAGGGACAACTGGGCGACTCAGCAGTTAAGCGTCTGCCTTCTGCTCAGGGCGTGATCCTGAGATCTGGGATCGAGTTTTTCATTGGGCTCCCCTCAAGGAGCCTGCTTCTCCCTCTGCCTGTGTCTCTGCCTCTCTCTCTGTGTCTCTCATGAATAAGTAAATAAACCATAAATAAATCTTTAAAAAAATAAAAACATTTGCCAACTTAAAGTCATTGCAGGTTGCATTTGTGTTAAAATATGTCAGCATCCAACCTTGATGCCAATTGCATGCATAACAGTCTAGCTTGACTTTTATTACTGCCTCTTCCATGAACTTCACCTCATCTGCCCTGACTTGAAGATCTTTTATTTTATTTTTTAAAGATTGTTAAGATGTTCCCTCTTCATTACTTCTATCTCCACTCACTCAATTTTACTTCCTGAAATAGAACCTCCTTCCTTCTCAGTGCAGGTGGGTTATGGCTGATTACACTGGAAAGGCTGAGGCCCACATCAGCATCCCTGCTTCTCACATGTGCCGAGGGTCCTCACAAGGTAGGTTTGCCTGGTGGAGAGCACAAGGTCTGTGGACATTTGTGGCTGTCACACAGGGCAGGGGGATCTACTGACATCTAGTGGGCAGAGGCCAGGTATTTGGCTAGAGAGTCTCCCAGGATGCACAGGGCACTCCGTCTTCCCCCCACGAAGAATTATCTGGCCCCAAATATCAAGAGTGCCCCTCGTCAGGGCCCTGTTACCCCACCCTTTATATCCACAAGTTCCTCAGCTCTGGTCCTGTTCCCCGTTTTCTGTTTCTCATTTGAGATGATCTAAGTCCCAAGCTAGATGAGTGTTAAAGTATTCAGTCTGGCAACTTTTACAAATCCTGTTTTCTGAAATCACCCCGGCACCAGAAAATGCACGGCTGCACATACTACCCATTTTAGGGGTGGTGGTCATCTCCCCCATACCTTCCTTCATCAGGCTTTCCATTTCACCGGTGTTGCTTTTCTGGTTGGTGTGCCAGACCTGACCTTTGCAAAGCTTCACAGCGGCCACATACAATTTTTTTCTTGCTAAATTCATTGGTGAGTTTAAATGATATTCATAAAAGTAGCTGGGATGAATAAACATACTATCACCTCTGATCTGGACAAAGAGCATGTAAATAGAGTCACCTGGGTGGCTCAGTTGGTTAAGCGTCTGCCTTTGGCTCAGGTCGTGATCTCAGGGTCCTGGGCATCAAGGCCCGCATGAGGCTCTCTGCTCAGTGGGGAGTCTGCTTCTCCCTCTCAAACTGCCTCTGTGCACATATTCTCTCTCTCTCTCAAATAAAATCTAAAAAAAAAAAAAAAACTCTCATGGAAAAAAAGAAAATCATTTGTAAAAAAAAAAAAAGAAAAAAGAGCATGTAAATATATTTACAAAGGCACTGGATGCACTTTGGTGACTGTTTAGCAAATGCCGCTGGAGGACACTGGTCCTAAACTACAGTCAATGTCACAATAAACAGTAAAATATGTGAAACTGCAATAACTCATTTCCCAGCATTGCTAATCGATTTTAATTTACTGACCACCAACATTACCACATCTGCCCTCACTGGAAGGCTGTGCTCAGGGCGACAATCTTGTCAAAGAGTTTCTTCTTTTGGTCAAAATGATGCGAAGGCAACAGATGGAGACGTGTGGGGGACTTAATGCCAAGATGGCCAGCAGTGTCCAAACACTGTCCTAGGTAGACCCACGGGGGCAAACAGTGCGTGGGAAACAGCCTCTCTACAGCTTTCCTTCCGCGAATTGCGCAGTAGTCTCCAACACAGAGGATAATTATAATCCACATATTTACATTAGCCCTTACTTCTTTTTCTGGCACACTTCAAATGGGTGACATTAGACATTTTAAAATGACAGTTCTCATAGAAATCTTATGTTTGACTTTCCCTTATCTTATGTTTTTTCCTCGCCCCTTACACCAGGAATCATTAGAGATTCCAACAGTGCTGCTTTCAATTGCATCGCAGTGAGGAATGCAGAACATGAAGCTATAAAGCTCACTTCCCTTAAATTAGAGTCGACACCTTGCTCTCCTTAAAACTCACTGCTTAGGTCTCTAAGACACGAACAATATATTTTGAAGACAGGTCTACAGAATTGGAACATTTCCCCAACTGTCACAAGTTGTATCACCGTGGTAAAATAAGTATTCACATAATACACAATTTAGATTGTGCAGTGGAACATGACATCGTTTGAAACTTCCTTTAAGGAACAGAAAACTCGAGTCACTGGCTGCACCCCACTGAACACTAAGCACCCCTTTTTCCCATCGGATATTGTACTGTGTGTACATGTTACCTGATAATCAGTCTGTGAAAGTAATGAGTATACTCCATGCTCTGGTACCTTATACTCCATGCTGGCTCCCCTCATACACAACAAATTCTGAGTTTGCTGGTAGTTTCTCTTGATCCCAAAAATGCCAACTTGTCGGGGAGACAGAAGATGGGACTTACCGGGATTTGCCAGGCTGTGTCGAGAGGTGCAGGCAGCAAACAGGGTGTGTAAAGGCACACCTAAAGTGAGAGTCAATTTAAGTAGAAAACCTCTCCCCCGAGGCACCTGCGGGGAAGGAGAAAAAAAAAAAAAAAGATGAGAGGTATTCCAGAACCTGCCATAAAAGGCGATTCGTGAAATTACTTGCCTTAGGTTTAGACTTAGACATGCATCGTGCGCGTGCGCGCACACACACACACACACACACACACACGCACACACACCTTGTATACAGAGGGAAAGAGCTCTATTTTACAGCAACTGTTCTTCATCTATGCACCAGACTTCTGAAAGCAATGGCTGGGAGGGGTTGAGATCAGGGTTACAGCAACAAACTGCAAGATTCCTACCAAATTTGTGACTAAGTGCCAGCTGCCCCTTAGCCGCTCCAACAGTGTGAAATTAAGAAGGCTGGACTCAAAGAATCAGAGGCTCACACTGGGCTCCCCAAAGCAACCAGGGTGCCCTGCTCTCTTGAGCGACTTGTCTGTGGGAGCAGCTCCAAGTTCCTTTGCACCAAAGCCGCAGGTACATTCAAACACTTGCCATATGCATACTTACTACTTGCATACTTTACTCCCCCTGGAGAGAGTGGTTGATAAACACGGGTGGTTTTATTATTCGCTAACTTGTGTAGTCTTTTGCTCGCACATCCGACTTTGCCTTCGGATTCCAGGCCTCTGGTGGTATGGAGAAAAGAAAGTGCCTGATGAAACTCACAGAGAAAGAGCGAGACGCTCCATGGAATACTTCGGCTCCTAGAATTTGAGTAATAAAACTTGTCCTCTACAAATGCAGCACTGAGACAAAATTAACTAGCCCGTTTCCCTGACCTGTATTGACATCTGTCAACGAGAAGACGTAGCAGAAAAGATCAGTCTTTCAGCATTCACTCAGCTTTGAAACTCTCTGTTTTTCACCTTTACCCAGATACTTTGGTAGCACATGCTCTACTGTGGAAGTTCTGGAAATACTATCCCGTACCTCCCGGGTTGGGAGTGACAGGCTTTATTGCTCCATTATTTAATTGGATTTGACTATGTCAGTAAGTATTTTTTTTTTATGTCAGTAAGTATTAAGCAAACAATGTTTATATTGTCATACACCAAAGAGATAAAACAGAACCCATTGTTGCCTTCTACCTTCCCCTGGAACACTGGTGTTTCCTCTGGGCTTTATCACCTGAGCAATCTCTGCGTGTATTCCTCAGGTAACCTCATTCAGATAGTCTCAGGACTTAAACCACTTTTTTTTATCTCCAGCCCCACCTACTCTCTGAGCTCTGGCTCCATGCTTCCCACTGCCTACTGACACCTCTCTCTGGATGACTCATCAGCACCTCAAACATGAGAAGTTCACAGTTGAACTCTTCAGTTGTCCCAACCTCTCCGCCCTCCTCACCTTCCTACCTTCTCAGCAATGGCGTCTTTACCCAATCATTTGTCTACATCAGAAGCCTCAGCTGGGATTAATTTCAATCCCCCCGCCTCCCCTACCATGGCCTTGAGACACTAAATCACCATCTCTGAGCCTGGCTGCCCTAAACACTTCATGGGGTCCAGTGATGGAAAGGGAATGGTTTTCTGCTGCTTCCCCCAAAGTTTCTATGGTTTTCCCCTCAGCACAGACGTGGCTGGTGGGCAGTCCCACTATCAGGGACTTTCCTTGGGCCTTGGATTATCTGGCACTGGGACACCATCCTATCCTTCCAGAGGGCAACTCTAGGACTCACACTGGATCTCAGAGCATCTCCAACGGAAGACTTGGAGGCTTCGTCCTCACAGCATAGCTTCCTTCCGGTTCCTGTCCCCGCTTCCCATTGTTTGCTGGATTGTCAATCTACCTTTCACTGGTTTTACTCCTAAGATCCTGTCAAGTATGGTGCAGGAAGGTGCAGGTATTGGGGTGAAAAGAAGGCTAAATATTACTGACTGTGCTGTCTCATTCTGCTTATAAAGACCAAATTTAACATCTTGAGGCCAGGTCTTCATGGGCAAAACAAAGTTATGCCCATCTCAATTACTCAGAGCAGCACATTTTAAAACATTACATTTTTGATTTGACTCTTAAATTAGTTCTTCCTGAGATGAGAGTAACCAAATAATATAATGAAGGAAATCTCCCAAATGCTGGCAAGTCAGCTGTTTTGCTCCACTTATTCTTTCTCCTATAGCCTTACATCGATGTATTAGTTGGGGCTGTCATCATTTCAGACAGCCTCCATTGTCCAAATTTTATTTCTTTTTTAAATTTTATTTATTGGGGCACCTGGGTGGCTCAGTGGTTGAGCATCTGCCTTTGGTTTGGGGCATGATCCCAGGGTCCTAGGATTGAGGTCCCCACAGGGAGCCTGCTTCTCCCTCTGCCTGTGTCTCTGCCTCTCTGTGTGTGTCTCTCATGAATAAATAAAATCTTTTAAAAATAAATAAATTTTATGTACTTAGTATAGCATACAAGCAGAGGAGGGGCACAGGGAGAGAATGCCAAGCAACTCCTTGCTGAGTGTGGCACCCACCCTGGAGGTCTCGATTTCAGGACGCTGAATCAAGAGTGAGGCGCTTAAATAACTGAGCCACCCAGGCACTCTATTGTTGCCTAAATTTTATCCTTGCTTCTTCTGAGCCATCATCCTCACTGACACCAGAGAACAGAGATTTAGACTTGGCACTTCTTTGCTTGCAAACCTTCACTGGCTCCCTTTCACTTACAGGATCCACATTTCTCAGTGTAGCAGAACCAGACAGGTTTACAGCCTGGTCCTGACACCACTTTCTGTGCTGCGTGCTTGGGAGCTAGGCCCTCCTCATTCTGTCCCTGGACACGTCATTCACGCTTATGACTCAGGTCTTTGCACAGGCTGTTCCTTCCTATGTGACACCATTCTCCTCTTTCCACTTTTCCTTTCGCTGTCACCTTTTGTAAAGCTTTCCTAGATTCCTCCAGGGAGAGCTGGCTCTTCTTTAGAAGTACAGTGATGGGGGCACGTGGGTGGCTCAGTGATTAAGCGTCTGCCTTTGGCTCAAGTCATGATCCCAGGGTCCCAGGATCGAGTTCTGCATCAGTCTCCCTACATGGAGCCTGCTTCTCCTCTGCCTGTGTCTCTGCCTCTCTCTGTGTCTCTCATGAATAAATAAATAAAAATTTAAAAAGAAAAAAAGTACAACAATAGAGTGATCTTCATTACCACCAGACCCAAGGTCCAATGCTTAAGGGCCTTGCTCTAGGTTCTAGTCCCCACCAGGGGGCAGCACTTCTGACTTGCCCTGCAGACTTCCCTTCTTCCTGGATGGGCCCATTGTGCAGGATTGGGCTTCTGTCTAGGGTCCTTTTCTTTCCAGCAGGTAGTCTGGCTCAGTATCAGAAGGTTGCCTTTACTATGTCCACCCTGAGCCATATTTTCTGACTGGGAAGCTGGCACTTCTGCTGTTTCCTTGGGGCAGGTCCCCCTTCATGTCAGCCTCAACCTATGGCTCTGCCACAGGGGACAGATCCTCAGTATAGGAAGTCTCCTGGAATCTCCGCTGCTGGGCCTTGCCTCATCTCCACAGAGGATGACCATTACCAGAAATTGGAGGAATCTGGGCTATTCCTCTGCCCTCTAGTCTTAGAATATGGGCTGATTCTCTATAAGAAGCCACTCTCTTTGGGGCATCTGGGTGGCTCAGTTGGTTAAGCATCAAGCATTCTTGATTTCAGCTCAGGTCATGATCTCAGGGTCATGAGATCAAGCCCCGAGTTAGGTTGTGCACTCAGCGGCGAGTCAGCTGGAGATTCTCTTCCTCTCCCTGTGCCCCTCCTCCATTCAGCCATGCATGCGCTCTCTCTCAAATGAATGAATGAATGAATGAATGAAATGAATAAATAAATAAATAAATATTTAAAAAGAAAAAAAAAGAAACTGTTTTCTTACTGTTAACTCTAGAAAACAAACTGATGGCTACTGGATGGGAGGTGGGTCGGTGGGTGGGGTATGGGTTAAATGCATGATGGGGATTAAGGATTTGTGATGATCACTGGTTGTTCTGTGTAAGGGTTGAGTCACTAAATTGTACACCTGAAACTAGTATTACACTGTATGTTAACTACCAGGCTTTAAATAAAAACTCAAAAAAGAAAAGAAACTGCTCTCATGGCCAGTTTTTGTAGCAAAGAGAGCCTGTCACCTACCCTACTGTGATGAATTCACTTGGGCATAATCTTCCATCCCACAAGCGTTTTGGCTAAGGATTTAAACTATATCGCACTCTAGCTCCAAATGCCAAGCTGAGTGCAGGGCATACAGTAGGTGCTTGCTTTTTCAACGTGTTGCCACTAAATTGCAGAAATTGCTAACAAAATTATATAGAGAAATCTTAATTTCAGAAAAATCTAAATCCCTGAATTTAGGTCTAGAACTTCTATTCTAAAATGGGATTTGAACTGCTTTGGGTTGGCGTTTCAACAGACGTGATACATTCACAGAGTGGATGGCACAGGAAAGTCATCCAAGAGAATCTGCGGCAGTAAGACGTTCAAGGCAAGAGAGAGACAATTTCCCCTAGTGTCTAGTAACTTAGAACAGGAGGAAAATTCTTCCTGCCCTAATAAGGCCCTGATTTAAATTACAGTAATTTAAATCAACTGTTACTTCTCTTATCAATCACGATCTGCCTTTTCCACAAAACATAATTCTCTCATTTCCTTTTTTTTCTCTTTTATCTTTTAGACTCCCGTTGTTTTCTTTCCTCTCTTAGAGTTTCTCCTATTCTCTGAAGCCAATTCGACTTGCCAGGAAAAAAGGCAGGAATATTTTGTTCCCTGTTTACTCATTTTTTTCTGGTTCATGCTTCTGGAGTCATTTTCAGGCAGCTTGGTACTTGCCAGCTATAGAACGTGCTGAACTAGAGGGCCTTGTTTCTTACAAAGGGGGGAGCCAACCCCACCCCAATCTACTTCTAGGAGACTGGATGCAATACCTTCTTTTTGGTTCTCCATGGTCTATCAAGTTCTCACAGACCCAGCATCTTTCTAAGTGTCACACATCTTCTGTTGTGATTGGCCAACATAACCATCACAGGAAT